AAGACAATTATACATTGTAATAATCGTGGTTTTTTAGTGTTAAACTTTTAAGCCTCTACCTTTGTCGCTCTTTTAAAAATTTTTTAAGTAATTCTATAGGGTTTTATGACTTTTTAAGCGCTTCAATGTGAATTTCAAGTACATATAAATCCGTTTCCTACTTATGATAATAATACGAGTATAATACACAAAACTAAAGGCATATCTGCAGATCTCTGAACTAGTCAATCTCATTCAACATTCAATACATTGGTCAGCCACTCGTCCCACCAAATTTTAGTCACGAGGCAATTTCCTCAAAAAAAACCTAACACCTGCGATTGTAATTATTTACGTTTATACGTATTTCACGTTATTTTTCACGTATTCGCGTAAATGATAGTAAATTCACGTGTATTAATAGGTAGTATATATTATACGTTTGTACACATTTTTCATTCGCTATAATATTATAAGTACACGGACACAGCGTGTTATCACGTTTTTAATCGAGACCCCTCTCGTATTTTTACGTATCGAAAAAACTTAATATGCAGTTCATGATTATTAATTTTAATTACCGGATTATACGCAACTGTAACAAATGAAATACGCACGTCGCAAACAAATCAGTAATAGCTGATTCAACGAAGAAGTCGATTACGAGTAGGTACTTCAATAGCTCAAAACACGCTGTTCTATACGACTGTCTGTTACAGTCTTTACGCATACGCGACCAACCGCGACCCATTCTGCGCCGATTTTTTTGTTTTGCCGCGTTACCAAGGTATTTTATTCTAATTATAGGTACGATTATTTTTTTTTTTTTACATACACGTACAATATGCGCGTGTGCGGTATATACGGACGGAATAAAAATAGTGATTACTAATATAAACTCTGACTCGAAATATGAACAGTGGGCACCGAACTGTTAAGACTGCATTATAAATGTATAACTAACCTGCTTGTTTATGAAAAAGTAGTATAATAATTAAAATACATATTTTTAATAACGAGCAGATGTGTTCTTATGGGACAGTGGTTTTCAACTTAGGGGTCTCGAGTAACAGTTAGATAACCGATTTTCTGATACAACATTTAAAAGATATTCAATATTTTCTACATTTTTCATCTTTTAAGCCGACAATACTTTAATGCAACATTCGCTAGCTTAGAATGTTTGTTAACACATTACACATATTGAATAAAGCCATAATTCTTGCTGGTTCCCAATCAGCGAAATATTTTTCATAAACCATATTTTCGAAACAATCATTAGGTAATATTTCATCGATACTTCCTTCGGCATTTTCCAAAAATCTTAAAACAAATTTCAATTATTTTCACTTTACATAATACAACTGCAGCTTCTAACGAAAGATATTTGTCTCGTCTTTAAAAAGAATATTAAACTGTTCACTGTTGATTGCAGGGCTCAGTGTTTATCGACGTAGAATCGAATAGCGCATACGATATAGCTTTGCATGAAGCTGTAAATAAGTTTACAAGCGTAGAGAAGACGCGTCGATATCCTCTTCAATAACAATACAAAACGTTTGTGTAGCTTAATTCAATGCCAATGTACAATATTTATATTATTTATTATGATTACTCTTTAATAACAATGATTTTACAAAATTCGTATTAGTTTATAAGTTAACTATCGCGTGTCTCGCGCCCGGCGTTGCCCGTGCCAATTTGTACTATTATTATTATTTTACCCATAATCATTTTTTCGGTTTTGGCCGTGTCAGAATTGAATACAAACAAATAGGTGGAAAGTGGATAGTCCACCTTCGGCGGGCTAAAAGTGTTCTATCGTGAAATTGTATTAGTGTAAATAATAGTAACAAATAATAATTATAATTAGTTTTCTTTCTATAACCACGCGTTTTGAGATATCGCCGGAGAGTATTCATAATTCAGTATTTAGGCATTTAGACATCAGCTGTTATCGTAAACATCTTAAATTTCGGGCAAGTAAAAAATATTAAATACTATTACTACTATTACTACTAAAAATAATACCAATTCAAATAATATTTACTTCGATTGTTGAAAACCGTCCGGCGCCCGTCGTTAATTTCGAAATAAGTACATATATTATATTTCATCATCATCATTATATGAAATAAGACTTTATTCACTTATCCTCTAAAACAAGTGTCTGCTCATATACGTTAGCGTATATCTTGCATATCCCGTGGCCACGACTATGAGAGTACTTGATTATTATAATATTATAATATATATAATTTGAAAATTAAATTTGACGATACGTAAATTCAAAAAAAGAACGAAATATTACCATTATCGTGTTCAAACTCCGTCGTGGAAGTTTAAATTGAATCGTAGATACGTTGGATACTATTATTAATATTTTCGTTTAACAATGACTGCCGTTGAGAATTTGTTTTTTAAACTTCATATTATAGTCAATTTGCAAAGAGATAAACCGACAATATTGTTATTCGCACTGCAACACGCCTTTCGAACAACCCGTTAATTATACGGGTATTATTATTGTTCATCATATAGTTCACAATAATATTATAGTAATGTAATTATTGTACGAACACAATTCGCGAGGAACGGTTTTTTTTTTTTTTCTAACAATAACTATAATTCATTTGTATTATATTGCAACAATTTGACGCTAAATATAATATATGCATACAGGTACTTTTCGCACGTGTCTCGAATCCGGGTGAATAGATATAGGATAGGTTATGCGTATTGATGAATCGAAGACAATTCGATTATTGATTGTATTATTATAATAGTACGAAAAAAAAAATTTATCCCGATTATTATGTTGGCAAATTCAATACGTCTGCAAGAAAAACCATTTAGGTACATGCAAATTATTGTTGGTAAGCACCAAAACTGTATATTATTTCATAATTTATTAAAAATGTTTTCCACATCATACCATCCCATGTGTAAATATTTTACGCGGCGTACATTTCATCAGCCCTTCCGCATCAAAATTTGTTTCGATTGATAGTTAGCATGAAGTTAAAATGAATTCGCGTGGCTTTAGTCGAGATGCGAAATCCGCAAACCTTGGGGAGAGACGGAGAAATATATCTCAGACCCTTTCCGCGAGAAGAACTCGACATTTTTAACATTTTCCGATGCTAATATTCAAAACGTAATAAGCATGGATTTACACGACAATCACAGAGATTTGCATGACTATACTTTAGGCGTAATATCGAAATATTACAAATTATTTCGTTACATTAGAGCAAAAACTGCATAAAATGTTTAATTTAAATTTAGTTAAAAGTATTTGACCACGAGTTCCACTGGAATTATGTTGCTAGTGATGTTGCGTCATTGAATTAAAATAAATAATCACCGTAGGTTTACATATATCCTACATTTTCAACATTCCATCTAAAACAGTGAACTATGTAAGATCTATTTGATGACTAAGAAAGTCGTTTTTTTTTTTACATATTTAGGATAGTTTTCTTAAAGTTGAACAAAACCGGAAAAACGGGAAAGTTTACGGAAATAACGATTTCATTATTTCAATTAAAAATATTCAGAAACACCTTGACATTTTTTATTTCTGTCAAGCCACTGACGAGATATTTCACTATTAATTTTAGGTTGGAAGAGAGTAGTGGTGCATTAATAACACGTACCGTACCGCCACACAAATGACACTCCACTACTATCCTTCAATCCAAACTCAAAAGTGAAATATCTCGTCAACGGATCAACGGAAATCAAAAATTTCGAGACTAAAACTGATTTTAACTAATACTCTATCTATTTGTGGACATTTTAATACAGGTTGCCGTTTGAAAATCAAAAGTAGGCTATGGTTTTACCCCCGAAAATAAGGGTGACAAAAAATAACATAAATATAAAATCGTTGAGCAACTTGTTTCTTACATGTTTTAGAAAACAAATTTCGACAAAAGTTAATACTTTCCGAGATAATGAGTGCACCCACTTAAACGAATCACCTGATACAATACGTTATAAATTTTAAACCCATAATAATAACGATAAGTAAAAGAGATCAGCTCGGATCAGTAAAATCGCATAACCTTAACGCCTAACTGCCAACAATGTTACGCAACAAATGTTTTTGTTACCAAATATACGCTAAAAATATAACTGTATATTTATTAAACTCACCGCACAATAATGTTCATAGGTAATTGAATTTCTCGAGAACTAAACCGTGTATTGTTCATATGAATTAAGTCGGAAGGTTATCAATATCGGTCGTCCGGGGTAATTAATAATCAGCTTGTATATAGACGTCGGTTTTTTTTTTTTTTAAATTTAGACTTCTAATTTTTCAAAAACCGTAAAATAACAATAAAATAAATATTAATAATTATATAGAAAAAAATAAACGTAAAGTTTATTTAGTCGCAAATTCGCCTACTTTTTATTAATTAAACCGAATTATAATTAAATTAAAGATGCATTTTCCTTATCACTTCTGCAGACCCAGGACTGATAAGTGATAATCAAAATATATTGTTTTTAATTTCATATTTTTAATTGTATTATTTCACTATTTCGATTATTTACAGGCATAATATCGTCTACATTAGCAACATCAACGTTTTATTTATGATGTGTTTATGGCGTGTCGTATTTATATTGTTATTGACAACGCTCGCATAATATGCTAACTTTTGTACAAACATTTTTCTACTAATTTCATTATTTTGAAATTTTATTATCACTATACTTATAAATTTTTATCTTTATCAAATATTTCTCGAGGGTCTTTTATTTAAATTTGAAGAACACGTTTTTCCATATTATATCACATTGCACTTGATTTAGGTCATTGACTAGTTGAAATACAGAGTGCAGCAAAACATTCTTACTAGTTTTTACATAGAAATATATAGTTATTTATAATCGAAAAATGGTGGGAGTTGAGTCTATTTATGTAGGAGGACCGGAAATATTATTTTGATCGGTTTCAGTTATAAACATGTCGTGGACATACCAGCAACGCGCGTTTTCTGTGGAAACTTATTTTCGTAAAAACAAGTGTGTAGCAATTTCATCTTTCCGACTGTGTAAATAAACAAAATATTCGATATTGGAGTGATAAAAACCCACAGGAAATACACCAGAGGCCTTTGCGTAGTAACCGTGTCACAATGTGGTGCGCAGTGTCACGAATAAAGATCATTGGAGAAATACTTGAAAAAATTATGCAAAACGTTTCATTTTTCTTGGGATAATATATCGATAATAAAAGGCAACAGTTAATCGAAATTTTATTTAAAACTACGTACATTAAAATGTCTAATATTGCACAAATATGTGTAAAAAAAAAAAAAAATTGCTAACGTAAATTGTTCTTTTTTTATTTGCCTTTAAAACTACGGAGGTTATTTTGCCGCACTCTGTGTATGAGGACTCGGAAAGTAAAACGTATTATTCGGTTTGGAATGAAACGGTTCGCAAACGTTGGTTGTATCTACGCATTAAAGAATTAAAACGTTCAACCCAAATAAACGGTGGAGAAGAACTGCATTCCATCACATAAATTTTCGAGAAGTACCCAGTCATAAAATGCATGTATTTGATCGTCATTGGATTGAATTGCCATCGGGTCGTTTGTAAAACAATCATCTACATCATTTGAATTTAAGAATGACAGTTCGAAAAATAATTTTAAAAATTTTCCGATCTCTGTTTTCTATTTAAAATGTGTACATAAACCTACTGGTAAGGTTTTTCTCCATATTATACTCCGTCTAGAGTATATGTATTTGTATTTAATTGTTATACGTAATTGGTTTAATGTGTATAAAACTGTTTGTCCGAACAGAAATACTTGAACAAATATGAGGTTTATTATAAGTTTAAATTAATGGTGCAAAAAAAAAAGTCGACCGTAATATAGTAGGTTTTATTTTTGATCAGCTTTTATTATAAGATGATTCAATTTTGATGAAAATCATACAAATTACATTATTTCAAAACACTTATAACCAAACTTTGCTCAGAATTGTTTCCTATTAGCGCTGATTTATCGTTGTTTACTGGTATAAATTATACAACCTTATGTATTCTACCTTCCCAATTTCCCACCTACCACAGTTACACGCTCAAGCACCCATCAGCAGTATCAGCTCATTTATTATTATTATTATTTTTTTTTGACGCGCTACTCTAGAATATATTTTCCTGAAGAACAAATAAAAATCCTATTAAGGTCGGTAAAGACGTTCTATTTACATTTTATTTTTAAACCTCGACGCCGTGTCATTTCTTACACTGCACCCGCTGGCCGGTAGTCAAGTTTAGACAGTGTATAGAACGGGCTCAAAGCGTTCACTTAAACTCACCTGTATGCACTCCTGGTCCCTAACCTCCTTGATATTTTTAAATTTATGTTGACGAAACAACATGCTGAGGATCAAAACCAGCGATGTTATTTCCGAATGCGCTTTTGTTATCTAGACCCCTCATTATTTTCTAAATTTTTCAATCGACCTCTCCACCTTGACCTCTTGACCGTCAGCACTACCGCAACAACCGCAGTCACCGACACATACCGGATATAGATGACCACGTCATGTACTACTAGCACCCAATATTACCACAAAAAAATATACAAAACAACTACAATCACAGGTCTTGTTTTTTCGACTTTGTATTAAAATGCTTAACAGTTAGGTATCAGACTTCAAAATGATCTTCGTACGTCTTCGTATAACAATACACTTAGAAATGAACAAAGAAATTGAATAATTCAATGTTGGTACAGTAAATAAAGGTACAAATTAATACTTAAGTAGTTCAAATTAATGTAAACTCGCGTTTCTAACCAAGGCTCCCACAGAATAGTTTTTTCTTTTTTTAATTACGTTGATTTACGGTTGTTTAATGCAATTAATGTGTACAATGTAATCCGTATAAGTGGGCTGGTACTCTCATTATCTCGGAAATTGTTAATTTTTTTTATAAAACATTTAAGAAACAAGCAGCTCTAGAGTTGTACATTTACATTATTTTTGTTGCCTCTATTTTATTATTATTATTATTATTTTTTTTTTTTGGGGGGGGGGGGGGGGTTAAAACTACTATATTTTTTTTTGATATTCAAATGGCAACCTCTGTTTAAAATGGGTAGTTGTTTTATCCCCAAACAATATGGGTAAAAAAATAAATATCATTAATATAAAATTCTAGAACTTCTTGTTTCTTAAATGTTCTATAAAACTAAATCCGAAAAAAGTTAATACTTTTTCGTTATTAGGAGTATACCCACTCAAGTGGATCATCTTGTACAAAAATTAAATTTCCACCGTAAGAAACATGTACGATTTTTTTTCTTCTAATTATATTTATACGCTAGTCAAATAGTGATTTAAGTTGATATTTTAATGGCTACTTATAGGTGCGAATAATTCAAATATTTTTTTGGAGGAGGGCTTAATGTTCCATAATTTTGATTAGGTATAGGGACGTGCTCACGGGGTGGGGGGTCTTATATGCTCCCCATGGAATTTTTTTCTATGCATTTGTTTCAAATTTCTTGGTAGTTTCGGTTTTCTTCGAAAATAAAAAAAAGGTTCGTAGTTGGTTTTAATTTTTAGTCATGTTAATTATTAACGTATACATATAAAATATGTATAGTATATATCCACTATAGTAATAGTAATTATCTATAGATAATACATTAATATTTTTTAAAAAAAAGGTACCTACCAATGGACTATCATAATATTTCAGTCCAATATATTCCGATACCTATATTATAAACGTGACCATCGCCATATTAATATACTATCCATAGTATTCATAGTTATGCATTTTTGAGTTATGCTATAGTAAAACTTTTATATTAACACACATACCTTATTAATTAAATATTTTTAATAATTTTGTATTTTTAAGTATGCATGTAAATAATATAAGGTTATTTGTGAATTTTAGATTATCAGTTGCTGATAAATTTACTGTAAATTTAAACTTTACTTCAAATAAAAAAAAAAACAAATCTTACTACCTAATGAACAAAATGTTTGTTGTTTACTATTTAGGCACTGAAAAATGTATAGATACCATTGCCAACCATACCGATTTTCCCGTTTTTTTCTGTTTTTCCCGATTTTTCACACTTGATGGGAAAACTCTAGGAAAAATCGAAAAATGACCTTCTTAAAGTACCTTTCCAGTCAGATTTCCCTTCAAAAAAGTGCTATCATTGCAAATCGGAGGGAAATTGCTGGTAGAAAAGTTTCACAAAAATGAAAATGGAAAAAAAATGCCGTAATATTTTTTAACTAATACCTACATTTCGTACATTTTCCCGTTTCAAACTATTATTGAAAAAAACTGAGAAAATCGAAAGATGACCTCCCAAAATCCAATTTTTTTTAGAAAAATTGCTACACTTAAAAATTGGAGTAAAAATTCTGGTAGAAAAGTTTGCACAACAAATCGAGGGGTATTTTTCGGTTAAAATTGTCCGAGCGAACGACGGTTGAGTCTCTAGGTATATCTAAAATACATTTGTTTTTTGCCTGTTTAGGTAAAAGGGGAAAATAAGTGCAAAACATTTTTTTCTCGAAACACGGGTTTGAACTCGCGAACCATAGGATGAATCTAGGTATGAATAACCTGTAATTCAGGTACAACAAACATACTCTAAAGATGACTTAGTCAGTCCGTTCAATTCTAAGTTCACCATTGTTCTTAAATCGGCAATAATATACACATGTTAAAAAAAAACAAAACTAAAAAATTAGATTTGTTCCACATAAATTTTTACCTAATGATTTTCGTCAAAATTTGATATTAAAATTTCTTTAAGAGAAAAAACTGAAATTTTCTTTTTTTGACCACAAAGTAAAACTCTTAATAAACCACCCGTTAAATTTTCAAGCATTTCTGTTAAGTCTAACAATTTTACCACAGAGTACCTATCGAATAAAAATTACGTACAAAATTTAAAATTTAAATGTCTATAAATAGCTTCAAAATGGATTATATTTTTTGAAAATTTTACCATGTGTACCAAGGCAAAGGCAAATATAATACTTCTGTCCAATTTTCAAGCATCTACGAATATTTTTAACTGAATTACAACAAATAACAAAATTTTAAAAATAATAAAAGCATTATTTTCGTAAATTTCCCGTATTTCTTATGTTTTTTCCCACTATTTATCTTTTATCAGGAAAACTACTTAGAAAATCAAAAAATTTACTCCCTAAAGTATCACCACAAGAAAATTTCAGAAAAAATTTTGCATCGTATATACATCGGAGCAAGATTTCTAGTAGAATTTTTGTACACAGCATAAAAAAATATACATCTTTGTGAAACCAATACATTCTTCGCTACACTCAAAATCTAAAACTGGTATGTATATAATATATTTATACATTAACTTTTTAATTTATACCAAACTACCTACTCCTAAAATATCAATGTACATACAAATAACTAATAAGTACATTTTGTAAAGTTGTGTATATGGCTATCAACAAAACGAAATACAGTTCAGCCCCCTCCCCCCCATAAGAAAAAGCTGAGCACGCTCCTGATTATGTAAACCTAGTTTTTACTAAAATTTAGCAATTTTTATTTGAGGGGCTTGGGTGTTTTTTGGGAGAGTTCAGTTTTATTTGTGCTTATGCAGTTACACAAAATCGTTCAATTATCCGGCGCCTTCCTGCAGTTGAACACGTTATTTTATACGTTTTCGAGCGTTCCACCGCGCCCGATAATGAAATAATTATTATATTATTATGGCGCCAGTAATTATTACTTTAATACGTGTGTAATATTATTATAATATTTATTTTTTTTTATTTGATTTCAAAGCCACCTCCGACGAGCGTCGGATATTATTGACCTAAACGTAATATTTTTGATTTATTAATGTCGTAACATTACCGTAATATTCGAGTATTGCTAAATATATTGGTCGGCGCGGTGTTTCTCGAATCAACTCAGATTCAGAGGTACCCGCCTGTAGTACTACGTATACTAATATAATGACCACAATAATTATTACAGAACCAGTGGCGAATTTACGGGAGGAGATCTGGTATAGACATATATATCTCCCTTTGACCTTATATTTTATTAGTGTCCGTTATTCAATTTTTAAATTCGAATTTCTTTAATTTTTAATCGGAAAATCTATCTGTATAATAAGTAAGGTCAATATAATATTATAATATCAAAAAACTCAGACGTGTACATTTCCTTATTTGATACGACACCTATATCCGAACCACGACCACTGTAGTACGAAGGAGATTAGATTACAGTACCTAAATAGTAAATTAATTAATAGTTATTATTTTTCTAGTTAATACAATACGAGTATACTAGTATTCGGACACGTTGAATTATAAATCACCTACAAAAATATACGTGAAAAAAAATTTATAATTTTCTTTTACCCCGCGTAGTTCCGGGTTTTGGGAAACAATTTTAAACTCGAAATAATTGTCATTGCGCTGCAGTAAACAGTGTATCATAATTGTTCTATCTTAATAATATTAGAGAACGGCTGACGAGTTTTAAATATTGTTTATTCTCACGAAAATAGTTTTTTTTTTTCTAATTTTGTTGACGCACTTGTACTGGTGCAATAAAAGCAAATATACTTAAGATGGCATGTGTTGTTTTTTTTTTACAGTGAAAAATAAATTTAGCAGAACCGTTGACGTCATGGCTTCATCGAAAATAATATATTATCGTAATATATATTATACGTACAAATACAAAGGTAAATCGTTGTAAACGAAAAACTATTCAACGTGAACATTTTAAATAGCTATAAATATATTTATTTTTTTAACCAGAATATATTGTAAATTATACCATGCGTCTATAAAGTGCGTGTATTGATGAATCGAAGTAATCGATGAAAGTTATCTGCGATTATTTATTCACCGAATCACAACGAAAAAACAAAATTTAAAACAATTTTAAAAAAACAAATTTAAAAACCATTATTGCAGCGGTGACATTCCCGTATTTCGAACTTTCCCCCCCACGTTTTCCGCATTATTAAGAAAAAAATAAGGAAATTTAAAAAAAATGACTAAAAATGACGGCAATGATTAGAGCAAGCAATCCGGTCGAAAATATAAGATAACACACACACCTTCGTAAAACAAACAAATCACTCGCTTCGCTCAGAATCTAAACAATAAAAGAATGGGATTCGGTAGTAGGGCGAATTAGTTTACGAGCTGTTTGCAATAAAACAATAATCTCAAACGAAAAACAATTCGGACGTTAGGAACATTTGTTTGACACATTTAAAAAATTACGTCTTCGACAAATTTTATCATACATTTTTTGAACTTAAATACTCTTATAAAAGTAATTTATTGCCAATTACGGTCAAATTTTATTTTATTTTTGGGTACGACTTATGATGAACCTTGTGTTAAATTTTTGAGCATTTTTACGGGGCTAGAAAAATCGCATATAACCACGTAAATCGAAAAATATATTATGCGAACGATTTGCGATTTTTACACGTTTTTTCGAAATCTGAATGCAATGTTATTATTATACGGAATTTCAATAAGTATAATAATGATACTATGATTTTTATAAGAATGACGCATTGAATGAAATTTTTATCAAATTTTCGAGCACGTAAACGAACGGAGGTGTTAAACGGTTTTGACGTTGCGCCAGCAAATATGACATAATAATGAAAATGAATGAGTTACGTGATTGCGTTCAATATCGAAAAAGCAATATTGGGTACCAGGAGTGCATGAGGAGATGACGTCACTGAGCGGTTCGGTTATGGCCTTCGGTGTATACGGCGGCGGCGGCGGCGGCGGTGGATGGATCGTCGCGGATGTCGGGTGCGGGGCGGACTGCCAAAATTTCAGCATAAAATAATAAAGAGGTCTAGGTACCGGGATTGCATGATGTCGATTGTATTGGCGACAAGCGGACGCAACAAAGCGAATAACGCGACGACTGCGTTTGGGTTGAAATCGTAATGAGTTTGATTAACGCAAATAACAAAAAGTGCCGATAGTGTTGACGGACTGTGATGGTTGTATGGGATACGTGGATAACCCTTCTCTCATCTGCGACTTTTTGCATTTTTATTTTTTACCCACGTAAATCAACGAAAAAGTAAGTACGTTTATAAAAACGCGAATGAACGATGCCATTAAAATATCACTACAGCGAACAAACAAAATGTTTCATGTGACTGTACGACGTGTATATTGTATTGTATTAACATTAATATTATTCAATATTTCTACATGTTATAATAAATTAATACAAACATTACGCATTGTATAATTTTAGATTCTGAGCGGAGCGAGGAATGAATTGGTTTTACAATGATGTTTCATTTTTTTTTTTTATTGTGTACAAAAATTCTACCAGAACTATTAATCCGAAGTATCAAGTATAGAAACTTTTCTGAAAGGGAATATTGTTTTGCGTAATTTCAGCATCGCCGAAACTAAAGAGATCTATTTGCCAGTGGCGTAGCGCTAGGGTGGCACGACGGACAATGAGTCACGAGCCAATGAGATTTAGGCCCCCCCAAATCAGAGCCCGAGGCATTATTGGATAAGTGAAGGCCTTTTTCGGATGACCTTTTAGATTCTGAGTATAGAAAAGAATGAATTGGTTTTACAACTTTTTTTTTTTTATATTTACTGTGTAAAAATTGTCTACCTTAAATCTTGCTTTGAAGTATTAAGTATACATTTTCGGAAAGGAATCTGACTAGGGTAGTACTTCAAGGAAGTCATTTTTTGATTTTCCTAGTAGTCTACCAAAAAATGAGGAAAACATTGAAAAAACCGGGAAAAACGTAGGCAAAACAGGAAAATAGGTACAATATTAAAAAAAAATTAATAAAAAAAAATGTATTATGCATATGCAGTTATTTTACCATGATATGACGCATACGTTTTTGACAAAGCAACACTATTAACCGAATTCTGCTCGGAATCATTTTTTATTAGCAACGGTTAACTGTTATACACAGATATTCATTAAATTTCCTCTCTACCTTCCCAACTTCTCATCTACAACAGTGGTTCACTCACGTTCGAAGTATGTCCGTCTTTTTTTTTATTTATTAAGTTGTATGCTATGTGCATAAAATATGTTATTAATTTATTAATTTTATTCTTCTTGAAGAAAAAAGAATTCTGAAACTGCTGGCGAGTGTGTCATTGTTGCAGGATGTTAGGTGGTAGGATACATACAGTTATTCAATTTATATTCTAAATTCAATTAAACATGTTTTAAAATCGGTTTACAAAAAAAAAAAAAAAAAAACAGCCAACTCTTAAATGTAAAATGAAAAATATATTTTCAAGAACAACCCACGACTTTTCGTTTGAATTGTTTTGATTTATATATTATGTAAACGCCAATCGGCTTTCGAAAATGGTACAAAACAATTAATATCAACAAAAAATATTGTCTAACGAATAAGTTCTAAAAGCTATAGGATACTGTAAAGTGCAATTCAGTTAACATCTGGAGTATAAAATATGCAACGATAAATCATTGAAAACAAAAAAATTATTATTCTTCTTGGAAAATTTTTTCCAAATTGTTTCCAATTTTGTAATTATTTTTAAGATTTTAATGTTTACCTTAAAAGAACGACACATCCGTATCTTATTGTCTTTCTAATCTAACGGGTAGCATAGCAAAATTACAGTACTGTTAGTTTGGTACGAAATTGCCTTAGTGCAGTACAAAATAAAAAACTTCGTTGATTACTATAGTGTTATGTTAGACTTAAGTCAGACCGAGTAATAGTTATAGTTATAATTTTTTTATTATTAAAAATTTCAAATTTTAATCTAAGTTCATATTGTTAAGTAGTAAATATATATTTATAGTTCTGTGCTAACTGCCTTTTAAAATACACAATACACTATAGTATATTTGGGAGAGTTATCTAATTGACAGAAAAATGAAAAAATTAATTGTATTCGCGGCGGTCAATATAAACTTCGAAAAAAAAAAAATCCGCCACACCCATACCTAATAGCTCGTTGTTACTGTCTTGAGGAAAATTTTAAAAAATTTGATCGTTGAAAAAACACACCAGATAGAAATAATGGAAGGGGGATTGGGAAATATAACGTTGTTAGGTCTCATTTTGTAATATGAAAATTCGACAATGCACAAAAGCCACAATGCAATATTATGGCATTATCATATTATTTCTAAGAAAAACAATTGGAAACAGAAAAATATTTTATTTAGCCCTGTGTTTAGTCTCTTATCAATTTTCTAACAACCAATAATATTCGTATATTTGGTATATATAGTGTAATCACAAGTCAAACACGAACAACGGTCAATATCTTCTACGACCGTGCAGGTATTATTAAATAATTGTACCTATGCATTTAATCAATGGTATAATATTTATGATACTGCAGTATGGCATACGTATAGTTTGTGATAATAACAAATGAGTGATGAACAAACTATGATAACAAATACTTAACATGTGGTTGGCTAAAATAATAAAGGTCTTCCATCGTGTAACTTAGTTTCACATCTGGGCATGTTAAGAGATGCTCAGGGCTTTGTATCATACCCCACCCGCACTTATCGTCGTCACCGAAGCCCCATAGTTTTAGATTTGATCTACATCTCGAGTCACCTGTTCCTAGCCGATTTAGTGAAATCTTATGGGGGAAAGGTAGTTAAAAGCCTAGTAAATGTGTTGAAATTTAGTTTTATGTAGTAGTACGTTATATGTATACAATGTGGTATATTATATGCGATTATAAAATGGAAAACAAAGTTATAGTCTACAGCTACAGTTTTCGGTTCAGTATAAAGTACTGTAGTAGTAACGGTGTTTTATCGTTTCAATAATAATTATACTTTTTCCATTCAGTTTGGTATAGTTGAATAATTCATTTTGTAACACTAACACGGTAAAGTGGTTTACAGGTAATTTATACTCGGACGAAAATCTAAATAATTTCTCATTATATTTTTTATAGTCTCGGACGACGTTATTACAAATTCGTTTATAGTCCCGGTCACTTACTGTAATATATATAGTGTTATACACGTGAGTAAACGTTTATCGGTTACATTAGGTACGCATCAACTCAATAAAATTTTTTTTTAAAAAATCAATAAATATTAAATAATGTTTTATTGTTGCAAAGGTTGTTAAGATAGTCGCTGACAATCCGTTTATCGCATACTGTTCATAAATTATTTAAAATAATTTTTGAGACCTTCGGTAAATTGGCAGCCATTCGGTTAATCATTTTTTAATTTATTTATTTCTACTTTGGTAATCTGATGGAATTAAATAGCGCCGCGCAATTGGCGTGACGCGTGAATGCGCTGTAAATACTGCGAACGCAGCAATTGTAGCCGTCAATCCTAATGAATGTTATAATATTCTTAAATCAAATTGTTAAACTTGATTCGATTCAACAAACCGGTAAATACGTATTTAGTGCATTATACTATGATTACTGTTAATTTAAATATAAAATTGTTGTTGTCGGTACACATATTGTTATACATCAATTTATATACCGTCGCGTAATTTTCTCTATACATTATTACTATAAATTTATAACACCTTGAATATTATACAGGACACGATAACGCGTAGACAACAATAAAAAAATAAAGAGTGAATCATTTAATTAAACGCGGAGATTCATGACGAATCTAAGCCGAAATCCTGTCCGAACAAAATCTCGTCCGGAAAAAAAAATTAAAATAAATTAATAGGACGAAACATATTGCGAAATGTTTATTTTGTATACTTCTTCATAACTTTTTTTTCGCGCTTTACCGCCAGGAATAACCGGCTTAATTTTACCTGACCCGATCTGACCAATAGTGAATTCCAAAGAATTAAAAGAATTAAATAAAGATAATTGGTTGTGTAAAGGTTGGTTAGGTGAGGTACTGGTAAAAGTAATAGGTAAAAATATTTCACGCATGTTTACATTTTGAAATGAACGAGGTTACGGCCTTCGGGAGTGCAATTGCCTTTGTATGGAAAGCCATAAGCATCACATTTTTCTTTTAAGCCGTGCTAAAATAGTTATACCCTGGGCCCAGTAAATTGTAAGGACGGTCCTATCTGTACGCAAAAATTAACCTTGGCTATCGAAAAACGGTTCTAAGCAGAGTTCGGATATACATGTTTTAAAATGCCGTAATATTTAAGATTTTCATCAAAATTAGATACTAAAATTCTGTAAGAATAAAAAAATACAATAAATTCAATTTTTTTTTGTTGACCACAACAACTTATAATAAAACTTCTGTTAAATTTTCAAGCAAAATTACAAATTCTTGAGAAAAATGTTTATATTTTTCAATTTAGTTAGTAAAAATAATTTGTATATTTCCGGAATATCTATAAAATAAAAATGCTGTCATAGGATGATGGAAATAGGTGCAGCCACTGTTGTAGGAGGGAAAGTGGAATGGTAGGATATAGAAGGGAATTTATTGTACATCAGTAAGCAACCATTACTAACGAAAAACCAATTCTGAGCGTAGTTCAGTTGATAGTGATGCTTTGTCAACAATACTATGTCATAAAATGCTAAAATAATTAAATATAATCAACGTGCACATATTTTCATTAATAATACTTGTTTAATATTATACCGATTTTCCCGTTTTTTCGTACATTTTTCAGTTTTCCTTCTATTTTTTTCGATTTTTCACATTTATTGAGAAAACTTCTGGAAAATCGTAAAATGACCTCTTTAAAGTACCTTTCCAGGTAGATTTCCTTTTAAAAAAAGTACTATCATTGTAAAGCTAAACCAAATTCTGGTAAAAAAGATGTCTACAGAAAAAAAAAGGCCGTAATACTTTACTAATATATTTCGTATATTTTCCCGTTTTTCCTTAGTTTCTTTTTGGTTTTTTTACATTTCATATGCAAACTCCTGAAAAAAATCGAAAAATGATCTTCTTAAAGTACCACTTCAAGAAAATTTTTTTTTAGTAAAGGGTCGTATTCCAATGTATACACATTGGTGTAAAGCTTCCTGGTAGAAAAAGAGTTCACATAAAAAAAAAAATAAACACCTTTTTAAAACCAATACAAACTTCGCTACACTCAGAATCTAAAAAAAAATTAGGTTTATGAGCTTAAAAGTGTTGAAGATACACAACAAAAATCCATGGTAGGTACAGTTCCATTAAAAAAAACTTTAATAGTCCATACTTGAAAAATAAAAACGCTAGACCCCCAATTTCAACGGGGGTTTGTTCATCATTTTAGAGTACTTTCATATAACGCCGACAGGTCACTTCCCCGTGAAAAACATTGTATACTGTTGACAAAGCAACACTTCATGAACTGAACTATCTACTTGAAATCGTTTTTTTGTTAGCAATCGTTGCTTACAGATATACATTAAATTTCCGTCTGTATCCTACGTTCCCAAATTCCCACCTACAAAAGTAGCTGCATCCATTCCTATTATTCTACGATAGCTTTTTTTGTTTTAGCGATTGAGTAAAATCAATGAAAAAAATTATAAAATAAAATAACCGTTTTGAATAAACCTAATCGTTTTCCTGAACTGAGTTTGCCGTCTAAAACTTTTGGAATCTAGACCAATTGTTTAAAAAAGAGTACCTAATAATAATTATCACCGCACTGGTGATAAGCGCACTGCTTATATTGGAGGTTATGGTTAGGAAGCGGAAAACCTCATTATGTCTAAACAAATTTCAACGTACCTTTTTTTTTGTCCTAATGGATACAGAGTCAAATACAAATCGACAGAGAGGTGTGTTTTTCGACTCCAGATACCAAATTTAACGAATTCAAAACATTTTTTTTACCCATTTTGTTTGTTCTTTGATAAGTATAGTACACGATTGATGTATATAATATAACACGGGTAATCGGGTAATAAAATACCAAACCAAAAAAAAAAAAAAAACTAGAAATGTATTAGTTTTGCTGCATTTTTTATTTATTGAATTTCTAGATCAAAACTTTTGAATTTCGAAGTTCGAGGGGAGTATCATCATCATAAGGATACCACTCCTTCTTCTGTGCAACCCCTATCTCCGTCCGTAGCGAGGGAGTTATTGGTTTTACAATGCTGTTTCTTTCTTTCTTTCTTTTTTTTCTTCTAGTCTGTGGACACATATTCTCCTAGCAAACTTGCTCCGGTTTTTAAATGTAACAACTTTTCTGAAAACTTAAGTTGTATAGATGTAACTTTAAAATGGTCTTTATTTTGATTTTCGACGCCATTTTTTTTTAAATAAAAGCACTTAAGTGGGAAAAAACGTATAATTTCACGATTTCATTATTTTATAAAAACACGAACGTNTTCTACCAGAAAAAATGATTTGTTCGAAATATCATATGACACATTTTTTATTGCCTCTTTAATTTACTTTCTTACCGTATCATCGCCAAAACTTTTGAGCTTTTAAGGAATTTAAATTTTTGGGAGGTTTTTGCTGTAATTCTGTTGTAAATATATGTAGAGACTTGAAACTTGGAAATAATACTTATATTGGACTTATCTAGTTGCGGTGAAATTTTAAAATTCATCGGACGACTTTTTTTTTTTTTTTAATAAGCGTTTTAAAACCAAATTTTAAGGAAAATCGCAAAAAAAAAATTACTGCATTTTAAATTATACATTTACTGAACTGTGCTCGGAATCATCTTTCGTCAAGCAATGGTTTATCGTTGCTTACAGATATAAATGAAATGACCTTATGTATCCTACCTAGTCAACTTCTCATTTACAACAGTGGCCGCTCCCATTCCCAGTATCAGCTTTTTTTTATTTTTATTGAATGTGTTATTTTACCAGTTTTAAATCGAGCACATTATTTAAATGTTTTGTCAACGTAAATTTAATGTACCAGACATAAAATTTTTAAATTTATATCACATGAAAAAATAACAATATTTTTCATCATTAAGAACTAAAAATTGTTCGCCTCTACATAGCATTTTATCATTTACTACGACTCGTAACACACAGACTCGTGGACAGTGGTAACCGAAATGTCTTTTTTTCGTTTACGATGTACTTTGGGTGAAAACCAAATCGACCCATTCGGACCAATTTTTCTGAATCACAACCCGGTCCACAAGTGCTTCGGCCAGAAAAAAAAAATAAAAAAAAAGTCGATTTCGGGCGGAAACACAGGCCGCGGCAAACCGGTGCTGCCGGTACCACCGCACGACCAATGCCGGGCGGCGCGCGGTGCGGAACAGCCGGCGGCCGCTACGGCGGCAGAGCGGCGGCGGCGGCGGCGGCGGCGGCGGCGGCGGACAACGGCATCGGCAGCCGCGGCCGCGGCCGCGGTCGAAACGCAACGGTTTCACGTGCGCCGCGCGCGAGGTTTTGTCGGCCCGTCGTCGACCGCGCGGCCGCGGCCGCAGCAGTTTGTCGTTGGCAGCAGGAAACAACGACGGGGGAGGGGGAGGAGGAAAACCAATAATGTGTACACGTATAACGCGCGCGCGTTATCATTATCATTGTTACTATTATTATTAGACGCGATAATAACACGCGTATCGCGCGGAGAAGTGGCGAAGTGGCGGCCGGCCGAGTATACGTACCTACGCTACAACGATATCGTAACAATGCCGACGACGCACCGCCGTCCCCGCGGTCACGTTCCCATACCACGCGCGCCGTTCTCCCGTCGCCGTAGTTACCGTCGCGCACCGCCAGTGGTCGTGGTCGACGCCGCCGCCGAGTCCCGCGTCTCGTTCATTCGGCCGCCACGCTCGACCGTCGCAGCAACAGTTTTCCTTGCGCGCGACCGCCGCGACAATCATCAATTTTCTTCTGTCAATACGCCGGGCGCGCGATTCACCGCCGAAACGGTACCGCGGTTTTCTCGTCATTTTTATTATTTTTCTTTCATTTTTCGCCGCCGTTTCGCCGCGAGTCCGGAATAATTAATATTGACATTGTTAATTGCCAGGCACTGTTGCGGCCGTCCGGTAAGTATCGAACCCGCCGTAACAACAATATTATTACGTCGTTTAGGGTGGGATCGATATATTGTCAAGGAGACGTCGCGCGTCCCGGGGAACATTCTCGAAACGAGCGTTTTCGACCGTTGTCTAGATTTACGGCCGTGCGTAATCGTGCGCCTAATCGCAATCGTTCTCGTCTTCGCGACGTTTTTCCGTTTTTTCCGTTTTGCTCGAGAACCCGGGCGATTTCCCGGCAATACCCGTGTAGAAATTATGCGAAATTAATATTCGTGATTATTGTAATTGTGTTTTTGAAAAATATCGATTTTTCGAAAATTCGACTTTTATACACTTATCGACGTATTTTTCCGGGAGGGCCATTGAAGGGGAACATCGGTAATAGTCGATGTTGCTTAAACGTTCGGTATTGAAGATTGAAAGTTTCAAACGTTTTCACTATTGTCGTTTTTCCCCGTAGCCCTTCAAATGTTTTCTGTTTACGTTCCATTCTAAAAATTAATTATAACGAAATCAAATACTTCATCTCCGCCGCAACAACTATAGGCGAGTTTGCAACTCGCGTTTTAATTTATTATTATATCGCGATAAAATGTAAATTGTTGTTTTTGCAGGAAATACGAAAAAAAAAAAAAAATCATTATTATTGATATTGTTAATTCGATTTCCGTTTACCCGTGGGTAAAGTAGTGCGAATTCGGTGAAATACGTCCGGTTTAAAATACGAAATTCGACGGACGTCGTCATAGATCCGACGATGGGGGTTTTTCGACAGACGCTTTTTACGACGATTACAAAAACGATTTCCGGTTCGCTCCGTTGCTCGGTCAAACAAACGGGGAAAAAAAACAAAAAATAACGATAATAACGTCCGCAGCGAGATCCGCGTAAAAATGCGCGGCTGTAAATCGCCCGCGATATTTTACGGGATTCTTCCCCCCCCCTCCCCCGTCGTTATAATTTACACTTTCGTAATGCACATTGATTTTTCCGTGTCCTAGGTGGTAGAATAATAAATATTAGTATTGGCCGCACGTTTCGCCGCCAGTTCAACGCAATCGCCGAGACCGCCGCGGTGACTGCACGTGGTCTAATCAGCTGCAGCACGGACCCGGTGTAATAACACGGAAAATCCCGCGGGCCGAGCGCACGTACACGTAACTGATCTTTTTTATTATTATTTTTTTTTTTATTTTATTTCTCTCTCTCTCTCTCTCTCTATAAAATACCTGTATGTTTTTTTTGAGGGTAAGAACGCGGGTTTTTTTTTTCCTCGCAACACTGCACATAGTTCGGGATTCTGAACGGAGCGTGGAATGTATCGGTGCTTATTTCTATTTTTTTCCGCGGACGACTTTTCCACCAGCGATTTTGCTCCGATTTACAGTTGTAGCGCTCCATCTGAAAGGAAATCGGCTGACCACGGTGCTACTAGAGAGAGGTCATTTTTTGATTTTCCAAAATATTTCCGTAATAGTTGAGGAAAACCGGGAAATAACGTAGGAAAACGGGAAAATAGGTACAATTAAACAAATATTGTTAAAGAAAATATTTAATGCGTACCTGTGTAATATTATTTTACCGTAATGTCACATATTATATATTGTTGACGAGGCAACACTATTATGACCCGACTCCGCTCAGAACTTCTCACCCATAACAGCGGCCCACCCAGCGTGCGAACTATGTCCGTATCTTTTTTACACTGTACGCTTTGGGAGCCAAACGCATTATTGTCTTGGACCTCGCCAAGCCCCCCTCCCACTAAATACGTACCTGGCTCCGACCGATATATACTCGCAGGAAAATTGCATTCGAATAACGATCATTTTTCCGCAGGGTTTCTCGACGGTGAGTACGTCCTATTCGGCAGGGATGGTTACGTCCAGTACAGGACGAGCGAAGACCGCAACGACGATGCAAGACACGACATTTACTCTCGGCAAAGGCCGACGATCCGCCCGGATTGTCCAATTTCTGGTGTTCGCACTCGTTGCGATCGGTAAGTTCTAGACTAATAATAACCGTCGTTATACACAAACACGTCGTGTCAACGAACCGGGTAATTCTCGGCAAAAATGTAAACAAAAAAAAAAATATCCTTTTTCTGAATACCTCTGTGCGATGGCTTCGCCAGAATTTTTCAACGGTACTAAACTGAAAAAAATGCTCTGCAAAATATATAATATAATTATACCACCGTATATGATTTATACTCGGTCTAATAAGCGCAGTGCAAATGTGCAACGATTAATATTTCATCATTAACGAGATCTCAATGCTGAATAGTATTAATGTATAACTTTCGTTTTTTTTATATTTTACCCGCGGCCAACGAGGGGATGGCTAAAGACTCCTTTGCCCCCTTAGGTACGCCATGACCTATACACAGTGTTTCAGTAAATACAATAATATTATGATCCTTGCGTAGGTAAATCCAGTGCTTTAATTGGAAAAATGAAAAAGAAGGACTCTTACGCCAATTGTCAAACATAATTCATTAATTTTGGGAAAAAAAAAAAACACTAATAATAATACTGCTGAGTTTTGGCTTAAGTGTTTATTTATTTTAGCGTTCTGAGTGTAGCCTGGAATGTGTTAATTGACAATGATATTATCATATTTATGTATTCATTTTTTTTTCTGTCTGTAATCAATTTTTCTACCAAAAATCTTGCTCCGATTTTCAAGTGAAGGACCTTTTTCGAAAGGAAAATAGGAAATGTTATCTCTTTTTTTAGTAATAGTTTATCGTTGCGGACAGATATAAATTTAATTTTCCTTTTTGTTCTACCTTCCCAACTTCTCACCCACTCATCATGCGAAGTATGTCCGTCTTTTTTTTTTTTTTTGTAATTCGGTGAAAAATAATCGTAGGAAATTTCACCGAATACTTGTATATACTATATTTATATTAACCGTATCTAATCTAGTTATGGTACCATTTAAAAAATAATATACTGGTAAGTCTTATACATATATATATATATATTTAAAATAGTTTAAAATTTTCAATTTTTGTTTATTTTTAGTTTTAATTGGTTTTATGTGGATACATATTATAATGGTTTTAGCACAGCGAAAATGCTCGCAAATTTAACGCAAGTTTATCACGAGTTAAAATTATAGTGGTTAAAAAAAATAGTCGAGTGTAACGTAATAGAGATCCCGCCTTCGCACTCCCGTTGCCCCGGTGGAGCACTGGTAAATAGTAGAATCTGTTTCCATACTATATCCAACCCGAGAGTGAGAATTTAAAACTTGAATCCAAAAACGTCAATTACTATTGTTTTCAATAAATCGAGTTTTTTTTTTTCCGTGTAGTCTGACCAAACTACGTATATTACAATTGTCGAAATAAAATTACTAAATAAACGCATTCATAGTTGTTGTATTTTTAGACCAATGATGTGGGAACGATTTATCCATATCATTTCCTCCCCCTCCCCTGCGCACATATCTGTCTCTATACACGTGACGTTTCTCGGTTTAACGAGCGCGTACGATTTTGAAAGTAATAATAAGCCCAGAACGTAAAAAATCCGGACAGTATTTACTTGGGCCACACAAATCCGGAACCCAGTATTCCGGATAAATATCGATAGTTTCTAAAATATAATACTATATTATAGTGTAATATTATATGTTGTTAGAATATTATGTCCGTGGTCAATAAAAATGATTTTGTTACGCCATTGATAATAATAATACCTATGAAATATGGTAAACTCGTATACCGCGAGAGAAAAAGAAAAAAAGCTGGTGGAAAATTCGGGAAAGTAAGCGAAATAGCGGAGGAGGGTAAATAAATTCCGGAGCGGAATAAACGCGACGTATCGGCGAAAAGAATGGAGGTAACCAACAGTCTTATAGGAATGTTAAGAAATCTGAAAATGATTTAGGAACTATAGCAGGGTTTTTACTTCATTTCGGAATACCACAATCCGGAATATTAACGTTCTGGGATTTCGTCGTTCCGGAAAATTATGGCCTACCGTCGTTTTTATTGTTGTCATCGTGACGAAATTCCACGACGACCGCCTGCCAATAATAACACAAAAAAAAAAAAAAAAAACGATCATCAACGTCGTTAACCATTGTTATATTCGATGGCTATAAATGCGTTTTTTTGCTTCCTTATTCGTTATTGCGCGTTTAAAGTTTTGCTTTTGTTTTTTTTTTTTTCGGCGATTACAAAAAAAAAAATTACATCGTCGGTGATATATGTATTAGGTGTGCATTTTCGTGCGTAGTGTACGTATAATACGCCACGTTCTCTCCTTTTTTTTTTTTTGCACGCGCGCTCGGGTGTGAAAATATAATAGGCACAAGTAACGTCGTTATCGCGAATCCACTCGCCGCGGCCGTCGATACCTACTCGTATTAACAACAATAATTAATACAACTATTATTATTTTAATGTTCAAAATATACTATGATATAATAATATTATTACTGTTGTAGTCGCGTAGTTGAAGCGCAATTTTTTTTTTTTTTTTTTTGTTTATATATATATATATATTTTTTTTTTTTTTATCATCATTAACCGTATGGGTAATAATGTTTGGCAACGTTGAAAATTTGATTTCGAGCTAGATCACGAGTATTATTAGTGTTCAGTGTTCAGAGGACGTTACACCCGCGCGTCGTGCTGTCTTATACTACGACCGCGCGACCTGGCGAATTTCCGCTGAGCAGAAACGACTCTTTTTAAATTCCGAGTGTAGCGAAGAATGTATTGGTTTTACCAAGACGTTTATTTTTTATTTTATTTTTATTTTCACATACCGCGACAAACACTTCTACCAGAAATCTTGCGCCGTTTTGTACGCGCGGCATCATTTCTGAAAGGAAACATATGTCTATATGGCACTTTGGAGAGGTCAGTTTTTTAAATTTTCCAAGCGGTTTTCATGATATCTAGGAAAAACCGGGATAAAACGTAAGAAAAACGGGATATTTACGAAAATAATGCCTTTACCTACTTTCAATTTTGTTATTTGTTACAATTCAGTTGAAAATATTCGTAGAGACCCGAAATTTAAACAGTAATAATTAAACGTTATAATCGTTTGAGTAAAAAATTATGTGAAACAATTAAGTTCAATTATCTAGTTACTGATCCATACGAATTTTTTCAATATTTTTTCAAAAGCAACACTATTAACCAAGCTCAGAATTGTTTTTCGTTATTAATCTTTGCTTACAAATATATATTGAAATCTCCTCTATTTGGCTACAACACGATTGAGCATAATTTTGCGCAATCGTGTATATATTTTAATAGTCATCGAAATACATACACGATTGCGCAAGATTTTAAATGCAACGTTGCAACGTATTAGTTATACGACCCCAGTGTACGAAATAACAACAGTTAATGAAATAATTGATTATTTTTACACATTTTAAGATGACCATGGTTATGAACATTGATAATATTTTTTTTTTATAGTTCAAAATTTGTTATCATTATTTCAAGTACTTCCTTTGAAATGAATAGTATAGAAGTTAAGAGAACCATTATTGAATAATAATACTACTTATAATAGTGAAATATCAAAAAAAACAATTATAATAGATGTATAATAAAAGTTATTTTAAAACCATAGTTTTTGTCAGTTAGTTAATAAAATTCAATATTAAATATATATATAATCTATACAATTATGAAAAAAAATTTAAATTTAAAACAGGGGCGTCATTTCACAATTTTTCATAGAATTTACTTAGTTATTAGAAACTATGTTTTTTTTATTTTTTTTAACTTCTGTTTCGGACTGCGTTTCTAGTAAGACAGTACTGAATATATTGGCGGATGAGAGTGGTAACAAACTAAACTATGCATTTAGGACTTGAGAATACGTTTGGAGCGATAACAATTTTATCTCATATACATTTTATATTTATATTGAAATTTCATACCTTATGGACATAATTAAATATATTTTAACTTGATAATGATAATGCTGTCGTCGTATATCTTATGAAATTTCCTACAAAATACTAAATATACCGTTTAAGGTTTTCACACAGAACGCGGTTTGTAATATATGATGTTATAGTATTATATGTATTTATACATGGCAACGTTGCATTTAAAATCTTGCGCAATCGTGTATATATATATGAGCAATTTGCGCGTTCGTGTATGTGTTTCGATGGCTATTAAAATATACACGATTGCGCGAATTTTGCTCAATCGTCTTCACCGCTCTATATCCTACCTTCCCAACCTCTCACCTGCAACAGTGGCCCACCCGTCGTGTCGTGTGAAGTATATCAGTATTTTATTTCATGAAAACGATTTTTTAATTAAACCATCCGGGAATTGTATTCGTTTATATCGTGACATACGCGTTTTACACAATAATAAATTCGTATTTATATAAAATGTTTCGCACGCGTCGCACAAAAAAAAGAAAAAAGAAAAAAGAAAAAAAAGAGAACCTCACCCCGTTTGATATATTACACTGAGTCCAAACGAAGTGTTCGTGTATACTATACTCAAAATCACAAAATTCCAACCTATAATGTAGAATTATATGGTGATCAATAAACGTATTAGGTACAGGAAATGATATTTTAGAAAATATGGCGTATACAATGTAAACAAACATGATTCGTGCATATTATCAATAATTGTCGTTTTCATTATATTCAGGTTCGGTGGGTTTTATATAGGTGAAACGTGAAAATCGGGTACAAACGCATAAAATATTTTAGTACCTACGTATAATATATTTACGTGTTATACTCGGAGTATTTTGAATTGAATTAATCGAACAATGCAACTGATAATAAATATTATGCATTTGTGGCCAAATCTTTTAAATTTGTTTTCGATAATAATAATCAATAATAATAATTATAATCAATTTAGATAGGCGACCACAGTGTTCCATACTTACCGGGTCAATCATTTTATATAAATATACAGTTATATTTTTAGCGTATATTTGGTAACAAAAACATTTGTTGCGTAACATTGTTGGCAGTTAGGCGTTAAGGTTATGCGATTTTACTGATCCGAGCTGATCTCTTTTACTTATCGTTATTATTATGGGTTTAAAATTTATAACGTATTGTATCAGGTGATTCGTTTAAGTGGGTGCACTCATTATCTCGGAAAGTATTAACTTTTGTCGAAATTTGTTTTCTAAAACATGTAAGAAACAAGTTGCTCAACGATTTTATATTTATGTTATTTTTTGTCACCCTTATTTTTGGGGGTAAAACCATAGCCTAATTTTGATTTTCAAACGGCAACCTGTATTAAAATGTCCACAAATAGATAGAGTATTAGTTAAAATCAGTTTTAGTCTCGAAATTTTTGATTTCCGTTGATCCGTTGACGAGATATTTCACTTTTGAGTTTGGATTGAAGGATAGTAGTGGAGTGTCATTTGTGTGGCGGTACGGTACGTGTTATTAATGCACCACTACTCTCTTCCAACCTAAAATTAATAGTGAAATATCTCGTCAGTGGCTTGACAGAAATAAAAAATGTCAACACTAAAATTTATTTAAATTAATACTCCGTCTATGTTATGGACTTTTTAATATAGGTTGGTATTTGAAAATCACAATTTATATTACATATTACAATGTTTGATTTCCGTCAATTCGTTGATGAGATATTCCACTTTTAAGTTTGGGTCGGGGGAGAGTGGTGGCGTATTATTAACGCGCCGCGCGCCGTACCGCCACACAAATGATACTCTCCTCCAATCCAAACTTAAAAGTGGAATATCTCATCAACGGATTGACGGAAATCAAACATTTTAACATTCAAATTTATTTTAACTAATACTCCATCTATCTGTGGATATTTTAATACAGATTGCCGTTTGAAAATCAAAAGTAGGTAATGGTTCTACACCCAAAAATAAGGGTGACAAAAAAATAACATAAATATAAAATTGTAGAGCAGCTTGTTTCTTAAATGTTCTAGAAAACAAATTCCGGAAAAAATTAATACTTTCCGAGATAATAAGTATATCCACTTAAATGAATCACCTGGTATATCGATTATTATTAAAAAAAAGTAATTAAATACAGTAATATAGTAAATAAATATATAAATAAAAAATTTGCATGTAAAAATAAAATAAATAAATGAATCAATGCGTCGCCAGTAGTATTATGACAAGTTTTACAAGTAATATGATAAGATACTATTATTATTATTCGACCGGTTTCGAATTAAAAATTCATCATCAGGTATATCACAGTCAAAATATAAAACGTGACTGAATATAAAAAATTAAATGAAGAAATTCATAGGAAAAAAAAAAATGTACAAATTGATCGTTTTACATAGAATATAGAAATAATTTATTTTAATAGAATGGATTATTTAAAATTAGTTATTATTATACATAGATATGTTAAAAAATATAAATTATTTCTGTATTCTATGTAAAACGATCAATTTGTAAATTTTTTTTTTTCTTATGTTTTTCTTCATTTAATATTTTTATATTCAGTCGCGTTTTACATTTGGACTGTGATATACCTGATGCTGAATTTACAATTCGAAACCGGTCGAATAACACACTTATCATAATACTCCTGGCGACGCATTGATTCATGTATTTATTTTCTTTTTGTATACAATTTTTTTATTTATATAGAAAACTGGAAAATAAGTACAATTTATTAAACAAATATTTTTTGGAAAAAACGTACAATCATTTTACCATATTATATATACATAGTTGACAAAGCAGCAATATCAACCGAACTCTGTTCAGAATCGTTTTTTCATTGACAACGGTTAATAGTCACTTATACGAATATACATTAAATTACCTATAACAGTGACTGCACCCGTTCTCATTTTCCTCGGACAGGTTTTTTTTTTTTTTTACGATTTCGTCCGCGATTCGGATGGGCCGTCGTAATCTGAATCTCGGATCGGTCAGACACAATAATATATATATATATATATGTATAGTATATGGAATATCTATCGTTTTACGAGACGTTTCCGGATCTATAGAAATGAAAAAAAAACTACAACACTGTGACGAGATTCGCGGCGCATTAAATATAAATATTCGTTCCGACGTCTACAATAACGTATGAAAATACAATATTAGTCATCGTGTTTTCGTGTAGGTATACAACTACTACTATGCGGTGTAACGACACGAGTGCCCGACGTGGATCCAACGATAATGAAACGGTAATATGCATATTTCAGTTCTCCCTATGACCTATTTTTATTTTATTTTTTTATTTTTTCGTGTTTTTTTTATTTTTTCGTTTTTTCTCCGTACAGATCGTACAACGCGTACTGCGCGCAATAGCATTCGTTTTAAAATACGAACGAAAAAAAAATAAATAATAATAATAAAAACAGCACCGCGTTATTCACAATAATTATGTTTATCACTGCTTTCCGAGCGCACCACAAGACGTGTTACATTATAGGTAATCGCTGATAAAAACACCACTGGTTGTGCATAACGCGTATTGATAAATAGTATTGTAAACAAACAATCGTCGTAACTTTGACGTTTATGCGAAGAAGAAAAAAAAAAATTACGTTATTCGCGAATACGCTCGCCGCGGCCAATTATTTATAATTATAACGAGTATTAATAATAATAATGATAATAATAATGTGTCAAGTACGCACAGATCGGGCGGATCGCGCGGTAAAAAACTCTCCGCCGCGGATGACGTCACCCGGGCGGCGCGGCGGCACAATGAATTCTCGACGTACCCGCCGCGAAAAACCCGCAACAGTTGGTTTTACTCTGCTGTGCGCTATCACGCGTTTTCGTTTTTTCATCGGAAAACCTGCTTTTTCGGCCGAGAAAAACGCTCGCCATGAAACATAAAAAAAAAAAAAGGTGCGGATTTTTCGTCGCGGCGGTAGGAATATATTGGTAGTGTAGATTCTCAACGGTTTTTCGTGAAAAAAAAAATATATATATTAAAACAACTAATGACTATTATTTTTACGACAATCGTCGTTGACGTGAAAAAACCTACCACGTGCTAAAACCCGATTTTTCAGGAGACACGAAAAACAATGTTAAAAAACGGTCAATGAATGACGAAAATAAATTTTAAAATTGTAAAACCATAAAACTATTTATTCTGAAAAAAAAAAATATATATATATGTAGAAATAAAAAACTTAATATACAGTTATAGATATTATTATATTGTCAATATTTTATCACATATTGTTTTTTTTTTTTTTTTTTTTTTTTTTTTTTTAATCGTTTATTGGTTCAATTTACAATCTATANGACAGTGAGTAGAAATTTCACATTAGAAATTTCTACGTGGAAGTTAATTTAGGGGGGGTGTGTATTAAACATGTTATGCTATATGTGCGTTGAGAAGATCTCTGGGTCATTCACGTTTGAGGCGTCTGTCTTAGATGTCCGGAAGAGCATTGGTATGAAGTTGAGCAATGAGGGTATTTGAATGATGTTCCATATTGGAGTGGAGTCGAAGATAATATTTTATAACTGTTTGATGGTAGGGATTTAGAGGTCGTTGTGAAGAGCAAGATTTGTGACGTACCAAGGGGCTTTAGCAATTGTGCGGAAGCAGATGGCTTGGAATGCTTGAATGGTTCTTGTGTTTGATGGTTTAGCGGTTCCCCATAGAGCGATTCCGTATAACCAGATAGGTTGCAGTAGAGATTTGTAGAGTAGTAGACGATTGGAGATGGGCATGTTTGATTTCATGAGAGGCCTAAATATGTGTAAGCGGCTATTTAATTGTATTTACGAAATTTACGAAAAAGTCGCAACGTATATTGCCCGAAATATTATATTCTTTTTAATCTCGAATTAATAAAACACGTTATACATAATATGCGGAAAAAATCGTCGTATCGCGTCGGGACAACTCGCCCAATAATTTAATAATTATGGGCTATTGGTTATAATCTCTGCATGCAAAACAGCAATAATTATAAGGTTAATACAGAGTTTTTGGTTTTCCACATTGTCTCGAGGAAAACATAGAAGAGAAAATAAAAAAAAAAATCTCGAATAACGCGATCAAATAATAATATCGTTATTGTACAGGGTGTAACGGAACGCAACGGAAATAATTTCTGTTCTAATCAAAATTGAAAATAAAAATAAAAATGTTTAATTATTGTTAATGCATCTCTGCGTTAAAATTAAAATACCGAAAGGTTTTTTATTTATTTATAGGAGATTAAAATTATTTTTAGTTTTAATGATGATTATATTATATTAATTAATAGAATATAGACGTTAACTAATTATTCGCGTTTCGTTTTTATTTACGACTACTAAAAATATTGTTGTACGATTTGCTCAGAATCAATTATTGTACATCACTTTCAATTCGCGTCATGGATAAATTACTTAACCGATTCCATTGTAGACGTCAAGTGGGCATTTATTCGCCTCGTAGCAGAGAATGCACTTTCAGACGTTTCGGGGGAGGGGGGGGAATTGATAATGTATAATTGAACCGTCTTGAACCAAATCATCTCTGAAGGAGATCAAAACTAATAATTATTTCGTGATAAGAAGATTTCTTCGCAACTGTTTCTTCATACAAATAAAATATTATGCATTTATTTTTAAGGAGGGGGATGTTAGTAACTTGGGCTAGGCCTGCCTCCCCGCTAGTTGCGTTTCGGATAAGAAGTTATGGTTTTTCCTCGATAATTTTAAAAAATATTCTTGTCACCCCCTCAAACAAACGCCATTGGTATCGACTGTACCGCGATTGAATATCGAATACGCTACGACACGTAATATCCTCGTATGCAAAAAAAAAAAAAAACCGTAGTTTGTACTTGTAATGCATACGTACAAAACGGTTATGTTGTTAATTATTACAAAAAAAATTAAAAATATCACGGTAAAATTGCAGGCAAAGTACCGTGATATCGAATTGAGAAACAGAATTAATAATAATACGATCGACATCAGAATGCTAATGTCGTTTCGGGTGACGGATCTCCGAGGTTACACCCTGTACATTGCACCGGTCGTAGCCACCGGCCGCCGTTGTTGTTGCGCCGGGTTTAACAATCGTTTCCGCGTGTAGGTCGTCTTCGCGCGCGAAACGGGCCCTCCCAATGTCGACGGGAAATCGCAGCTGCCGCCGCCGCCGCCGCCGCCGCCGTTGTCGTCGAATTGACTGGCTGCTGACCTCGCCGCCGTTTTATCTAAATCCGTCGCCGTGGTGCAATTCGCGGGGCCGCTACGCGCCGCCCGTCGTCGTCGTCGTCGTCGCGCGATACGATATTATTCAGTGCCTACAATAGCAATAACAGTAACAGTAATAATGATAATAATAATAATAATAACAATAATAATAACAATATTGCGCATCCGCCCGTATGATAAACCGCGCAGTCACACGCGTCGGTTATTAACAATTGCCGTCGTCGTTGATACCGCGCGATAACAATGCGACGATAATTGTGCCGTTTCTCGACGGCGACGTCGCGAAATAACAAAATGATAAATATTAATAAAAATATATGAATCCGCGACGTTATTGTTGTTGCCGCGAGGACACGTAATGCGTCTCGCCGAATCACGCGAACTCTGCGCGCGTGTAGCGAAACCGTTTTTACACGATCGGCCGCGTGAAGTTTACTATTCGTTTTCTTCTTCTTCTTTCTTCTTCTGTCTTCCATCTCTCCCCCACAATCCAAAGAACTCAGCTAGAGTATTTTTTTTTTCCACTCTTGGTACCAACTTTTCCCCCGTCAACGCCCATTCGGGTAATAACGTAACTATTATAATTATGCACACGTTTATACTACAATATGATGGCCTCCAAATTTAGTAGTGTAAGCTTTACCGATGTGTATATGTTTGATTTTCAATGATATGTTCACAATAATTGTCGAGATATTATCATATCCTTGTTAAAATTTCATTAAATAAAAAAAAGCTGATACTGGGAATGGGAGCGGCCACTGTTGTAGATGAGAAGTTGATTAGGTAGGATACATAAGGTCATTTCATTTATATCTGTAAGCAACGATAAACCATTGCTTGACGAAAGATGATTCCGAGCACAGTTCGGTAAATTTATAATTTAAAATGCAGTAATTTTTTTTTGCGTTTTTCTTTAAAATTTGGTTTTAAAACGCTTATTAAAAAAAAAAAAAAAGTCCTCCGATGAATTTTAAAATTTCACCGCAACTAGGTAAGTCCAATATAAGTATTTCCAAGTTTCAAGTCTCTACGTATATTTACAACAGAATAACAGCAAAAACCTCCCAAAAATTAAAATTCCTTAGAAGCTCAAAAGTTTTGGCGATGATACGGTAAGAAAGTAAATTAAAGAGGCAATAAAAAATGTGTCATATGATTTTTCGAACAAATCAATTTTTCTGGTAGAAAACGTTCGTGTTTTTATAAAATAANCGTCGAAAATCAAAATAAAGACCATTTTAAAGTTACATCTATACAACTTAAGTTTTCAGAAAAGTTGTTACATTTAAAAATCGGAGCAAGTTTACTAAGAGAAAACGTGTCCACAGACTAGAAGAAAAAAAAAGAAAGAAAGAAAGAAACAGCATTGTAAAACCAATAGCTCCTTCACTACGCTCGGTATCTAAAACAATCAATTATACAATATAATAAGTAATTTAATACATCACTATACCTACAATAAAATACTTATATAATATTCGCTCTTATCTTAAAAGTAAAAATTTAAATTTTTGGCCCACCGAGAATAAATATTTTTTTTTTTTTTTTATGGTCCTCTATAAAAAAAAGTTTGGTTTCCACTGTTCTATGTGATGTTGTTTCGGTACATTTATTAAAAACCTCACTTATAATAGAACCTGAATTCCGGAAGAATCGGGAGCTGCAACTATAAAGAGGCTACTATACGTATTATATATTATATATCTGTGGCTTGTCTTGGCTTTTCGGCCAATGTCATTTCTTTAAGCCCATTTCTCGACAAACACAAAATGAGGCATTGGTCGTTCTCGCACTGAATCGTTTACGAAATCTTGTATATGTAATATCACGATTATTTAAAAACGTTTAAATTTGCTTAAAATCAAAATATCGAAAAAAAAAATGTTTTATAAAAATGATTACTAGAGCGCTGTGCTATAATATTTCTCTATTTTATATTTTTTTTTTTTTTATAAAATCCAAGTTGCCACTTAATAAAATAATCGTATATTTTGAAACAAAATTTTATTTGTTAGAAATATTAAATAATCATGAGTCGTCGATTTTCTAATAAAAATTGAAGTTTACGATATTTAAATTTTTTTTAATTATCATTATAATATAAATCGATACAACAATTTTTTCACGAAAACAATTTTTTTTAGAATTTGTATAAATATCAACAAAATTTAGAACCTCGTGTCTAAATATTTATAATTTTAAAATTTCGTTTCAAAACATATTTTTAAAATGGCTATTTCAGTTTTTGTTTTTTAAAAAATATACACAATAGAGGAATATATTAACGAAGACATTTAAAAATATCGAACAGAGAAAACGCTGAAAATTCAGTGCTTGAATTCGAAAACAATTATAAGACAGGCGCAAAAGTGTTAAACAAATTCGCGTACCTTAAGATTTAATTACTGTCTTTATGTTGATAATATCCATTCGGGGACGGAGATAAGGGTTGCACAGAAGGAGGAGTGGTATCCCTATGATGGAGATACTCCGAACTTCAAAATTTAGAAATTCAATAAAGATAAAAATACAGCAACACTAATATATTTTTAGTTTTTTTTTGTTTTTTTGTTTGGTATCTTATTGCGTGATTACCCGCGTTATATTATATACTTCAATCGTGTACTATACTTATCAAAGAATAAACAAAATTAGTAAAAAAAATGTTTTGAGTTCGTTAAATTTGGTACCTGGAGTCGACAAGCACACCCCTCCGTAGATTTTTATTTGACTCTGTATCCATTTGGACAAATTAAAAAGGTACATTAAAATTTGTTTAGGCAAAATGAGGTTTTCCGCTTCCTAACCGTAACCCCCAATATAAGCGCACTGGTTATAAAAATAGTAACTAATAATAATTATTTATTATTAGTTACTATTTTTTTTTAAACAATTTGTCTGGATTCCAAACGTTTGAGACGGCGAATTCAATTCAGGAAAACGATTAGGTTCATTCAAAACGGTTATTTTATTATTTTTTTTTTTTTTTCATTGATTTCACTCAATTGCCCGTATTATAATTTCATATTCCTACCTACCAGCCTTCTCACATACCCTGTTAAATAATTAGTCTACCCGCATGGTGAACAGGAGTAATATATTTTAAACTTTATTTTTGTTATTATTATATAGAATATACAAACGCGACTGTTTTAGATTCTGAGGAATGTGATTTTGGTTTTACTATGTTTTTTTTTTTTTGTTTATATAAACGATTTTTCTACCAGAAATCTCGTTTTAGTCGAAATAACTTTAAAGAAATTTCCTTGTACTATTTTTTGTCTACGTAGTTAATGCGTTGGTGAGATAGTTTTTTGATTTTTAAATTCTGAGTGGACTCAGTGGAGCAACGAATGTATTGGTTTTACAATGGTGTGTTCTTTTTTATTTATTTTTTTTATCGGTGAATAACTTTTCTACCAGAAATTTTGCTACGGTTCACAATGATAGCAGTTTTTCTCAAAGAAAATCTAACTTGAAAGTTACTTTAAAGAGGTAATTTTTTGATTTTCTTAGGAATTTAGAATTTAAAGAAAATGTTTAATGCATATGTAATTATTTTACCATAGTATAACATAAATATTGTTGACAAAGCAAAACTATCTATCGAACTCCGCTCAGAATCGTTATTTCGTTAGCAATTGTTATTCGTTGTGTACGATGTACATTAAATTTCTGTCCGCTATTTCCTACCTTTAATTTTATATTGATGTTTTGAAAACCGCAGCCAATAATTATTGTTTATATGATTTTTGTTGATTTCTGTTGGGTTACCCTGTTGACCGCAAAGGCATTAAATACGGCTAATAATATTCTGCTCGGAATCGTTTTTCGTTAGTATTCAATGGTTAGATTCTTCGCATACAAGTACACATTAGATGGTGTCGTCCATCTCACCTTCAAAAACAGTCCGTCAGCCGGCTTTTTTTTTCTTTTCGTTTTTTTTTTTCTAATGCAACATATTACCAAATATTTAAAACAAATATTATTAAAGAAAATGTATAAATAGCCTATTGATTTTACTATGACATATATATATTGTTGGCAGAGCATTCACTATCAACTGAACTCCACTCGGAATCGGTTTTTCGTAAGCAATGGTTTATCGTTGCTTACAGGCGCACATTAAATTACCTACAACAGCGGCTGCACCCGTTCGCATTATCCTAGGACGTCTTTTTTAAAAATATTTCCACTCGATTTTGTCGGGACTTTTTCGACGGCATTAACAGCTTTTCGGCCGATTTTAATACGCGCATATACATCGGATACTTGATTTTTATGATAATAAAACGCGCGTATGCCGATGGTTCGTGTCATTACCGTGTCATAACGGAAAACAAAACCGTCAATAGTTCGTGTTGTTCGTAAGCGGCGACGACGACGACGTGTTGTTATGGATGGCGTGATGTTTTACGTTATTATTACTACAGTGCCGAGGCGCATAAATTACAACGTCCACGAATACTGGCGGTGGCGGCAGCGGCGGCGGCGGCAGTCGTCGGCGTGCAGGTGGCCGCGTACCGTCGATTTTTATTTTTAACGCCACTGAAACCGCATTTAAATGTATAATAATAACTGTAATGTCATAGTATTGTTACTACGCGTTGTACCGCCGCCGACGTCTCCGCGCGGTGTCAAAACGAACTAAATGTTATTGTACGCGCGATTCATTTATTAGGATTGCGCAAATACAATCGATATTATCGAAATATCGATATTTTGGTGTGGGGGGGGAGGGGAAATCGATATTATCGAAATCAAAATCTATATTTGCGCGTCGTGAACATACGAACGATTCGCAACGTCGAAATTTATCAAAACCGCCCACGTCTATATGAAACCGCTATAAAAAAAAAAAAAAAAAAAAACGTTAANAAAACACGTTAAACACGTCAGGGGGGGGGGGGCGTCATTTCAGTTTTTCAACTGCAGGCGTGCGAACGTTTGCCGATTTTCCTGGACATTTCCCGTCCGATTCGCTCGCTATTATATGTATTATGATTTTATCGTATTCCCGCTCGACATTTTAATATTCAAACACCGAATTTGTTGACACTGCTGCAGTAACGATATTATTGACATTGATACGCTATACGGCCATAGTATAGTTTTTCACGAAATACTTCACTCGTTATAACCACGATTTACTCCGCGTGACGTTCATTTCGACTGTTATCTCGCCGCTAACATACCTGTTTATTTAGCCACGTTAACAGTTGAAAATTGACCGTGGTGAAAATCCCCGCCGTGTCTCCCATCCCGCATTTCCGCCATTGGCCAGTTACAACGATTACCTTTCGCGCATTTTACTAAATTTCGTCAACAACGGCGCAATAATTATTCGTAACATTTTGCGCGGGCCGAAAACCCGTTAAAAAATATAGGGCTGCCAAAATATATCCCTCAAACGACGCCTCTGGACAAACATAAACGTGCTCTGAAATAACCGCAATGCAGAATATTATACAGATAGCGTATCACTCGTCCCGAAATGTTGGCCGTCGCCACTGCCGTTAAAAATTTAGCCGTCTATAGTATTTTTTCATGGAAATCACAAAACATGCGAATTTTTCGTCCGATAGTAAGTACTAAGTACTTTATCTGAAACATTTTTTTTTTTTTTAATATTCCCACTTTCTGAAATTTTTTTTTTAAATTTTCCAATCGAATGTCGATATCGATATTCGAAAAATCGATGCATTGAAATCGATTTGCGCAACCCTACGCGCAATAACGCTATACGAACGGAATAATAATTAACATAATGTAGGCATAGTTGATATTACTTATTATTATTGTGATTACGCATTGTTATATATTAATAGAACTCTATAATATCGTAATAACAATATAATAATAATAATTATTATTATTTACCTGATAATATTTTATCGGTTCGTTGAGAAAGTTTTGGGGGGTAAAAAAAACAAGCCACGCGGTTTCGTTTGATTTATGCCGGCGGTCACAGTACCTTATACTACAGGAAACGCAACGCTCTTTTTAATATTAATATGCGATAATACGAGTTATTACTATTCATTATACAATCGTACAGTCATAATTTATTATAATGTAATCATAATAACAATTCCGTTACCTATGATTTCATACGGCTGTCCTTAACGTAATATAGATGAGGAGACGATTTATTTTTGTTGTTTTAGATTCTGGGGGCCTATTCTCAATGCAATTGGAAATATCGGTCGAATAACTCTTTTCGATCCTTGATTTTCGATCAAAAAAGTCCATTCGATTGCTAGTTCTCGATCGAGTGTATTCTCAGACAGTGATTGAATATTGTAAATCGTAAATTTCATTTTCGGTTGTCGAATCGCCTATCACTAAAAAGAGTTTTTATTCCGTGAAGAAACGGAATACACGGCCGATAACAATAAATTGTTTGCGAGTTACGTCTATTCAATACTTATATCATATACTAGTATACATATTATATGATCTAAAGAAAATCAAAAGTCAATACCTAGTGATTTCACCATCGAAAAATAACATTTTTTCCAGCACCATACTATAGTTTCATAAGTTGTCGAAAAAAATTAAGGGCTATACCGAGACAATAACGAATGCGAATTTATCGCCCTTGTAATATATACACGGTAAAATTGATTTATTAATTAACTACAAAAAAAAAAAACAACCGAAATCAAATTTTACGCGAATTTTTTCGCGTAGAGGTAATCTCCGGTTGACGACCGTATAAACATCGGTATGTAATAGTGCAATTAGGTCGGTACGACATTAGGTATGCAAATGCACTCAATTCAGATGCGATCTCGTTGAAAATTATTCATCGAACCCGTTGTACGGTACATAAATTCAACGGGTGATAATGTTTTGAATAGTATCAATATATTATTATTACCCCAAAACTGCTGTCGTCACCGCTTGTCGGTCCAAAAACTCGTATACAAGAAAAATTCGTATAGTTAAAAAAAATCGCCTCTAATATCGCGGGCGGTTCGAATTGAAAATCAATAAATATTATTACGTACATGTTTTGTTGACTTTACCTATTAAATCTCTCACCGGAGTGTATTTACGAAATAATAACACTATTACTTTTATTGCATTGAAGACGATATGATAATATAATAACTATTCCGATGAACCAATACTGTTCGTTTATACTGTTCGTTACACCGATAAATGATTATTTACAGGTTTTCCTCCCTACCCCCCCCCCATCAAATGCTCGTTCGAATTCCATACAGGGTGTCCCGCGAACATAGTATTGTGGCCATTGCGATATCTCGTGGAGAGTATTAACTTTTTCCGTCATTTTTTTTTTCGTTTGTTTTTTTTTTTTTTTTTTTTACAGTTTAAGAAACAATGACTTCACCAGGCGCGTTTACAAAAGAATATTTCAGGCAGGGGGGTTAAGGTTGTACACTTTCATACTCTTATGATAAATAGAAGTTTACATACTTTCAACTGTAGAATTATTTATTTTTCATTAAAAATGTCAATATTTTATAACGTTCATTTTTAGGCTTTTAGGTTTACCTGCTAAATATTACATTTGGTTTTTTATAGCGAATTCAGCTTAAATGATAACGGCAATTCGTATTATTGTGCTGATAATACGGACTATGCGATATCGCCGTATCAGTTATAATTTTCTGAAAGCAGAAAAACCACAACAAATTAGAAATATGATTATTATAACAATATGTATACCTACTATCTAGTTAATAAAATAAAAATTAAAACCAACATTGTAATTATTTTCCTCATTGACAGAAACCGCTTTTGAGACTCTATTCAATAATCTATTTTAATCATGATTTTCAAAATTAACCCTGCCCCCTCCCCCTTGTACACGCGTCTGGACTTTACCGTTATTATTTGTCGCCCTTATTTTCGGGAGTTCCTGAGGTTGCCTGATTTTGCTTTTCAAATACCGTCGACCTTCGTTGAAAAATCAATAAGCGTCAAACAGAGTAAATTGGCGCCGACATTTTTGATTACCGTCCACTGGTCGACGGGATTACTTTTCGTTGGATTTTGTTCCGCTAATACTCTCTCCTCGGCCGGTTCGATCCCAAAAATTAGTGGAACGAAAAAACAAAATAATGATAATGTAACGTTATAGAACTACTCCCGAGATATCTCAACGGTCATGACGGGACGCGTTGTACATAGTATGGTTGACGTATCGGGCGCGATACAATAAATTCGAGTTTTTCGGATAATTTTGTTTTTTCATTATCAGTAAACAAATCGGTTAGGTCGATATAGATAATCGCGAAATAATAATAATATTATTGATTATAAATACCGTTACGAGGATGTCGGCGCGCTATTTGCGTTACGCTGTTTGGCCCGCGCGCAACATGGCAAATTTCAACGTTCAACGAGAACCGCACTCGCGTGTCATTGGCTCGGGTATTAGATAACGATTTGACCCGCCGTCAGTGGTTGTTTTTTTTCTCAAAACTTTCGAAAAATTTGTATTTACATAACGCAATGTGTGATTTCCAGAAAATGTGTACGAGAATTTACATTGATTTGAGAACAATATTCCGCAGGGAATTTCATAGGTGGTTTTTTGAACTATGAACTATTAAAAAAGTTACAGTCGTTAAAAAAAGAAAAAAAAAAAGAAAAAAAAAAGGGTTTTGTATTTTTTATATCGAGCTGTTTATTTTGAATGACAAGAATTCCTTTTACGTTCCCTCCGCAATGTTGTTCTCTATGAATTTCGTAAGAGGTACTTTGACTCTAAAACCACATAAACAAACTGTGTTTTACTTGTTCTGCGTAAGCATCATTGTTTTCGCATGTTACCCGGTAGTTGGACCGAGCCAGTATAGAATCGGACGCGAAACGAACAAAAAACGCGCAAATCGTAATATTTCTGTGTGTTTGCCCTCGCGTCCATTACGTAATCACAATGATGTGCCGTGCATATTTTACACGTTGACGAAATGCAAGGCGATTGCAATAATAATAATAATAATTATTATTATTATTATTATTGCAGGTATACAGTGTGATGAATATTGCGCCCATAATATTATTAATACTATTATTATACGCGTCGTGTGTATGTATTGTATACGGTTATAGCGTTTAACTGTTTTAAGTGGCGTGTTTACGGTCCGTTTATTATTTTTCCGGGGAAGGAGGGGAGGGGGCGGGGTGTTGGTGAAGGTGTTGAATCGACGCAATTTAGACGGTCGAATCCCCCCCTCCTCCTCCGAATCATACAGAATATACCGAACCCGCCGATGTATAATTATAGAAGCCGTGCACTTCTGGAAGGTTTAGAATGGCCAGAAGAGCGGAACACCTAGCGCCCTTGCCACCAGTTGCTTGCACAGCCTATAGATTTACACACATAATATCGATCGCGCGTATCGAAATAAAACCGTTTAAACGGTGACCGACGATATTCGTAAAATATCGTAAATGACTACTGTCGGTGGTACGTACGTGTCCACGTACATTTTATTACGTTTTGGTTAATACGTGTGGCGCGTGCGAGCGGCCGCCGCCGCCGCCACTGTCGGTTGGTATGATCGCATTAAGTATTCACAATTGATATAATAATATTATTATTATTATTTTAACCGTCAAATATCGTACACTATACAGGGTGTCGCGATTGTGTGGCGAACGTCTGTATTGGCGCAAGCATTACGTGCGAGTGCAGCGTATGTAGCAGTGGCGTGACTAGAACACTTTTATGTAATGGCCGATAAGGTAAAGAAGAAAAAAATACGGACACACTTCGCACGTGCATGAGCAACTAGGTGAAAAATTGAGAACGTAGAGGGGAAATTTAATATCGCTGTACCTACATACGCAACGGTTTATCATATCATGTCATCAGTTTATGTCATGGATATCTAAACTCTAAAGCTTGTGCGCAGCATTTTGAAACACAATACACAGTCGACTAAATAGATTAAAATAATGGTTTTCATCCATTTGTCGATATTGTTACCAAAGACCTATTGTTAAAGTTCTCCTTGCCAATTTACGTCCACCAAATTTCAACCTATAGACGTATTTAAAACATCTTCGCTGTAGGGTAATCAGCATAACGTAATAACACACTAATTGTATATTATATCGGAACGTATTAATTTTTTTCGTAGTTTATTTTTTTTTCGAACATTTAAGAAACAACAAGCAGCTTTAAAATTTTAAATTACCGTTGTTATTATTTGTTGCTCTTGTTTATGAGGGGAGTGAAACGGAAACGACTGCTCCCCTACTTTTGAATTTCCCGTTTACAAGATATTCCGCTTATAAGTTCGCGGTATCATATCGGTAGGGGAAGAGTATTCAAACCCCGCGCACCGTGCCGCCACACAAATGGCACTTCACTTTACGCTGTTCTCCCGACCTAACATAAAAATGGAATATCTGATAGGCATTGAAACGGATTGACGTAAATTGGACGATTTCAACACCAACACCAAGCATAAACCCTCGTCTGTTTATAATTTAGAGCCGCTTGTTTCTCAATTGGTCTAAAAAACAGATTTCGAAAATAATCAAGTTATAAGTTATAGTTAAGTTGTAACAGGTATTATATTTTCTCGATTTATATATATATATATAATAATAACACACACGCAGCATAGAAATTTAGATAGATTTTCCTTCATTCGATAGAAATGTATTTGGAAATTTTGGAAATTAAAAACCGAAAAAAAAAACCAACATGTACCCTGACCGTGATCGCGTGTAAACGCTGGACGATTAATTCATATCGTTTCGTCGATCGAACCGATCGAAGGATATTCGGTCGGAAACTATTGCGTTAAACCGAGTAATATACTACAAACAATAATAGGCACCTATTATGATAATGTATGCGTTTGACAAAGATTTGAAAACATCGGTTTCCGATTCCCTTAATCGGGGCCGTCATTTTCAGTTTCTCAACGGGGATGCGAATCGGTTTGAACCGGGCCGATTTTCCTGAACATTTTCCGTTCGCTTTTATTCGTATTCCTGTTTTGCGTTTTAATATTGAAATACTGGGTTTGATGAAATTTACAGCACAATTTCACTAAACCACGGCTGTATAGTTAATTTTTTCACGAAATACATAACTCGCTATGCCGCGATTTACTCTACTTGACGTCACTGACGACTCTATTATCTCTCGCTGTAGCACGCCTGTTTTGTTTGGCTACGATAACAGTATTAACTAACAGTTGACGATATATTTTATCAACCGCGGTCAAAATCCTCCGTGTCTCACTCTCGCATCTTAGAACCCCCCTCCCCCCTCCCCCTGTATTGCGAATATGCGGCCATTGGCGGTTACAGCGATTAATTTTTGCGTTTTACAGTCGACAACGGCGCGATTATAACATTTTACGCGGGCCGAAATAAAAAAAAAAAAAACCAAAAACGTGTACGCCAAAAACCCGTCAAATGACGCCCCTGCCCTTAATATTGTTTGTACAGTAGGCGTGTATATATATATATAATATTCGGTTTACGAAACTTCGCGAGACGTTTATTCTATATAATACACAATTTACCGGCAGCTGGTCAAATATCCAGACCGAAAATATGTTTCCTATAATATTGTAGACAAACGAATGCATATTATTACGAAACGTAATTTTCGTCCTACGCGATCGCGCACGGCCTGCAATAACACTACGGCGGTATTACACGATTTTAACGCGGATAATAATTATAACATGCGTTTTATTAGTAAAAGATTATAAAAAAAAAAAAAAAAAAACGTTTTCTGGTTTTTTGGTCTTTATCGGCAACACATCGTACCTCTCTGAAGTGCACAGGATGTAACACGAAGATACGACACGTTTCGTTCTGCATACGCTATTTGCGAGTGTTTCTTTTTGTCTCGTGTCAATGTTTAAATAAGCTACGATTCCCTCTATTTTATATTTATTCATAATTTAGTTTTCATAATATTATCAGAAAATTTAGTTTACTATTCAAACAAAATAAATAAAAACATTCAATTTACACTCGAAATACAAACGAATAATAAAGTAAATTTCTTGGGTCTTACAGTTTCCATAATAAACAATAAATTTGGTTTTAGTATTTACAGGAATCCTGCACAAACTGATTCTATAACACCACACGATTCTAATCACCTTTATTCTCAAAAACTATCATTTTTTAATTCAATTAAACGTAGTCCATTAAACAAACATAATTATCAACACGAGCTCAATATTATCTATAATATAGCCCATAGAAATAATTTCAAATTAAATAATATTAAAAAAAATGTATAAATTTATTTAAGATAAAATAATACACAACTCGACAAATAATGTTGTTAACTATTGTAGTATAAAATATCAAAATAACGTGTCTAACGAATTCGCTAAAATTCTGAACGACAATAAAAATAACGTAAAAATCGCTTTTAAGACTAATAATAATATCATTAAACGTGTAAACAATAAAACTGAAACCTTCACAAAAATCTCTCTTCTTTTGAAAATGCCGGTATATATAAATTTAAATGTAACTGTAATAGATTTTATATAGGTAAGACTAATCGAAATTTTAAAATTAGATACAAAGAACACATTTCCGAAATAAAAAAAACACCGTCCCCAATTCAAATTTCGCTAAACACGTTTCGAAAAATAATTATAATATAAGTTATACGCATACATTTTTTTGTTTATACGTTTATTTACTTTGCCTGTTATTTGTTTAGAAGTCGATTGTTTCTATGTAGATACTACACTTTATTAGTAAGTAGTGAGATGAGTGAGATTCTTGTCACATATTTCAATAATTTTTATCATAATATTGTAATATATTATTTGTATGAACATTAAACACATAAATAAATTGAATAATTAGAGATATTATTGTGCAACGCAATTGATTAATGTTAAACATTTTTTATGAAAGGATTTGGGGAATGTGCGGATGTCAGTGTATGCCAAGTCTCTCGCTAAATATGATTAAATAAATTTGAATGTTAAACTTTTTAATTTTTGTCAGGCCGTTTACGAGATATTCCACTTTTGAGTTTGGGTCGGGGGAGAGTAGTGGAGCAACATTTGTGTGGTGTGGCACAGCGCGTGGCGTTTTATGAATGTACCACTACTCTCCCCCGACCCAAACTTTAAAGTGGAATATCTCGTCGAAGGATTGATAGAAATTTAAATTTTAAAACTTTCACCCCCCTGAAAATTAGGGTGGCGAAAAATGACGTAAATGTAATGTTGCAGATCTGCTTGTTTCTAAAATTTTCGATAAAACAAATGTATTGGGAAATTAATACTTTCCGAAATAATGAGGGTCTTATGATATATTGATCACCCTGTAAAAAATTGCGTATTATATTAGATGTAGGTATACGTTTTTACACGCGACCGTATTTTCGTTTTTAGAAAAACGGGGAAATGTCTCGGGGGATTTCGCAAATAAAAGTACATTAAAAAGGTTAAAAAATTACGTAAAAAAGACGGACAAATTTCGCGCGTGGGTGGGTCACTGTTGTATTAGGTGAGAATTCGGGAAAGTAGGATGTAGAAGGGAATTTAATGCATATCTGTGAGGAATGATTAATCACAGCTAACGATAAACGATTCTGAGCGGAGTTCGGTTAAATAATATTGCTTCTTCAACAATATATATATACACATGTAAAATTATAGTAAAACGAATATATATTGAAACAATTTGTTTTGACCAGTAACTATATAGATCTGTTCCACATAATTGTTTACACAAACGATTTTCGTCAACATTTGATATTAAAATTCCTTTATAGAAAAAAAAAAAACTGCCACATTGAACTCAATTTTTTTTTTTTATTTGACCACTAAGCATGACTATTAATGAACCTCCTGTCCGAATTTCAAGTCTCTACGAATGTTTTCAACTGCATTACAACAAACAATACGTTTCAAATACGGGTTTTCTCGGATATGAGGAAAACCGAGCAGAAAATCAAAAAAATTACCCCCCCCCCGATGTTACCATTTAGATTCTAGACAATATTTCCTTTTCGAAAAAGTGCCACACTTGCATCACATCGGAGCAATATTTCTGTTGGACAATTTTGTCACAGTACAGAAAGAAAAAAATTAATAAACACCTTTGTAAAACCAATACATTTTTCGCATCATTCGGAGTCTGAAAAGTTAAAATGCAACAATACCATGAAAAAAAAAAAAAAAAAAAAATAATGAATTAATTTATTACACATTTTTTTACGGACAAACGGAATCGGTAAATAAACTCTAACAAGGAGTGAGGGAGGGTCAAACATGTCCTAAGAATCGGGGTTTGTTGTTAGCCTAATGGCGACTTTTAGGCGAGACCTCCGGCCCTGGCCGTCGGTATTATCGGCCTAGGGCCGCGGTACTCGCCGCTAATTATCGTAAACCTTGCGTCCTTATCACTGCGTTAACCCGGTGCGTTTGTTGTTGTTTTTTTTTTCCGGACAGGCGCCGGGACAAGACCAGCGGAATCCGCCGCGGTCGTGAACAACGACAACCATAAGCAACAGTTGCTGGACAGCAAGGTGCCGTCGACCATCTCGTACGGGGGCTGCGACGACGGCCGCGTGATCAACTGCCGCACGCTGCCGCTGTTCAACTACACGGACCTGACGCCGCCGCCCGTCGGGGCCGACGCCGCCGCCGACATACTGCAGGACGACAATTGCCCGTCAGTACCGCGACGCCCGCGTTGGCCGGTGTGCGGCGTTAACGACCACGGCGACGGCGACGGCCGCGGTGAAGACGGCGGCCGCGGCGGCCCCGATCCGCCGCCGGCCGCCGCCGTGCTGCCGGACGCCGACCGCCGCCGTTTGTATTACGCGCTGTTGCTGCCGCTGTCGCTCTCGTTGTTAATGCTGTACACCGGCCATTTGTATTTGTATTTCTTGCTGCTGTTGACGCTTTTGCTGTCGTTTATCGCGGTGTTGGTCGTCATCGCCGTGCTCTACTGTTTGCTGGTGATGTTGCTGTTGTCGTTTGTCGCAGTCGTATTCATTCTCGTCGTTTTCACCGCGTTGTACTACCGACGCAAGGACGGCGCCCTGCATTAGGTCGTCAGTTCGCGCGGGCGCCGATCGGAGGGACGAAACACCGGGGGGGGGACGTCCTCCCCCCCCCTCCCCCGAAAAACTATAACCGTAATACAGAGTGTGCCACTCGAAGGTTCCATTAAAACCCCGCGATACGTCCCGAGTCAATGAAGACAATCAAATTCCGGTTCGTTTTTTTTTTTTTTAATGTACAACTCGTTACGACATATTGTATTCGTATGCCAATTAAATTTATGTTTTCGGGGACATTTTTTTACAAAACATAACTGTTAATTTATTTTTTCGAAGAATTTTAAAGTTTTGACATTTTATCCCGTTAACCTAATGATTTTTTTTTCCGTTTACAGTTAGTATAGTGCTTTTTTAAAAATGTATTTTCAAACAAAACTTATCAGAAAACGAGATTTCGAAACACTACTTGAGCTGTACACTATTTTTCTATGAACTAAAAAATACATTACAAATCACGAGGTTAATGAAAATAAATAATTGAATTACGAACGTAATCAGAAAACTAATAATCTCTGTAAAATCGATATTTTTTAATGTGTCGACTGTAAAAGAATACAATATTTTTAACCAAAATACGTAAAAATATAACTAACACTATGAGTATTTTTAAACGTTGTACCTGTGAGGCGTACTAAAAAAAAAAAAAATAAATCAGAAATTGATAATCTTCGTTATCTCAAGAGATATCGCCGTGGACACCCAATCTGTGTGGGCCACCCTGTACGGTGAAGTATACAATTTTCATTCGTGACTTTGTTTTTCTGCTCGTATGGATCATGATGAGTCATTCGAGATTGTCGGTTTATGTAATTTTCAGGAGGGGAGAAATCTTTTTTTAATGATGAAAATTAAAATGCTGTGTCAGCCGAAACAACACTGTCAAACCTTTATCTCGTACAAAACCACATACTTTTGACCGTTTCATTAGATTGTATTGCTTTCGTTTCTTTTCTCCGTTCAAATCGTATTTTGTTGCTAAAACTACAATAAGAGCCGTAGGGTTGAGGCGAGACGTTCGTCTCAGGCGCTAAGGTGCCGTCACAATGGGGACGCTAAACTTTGATAATTATTTTTTTTTTTTTTACTAAATCCGTCGATAAGTGCCTATTATTTATTACTAGGGTACGGATTTAAGTGCACTTTAAATCCACAAAAAAAGCGTTTAAGAACGTCAAAAAAGCTCTGAAAAATCACTTGAAAAAAAAATTTAAAAGAACAATAAAGGTCTGAGTTTAACAGTTTCCCCTTCTATGGTCTCTAACTTATTAGAAATAATTTTTTAACTTTTAAAAAATGTATATTTCAAAGTATTTTGTTTTTTAAATAAATTTATACGTGTTATAAAAAATAAAATGTTTTGTGTTAATCATTTGTCTGTGTTGGAAAAATGTATTTAATGGGGTGAGAACCGTCAGAGTGGGAACTTTAAAACTCGTCTACCACTTATTAAACCTAAAATTTACCTGCTTATTAAAAAATTTTCGAGTGCATTTTTGACGATTTAATCGCTTTTTTTTACGGATTATAAGTGCATTTGAATCCGCGACCCTATTAATTGCCCAAAGGTATATAACTACATTATTGTCTTATTCGAAACGTGTGAATCGCGCTTTTTTTTTCCCTGTTTTTTTAATTATTACCGATGCGTGGGAGAGACACGTGGGAATCAGGATAACATTACACCGGTGCGCCGCATCTCCGACAACCCCGGCCGGCCATAACGCTGTAACGACAACAGCGATATCGACACCGCCATCTAGCGTATTGTCCGGTAGTTTTCGTCGTTGCAACTATAGCCCGAAAACTAGAAATAATAAACAACGCAAATATAACCGGACGTTTCGTTTAAAACCCAGAGGCGCCCCCCACTTGACGCTTGGCGACAACCACCCTGTGCGCAGATCGGCGCTGACTCCGGCTGCAGACAAAGCGGAGGCGTTGTTTGTTTTTTTTTTTTCTTCGTTTTTTCTGTTTTTTTTTGGGGGGGGGGGGGTTTCGGCCTTTCGGACCATCCCGTACAACAAATATTCCTCCGTCTCTCTCTGTCTCCAGCTAATTTCCCTCCAGTTTGCTCTCGGATCTACTGTTTTAACGTCCCTCTCTTCACACAATCTTCCCGCCTAAGGTGCGGCCCGCCCGCCGGCCTTTTTCCTATCGGCTCATCTTCAATCGCCACTGCTTTTATCGTTGTTTTCTCCGTTTCCCCCCCAGGCGTGTCCGGCCCACATTAACCTTCCTTTCGCGGCCTCCCTTGATACGCACGGTTTTCGGCACATGTTTTGAAGCACCTCGTCGGTTCGCATTCGCCGTTCTCCGGCTCGTGGGCCGACACACGGTCCGCAGGTTCGTCTCGGAACTTTTCTTTCAAAAACGTCTATTCTCGCTTCCACTGTCCTTCTCAGCGCCCGCGTTTCCGGGCCGTACGGGATGACGCGGCGTATTAACGTCGCGCACATTTTGGTTTTTAAAATTTTCCAGCGGTCATAGAGAATACTATTCAAATAAAGCGATGGCCGATAATTTGTTGCCGCGCGCGTTCGCTCGGTTTATAATCTGCCGGCGGACGCCCGTCGTTCGGGCGCGCGTGCCGGTAATCACTGGTACTATTACTATCGCCGTCGCCGCCGTCGGCGTCGTCGTCGTCGTTGTTGTTGTTGTTGTTATGATACGAGCGTTGTTAGCACTGAATTGTGGAATCGCAGTAGTCGTTGTCGCCGCGGTGACCGTGGAAAATTATCACCCGGACAACCCCGCGTGATAAAACCGGGTGTGGGTCGACTGCGTCCCGGTACGGACGTTTTAAACCGGCCGTTCAGGCCGGTGCCGTAGTTGTAAGATGTTTTGTTCGGCGGCGGGGGGGGGAGAATAATTTGCCGGCCAAACGTGGCGCGTGACGGCCTCCCGTCCGGCACAGGCCAACGTTTCAGACGCCGAATGCAGCGAACGAGCTGCTATAGTTTTACCAAGACGCGTGCGTGTTTTTTTTTCGTTCAACGAAACGATTTTTCCCAGACTAACCCGATTTTTCCGCGCCGTGCCCGCCCCGAACGATGCGAATTCCTCGCCTGCCGGTACGCATTGAGTCGGATAATTTTTTCGAAATTTCCAATGCTTTTCCCCGAAAATTACGTCTTTTTTTTTTTTTCGATTTTCCGAGCGGCCTTCACGATGTTCGGGAAAAACGGGAAAATTTACGTTCACGTATAAAAGAAACTTCACTACGAATCGTTTTTCGTTAGCGGCGGTCTATCGTTGCGCACAGATATAAATTAAATTCCTCTGTACATTCTATCTTCCCAACTTCTCACCGACAACAGTGGCCCACCACCCATCGTGCGAAGTATGTCGGCCATTTTTATATTATAAACCCCTTTCTGGTAAGTGAAATATTTCGGTTTTTCACGCAGTGCCTACCATCACCATACCTACCAAAACATCTGATACAGATGTGGAATTTTTACCGATGGTACTATATTTTGTGACGCTTTTTTAAATCTTCAATAGTTTACTTTCTAGGTCCTGTATTTGATTTTTTCTCCGTGAACATCTTTTTCGGTCATCGAAATTAACTCGACGTTTTCATGCTGTACTCCTGCCAAAAACGACGCGGTCTTTTCGTGGTAGTTTGTTTGAAAAAAATATAGTTTACCATTACAAATAGATGTACTAAGGTGTATTATAATTAAAAATTTGATAAAAAAGTTTAAAAGTTAAAAAAATTTAAAAAATTATAATTGTTGTTTTTACCCGAACGTGTACAGGTACAAGAACTTGGAACGGCATTTGCGGTGTGTGGACGTGTTCACTAGACGGTGCATGACGGTCGACCAACGAAAAGCGTTCTATTTGCTGTACAAAGTGCCCACGTTGGACATGCAGGAATTGTGCACTGAAGGGGGACCGTACAGAGAAGGTCAGTTTCGAATTTAATATACCCGGTATGCATCGTATAGTTGTTATTATTCCGAAGGGATTGCCGTGTGCCGAACAAACGGGAAAAATTTTGAGGACGCGGGATAGGTATCAGCATTTCACTAAAACTCCGAGGAGCAGTATAGCAAAATTAACTACTAGGTCACTTAGAATTGAAATCGTGACGTGAATCAGAGTTTAAACTCGAGTAACGAAATGTAAAGGAGAGACAGGGCACCGCGTTGTCTTTTTACTCTTGAAATATTGTCAGACGTAAGAGTTACAGCAATGTTAGCTTGCGCTTTTTAAAACAGCCGCGGGTTTTTCGGTTTGGCAATATTTCATAAAGTACGAAGTAATATTTTCACCTGCATAGTATTGTGCTGTTTAAACTCTAATTTCAACGCAAACGCCACAATTTCAAATTGTGATATTTTCGACCCGAGTCAGTAAATGCGGATACCGAGTCGTTTTGAGTATATTTAATATTGGTACTTGAGAAATAATCGAAAACTAAAACACAATTAAAAAGCCGGTAAAAATATTACGTTCTTTCTGTTTTATTTATTTTTTATACAAACCGGTAATAGTGTATGTTCGGTTTTACACGTGCGCTTTGTTCAGGGCCGGCGAGAACTTTTGCGGGCTCAGGTGGCTGATCGATCCCAGGCCCCCTTTACTCACACGTGTTTGGCCGCCAAGATATATACGTACCACTCGTACGAAAATTGTACATAATTTAATACCCGCAGTACAAATATTCGAGTTTTATAACACGTGAACATCAAAACCATTCGGTTTAGTTAAAATCTTTTATATTTTCGATGACGAGATTAAATAGAGCCATTAACGTTAAATTAAAAAATTGTTGTACCATATCCCATGGCTCTTTGGAGATTGTCGTGATATTGTTTCATCCTGGTATATCGGAAATGTTCTGAAATTTGCGTTTGACGCTGTGGCGAATGATTGTAAAATGACATTGTACGGAATTCGTCACGGGCCCCTGTCGGAGGTACGGGCCCCGGGGCTCTAGCCCTCCCTGCGCCACCCGCTCGCCGGCCCCGGCTTTGTTTGTAAACGAAATTTCGACAAGACGATTTTCTCCAACCGAATCGATCGAAACATAATGGAAAGTTTCCCCCTCGGCTTTGCGTTGGCAAATTTTCTCAAGTCGACGCATTGGGAAAAGGTCGTTTTGATCTCAACGAATTCCCCAAACTGCGTCACCCATAACACATAACGTACGGCGTCCATAATATTTTCGTTCGCACGCAACAGAGTACCTGAAGCACGCGACCTGTCTGCGGACCGTTCACAACGAGTACATCCAGTGCGGCCGGCGACATCAGAACGAACTGGCGGCCCTGATGGCCGAACACGACCACCAACACCACGGGGGGTCGTCACCGGCGAACGACGGCACCCCTTTCGCCGGGCCCGAACAAATAACCCAGAACCTGGGACACCTGTGCGGGTAAGTGTCGATAATAGGCAAATATTGTTCGTTTTTTTTTTTTTTTTTTGTTCACAAACCCGTGCGGTCGCCGTCACGTCTTCCGGAAACCCGTTCCCGGGGAACGCCTGAAATAGTCGCGGGATTTTTTTTTTTTTATGAAATTCCGGGATACCGGTTTAAAAATTCAATTCTCATTTTTTCGTGAACGCGAATCGCTCGTAAACCGAAAAACGGTACGCTGTGTTCATCGGTGATTTGACGGTTTACGGAAATGTCGACGCGACCGCGATGCAATCATACGCAGCAATAATACCGCAAAACACGTACGTTAATATCGCCGCCGCCGCCGCCGCTATGTTGCAGGTCTTTCAGAGGACACTTGAATTGCGTTCACGGCATCGTCAGGGCCAATTGCGGCGAGCAGACCGACGCGTTCGCCAGCCAGTTCCTCAGCCAGATAGCCGCGTCACTTCTGGTCAGTGTTTACACCCGCGGTGTATTTATTAAGTTTATTAGATCGCGCGCGCGGAGAAATGGAGACGAAACGACGGCGAGATACTGCGCGTCGGTTCGTAGACCTCCGCATGTCGGAGGGGGGCGGGGGAGGGAAAGAGGCGGGACTGCGGGGAAAAGAAAATATCCAAAGAGTACCGTAATGACCGCGGCGAGGGGGGGGGGAAATTCTTTATAAAAAAAGATTTTTAGTTTTTGACGACCCGGGCGGGGTCCAAACTAATTGTTACATTCATAATCGGAAAACGCCACTGATATTTAGTTCGTTCCCGAAATCTATTCGCAATACGCGATTATTCGGATCGATTGTACGCGCGATTGGATTTAGTTGGACATTTTAACCGTACGGAAAATCAAAGGGCAAAAAAAAAACCAAGATTCGCGTTCCGCGTAAATTAGAACTCTCTCGCCGCCCTATAACGGGAAAGCGGCCGTTCCCGACGCGGGAATACGAGGGCGGCATTACGCAAAGTACCTGGAATCTAAATGAAGGATCTAGATTTTATCCAGACACAAAGTCGCTATTCGTTCACCGTTGTCTATAGACGATATTATTACATTTTCGTCCGTTTTTTTTTTTTTTTGTATTAGACTTGTCTAATTATCTAATATGAATTATCTCTTGTCGTTATCTAGACGTTTAAACCTTTTGTCGGATATGCGCGGTTTTTTTCAGGGACGGGGAGGGGAGGGGGGCGTGGCGGGAGATGTACGATCCGTGTTAGGTAACGCAGCGGCAAAAGCTAATCGCGTTCAGACGTGTTCTTTTCTCGGAAAACGTTTTTATCGGCTGGTAAAAAAACGCGCTTTCCGATTTCGTTCACGGCACACGTGGTGTATGGTTCTATTGTTCGCAGAACGTTTGTGACAAATACGTGAGTCCGGCCGACGGCGACGTGTCCCGGTCGCCTTCGTCCACCAGCGCCGCACCGACGTCCGGGGCCGACACCGGGCTGGAAGTGTTCACCGTTACGGCGGCCATGGTGATCTTGGCCACGGCCTCGCGTCGGTGGTGATTCGCGAAAGTACACCGCCCGCGCGCGGCGTCGACGACACCGGCGGCCGGAGAAGGACGTCCACGCTGATTACCTACTATTCCAATATTATCATTATATTATTATATTATATTATATTTTATCGCCAACCATCTCCCTCACTTCTCCTCGCCACCGCGCTACTACTATATTACTGTATACCTGTATACCTATTCTAAATCGTTAAAGTTATTATTATTATTATTATTATTATTATATTATTATTATATTATTATTACTATTATTATTGTTATTGTTTATTATTACTTATCGGGCGACAACGCGATCGATAGTAATTATCGCCATCCGCCGTTGCCTGCTCGTTGTCGCGGTTTAAAGAGCCGTAGCGACGCGCGTGCGTACACGTCCGCAACAGGAACCGTACACGAACCAGGACTCGAAATCGACAACGCGCCAACACGCGCCCGCAAAGTGATTTTGGCTTGTCCGACGTTGGGCGTATTTCGCAAAACCGCGTTTGACCCGCGGCGCACGACGACGCGCGCCATCTGTCGGATATTTATTTGTTGATCCATTAGCGTGTTCACCGGGGAGCCACGGCATCGCGTCCTACGCGTTATTGCAACGCAATTGACTGTGGCGTGTCTCCGGGTTTCAATTAAATTTTCCATGTTTCACCACACGGCCCGTTGTCGGTTACAAAAGTCTCCGAATTGTCCTGCGAAAAGTATCCGCACGTCATTATTAATTACTCGCCGATTGTTGCTGTTTAGTGTACCAATCTCGTTTCGTTTTGATCATTTTTTTTTTTCATTATTATTTATTTAACTGAGCCATCAGAATGGATATATATATTACACACTGTGTACCTGTAATCATTGTTATATTATGTACGTACCGTACACAGACAAACAAATCAAACGCCCTGTCGCTCAATTAGTTTTAACTAATTACCTATAATCAGCGGATTCGAATAATATTACACTGTCATTATTTTTACGTTTACCTGGACGAATCGTAATTGAAATTCGAAATTATACGTTTTTTTTTTCGGCAAAACATAATGAATTACAAAACATTTACAGCGATGCCGCACATCACCATTCGTGCAACGTTACGCTGTTTAAAACCGCTTGTACCAAAGAGCAAAAAGGGCGTAAGCTAACTTGGCCACTCAACCACCGGCTGTTGTACAGTGACCATTACCAGTTACTGTAATAGTTCATAAATACCCTACGACACAGCGTATATTATACATCTTATTTACAACAATTTGTCAATGGTGTTTTTGTAAAAACTAGGTATTGCACTCCACGTACGGCATCATCCTATTATTATTAGATTTACAGTAGGTTCACTTTTTTTTTTTTTAACATTGTTATTAACCGAGATATCAGTAGACACCATTGCTAGTTAATGCTACCCGAAATCTACAAATTATGAACTGCATAAATAGAAATATTCGTATTATTGAAATGATGTATCCGCCTAATTATTGGAAAATGGTTTATTTTGAATTAAAAAAATTATTTCTTTGAAATTTCATAGATAATACTTAATCGGTATATCAGTTTGGATATGATAGTAAATTGACTGAAACGCAATATTAAGCCAGTTAGGTACGTGGTTGTATGATAATAATTGTGAGATCATGTGCAAAACATCGGTTTAAATCTTTTTAGCTATAATACAATGGTAAATAAAATGATTTGGCTTACTCGCTGGAACACATTGTTGTTTTTTTTTTATAAAATAACTAGTTAACATAAAAAATATTAGTTAGTAAATTAGCGTCATAATTGTTTATTCAAAATGCATGTAAAATATGCATACTTATATTGAACATGCAAATTCAGTTATCTGAAGTAAGAAAATAAAATAACGTATAAATAATTGAAATGTTAGTTAATATTAACACATTAGTAATTTATTTCTGGACATATTGTACTTACAATATTAGTAACGGAATGTGATTGCCAATAGGAGTGAGTACAGCCAGTATTGTACAATAAATAATATTTTAACATTAGACAATAGGTACCATTACAATAAAATATCGTATACTTCAATACTTACCTTCCAAATTAATTACATTTGAGAAAACTAACCCTTGATTATCTACAACTAGACAGACCTCTGTAAATCTGTATTGTTAGAAGCTTAATTAAAATCAATACAATTGTATTTTCAAATTTTCGCTTTTGAAACAAAAATCGTGGCCATAAGATTGAAATTGGAATTGAAACATAAATAACAAAATGGTAAATAATTAAAAGCACAACTAACATGACTGTAACATTTTTTTACCGATGACATTTTTTTTTTTAGAAAAAAACTACTTATGTCATGCAGCACTAAAAATTATTTTCCTTTTTAATTTCGTTATTATTTGTGTTTAAACTCCAATTATTACCTAAACACAACAGTAATTTACTTATAAAGTATTAGAGGAACACTGCCTGGCAGACGGATTTGTCCTTTGTACACCTCCCATGTACCTTTATACACCTCTGTTAGATGGTTGTAATGTTTAGTACATTTAAACCAATTGTTTAATTTTAATTAAAAATGTTTTGTAAAAATTATATTATACTTATATGCAATTGTATTAATTCACAACACTACCTAGAGTTGGAAAACTCATCGAATATTATCATAGATAGTAAATACCAATAACCTATAATCACCTAAACAACCTATGTACCTAGTAATAATAATGACTATAATGACGATAATGTATATACCTATTTGAAATCGGGTACATTTATGCAGATAATAGATATAATAATATTTTATGAGTTAAAAATATATATCTATTAGAAATTTAACATAAAATATCCATTTTAAAAATTAAAAGATCAGTCCAGTAAATTTGTATATTGTATGTGCATGAATGTATGAAAAATTGAACGCAAAAACAATATAATTTATCTATAGGTATAAATCAATGAATATAACTTACCTACAAGTACGTTCAAAAATTGTAATATTTAAGAGATGAAAATAACATATAAAATCGTATCACTAATATCTTTGGTCCCAAGAAAAAAGGACTTGAGTTAACTTTTTGCTTTTTTTTTTTTTTTTTGATATCATTTTTTTATGTAATATTTTTACAATTTTCATTATTATACCTTAGTTTTCTCTAATTCAAAATGTTCCATAGTTCCATAATTCCCATCATATTTTCCAAGTTTTTTGGTAATTATAAATGTTTAAACATTTTTTTTATGAAATTGACAAGCACTTCTTCCCTGGGCTAAATAATATAATGACCAATAATTGAAAATTAAAACAATATGCTGTAATTTCACAATAGCGTTGTGTTATTATAAATAAAATCGTAGATTTAATCAATAAAATATAATCAATGATAAAATATGTAGGTATAAATAAAATTAATAATCCTTTTGTATTGTGACCTTTTTTTTTTTTTACCTCACATTTATAAAGACTAAAGAAGCCAAATTAAACTATTGCCAATGTAAAAAAGAGCTTGTACGTAGTTCTTATAAGTATAATTATAATTAGAGCTTGGGACTTATTGCACTTATAATCCACAAAAAAGCGCTTAGAAACTTCAGAAAAGCCTGTAACAAATATTTTAAAAAGTAAAACCGTAGAAGGGTTTAATAGTCTCCCCGTCCTTCTAACTACTCTAAATCGAATTCAGCTGTCAAAATCGAAAAAAGGAATAAAACATATCGTGGGATAGTTGGGAACAACCAATAATAACAAACGGGTCTACACGATAATATTATATGTGTATTACTGTGTACCGTGTGAACCGTGTAGCTCATCGGTTTTCGACCTTTGTATTTTGGGAACCCGAGTTATTTATCCAATTTTGCATGCGACCTTTTGGAAAATAATTTTCAAAGGAGGGGTTACCCATCCTACTCAACCCATTTAATTTTTAAATTAACATAACTAAAAGTAAACAATTAACTTTCATTAATTTTCAAAGTAATCTACACGACCAAACGAGTAATCGGTCGGTACCTTGCGAAGTTCACAATATTGATTATTGTTCCCAAAACAACCGTTTATCACATTCATCAAACCTATCAAAATTATAAATTCATACTTGTTTTTCAAGAAAAATAATTTACGAAAAATCTATTATTAATCATGTTTAAAACTATTTCTTAGACGGTTGTCTAAAATTTAAAATAATACCGTTTTAATTTTTCGGCGACCCGTTTAAAATTATCCGCGGCCCATAATTAGGCACGTCGCGACTCTATGGTTGAAAAACGCTTGTGCAGTAGCTAATCAAAATTGAATATTATTGTTGTTGCAACACGCGTTTTATTATAGATAGGTATAGAGATACCTTACGCGACATTTCAGTGCCTGCTAGTCATGTCTGTCACATACTCGCTTATAATCAATCAATCGTCATTTGTACAACGTTAAGGAATACATCATTATAAAAACACATTGATATACTTAACGTCGAAACCGGGAATCGATTGTTTTCGAAACTGTTTTGTCGGCACATAATTAACTAATACTTAATATATTATATTTTAATAAAATAACCTAACATTTTAACGCATTCAGTGTTAGCCATGACATTATGAATACCTATCTAGGTATTTTCACTTTCTACATTATTTAAAAATCTTTAACTTTAGTATGTTGCACATAGCAACGACAAAAGTACAAGTTCAGTATGTTTACAAGTTTAAGCAAAGCAAAACTTACCCTGTAGCGACATCTTTTTCGTAATTTTCGGAGGCGAAAAACAAACCGTTCTCGAAATATGATGTTGAAGCTTACGAATTTAATTTGATCGGGCATTAATGCAATATTATGGACCATATAGTAGCTACAGTTTGAACATAATTTTGTCAACTGTGGCCACAATATTATTATCATCGTTTCCGTCCCGATGTTAGAAATTCGATTCAGATCCGATCCTGCAGTGTGGCGGCAAGCTAGACCATATTTCGGGTACATACCCATTCACAAGCGCACTCTCTCTCCATAGGGTAAAATACGGATAGGTAAATACTTCATTTTTTTTTTTCCATTAAAAACTCACTGTCGTATATTTACATTACTACTCGCGCGGGCATTGACGGTCGAAGACGCACGATTACGGCTTATACGTATACAAGTAAGTAGCCACCGAAACGAACTTGAGAATTTTTAAGGAAAAAGAAAAACGTCCAAAAACAGTTTTTCGACAGGCAATCGTAATTTAACTTGCCCAATTTACAATACGATCACAACGAAAGGAAAAAAAAAAAAGTTTTAAAAACGAATTTATTAATGTTTACAAATTTTAGGTACTTATACGCGAATAAAACCAGTACAAACAAAATAATATTCCGAAAAACTTTTGCGAAATTTATTTTGTAAATAGGCAATTTTTACGGACATTTATACATTCGTATGGCGAATAAATTTAATCGTTTCTCGATAAATAACGTGCAACCGTCGAATAACACTATACATAAATCGCAAACATTTTGAACCGACGTATGACTCAAGATTACCCGCTTATGGTAAAACGATTCACCAATGCCTGTTAATAATAGTGTTACATAAATGATTGGGCAAACGGGTAATTTATAATTTATCAACTGTATAGGTACCTACAATTTTTTTTATCTAATCTGTGACCGTAGTTCTGAATACTATTAAGACATTGTGCGAACTACGGAGTTTAAGAACCGTCTATAATAATAATTCGCTGTCTAGAAATAAACACAAACAACAAGCTCGATACTATTATAATGGTATAATATTATTTTATGTATTTTATAAATCATACCTAACAATGTACAGAGTGATTTTTTTTTTTCGAACCGGCAATTTTTTCGGTGGATTCTGATTGAACTCGATTTCTGTAATAAATTCCAAATCTAATTTTAAATGATAAATTGATAACTCTTCCCTATTCGTCCGGTTTAAACTTTAAACGGTCATAACTCATAACCGATAAGCACATGGTATTAGTGTTATGCGTATAGAAATGTCTAGAAAATATTCCTTATTCGAATTAGTATTCAAAAAAAAAAGGGGGTTGGTGGGGTTACTATTTGAAAAAACAAAAGTTTATACAAAAGTCGCCCTGTATTAATGCAATGAAACATATTTTGTCGAATAATCGATAAGCTTAAGTATATATTATAATATCGTAGATAGACAAGTCACCGATAAACCTATTACGCAATAGGTTAGGTATTATGATTTATTATAATATTGTTACATTCTCATATACGGGTATATTTACGTAGTGTAAAAAATTACAGCGCAACTTAATTGTAATAAAAAAAAAGAAAAAAAAAAGAATCAACAATTCCATTTGGTAACTCATAATGTCATAATATCTACGAGATACTTGTGCAATATACGTAGTTTACTTGTACATGAAAATGTACACCAAAGCAAGCGTGCCCGCGGGATAAAATCCCACCCGGGGCCACGATATGCCGTTATGTGTGACGAAAAGTACATACATTTGAACAGGCGTGCAACTAGAAATTTTCAAATGTGCAGGGTGTTCTGAAAAGTAACAATCTTAATTGAAAAAAAAAACGAACACACTTCGCACGATGGATGGGCCACTGTTATAGGTGTGAAGTGGGGAAGGTAGGATATAGAGGGGAATTTATTGTATGTCTGTACGCAACGATTTTTAGCGGGGTTACGTTATACATGATTTGAAAGGCCGTATTATTTACGATTTTTGTCAAAATTTGATATTAAAATTTTTATAAAAATTCTACATAAAAGTATAAAAATCAATTTTTTTTTCTTTTTTGAACACAAATTATGACACTTATATACGAACCTTCTGTTAAATTTTCAAGCATTATTATTTAGTCTAATATTTTAATCCACAAAGAGTATACCTACAAAATACAAATTACTTAAAACCACGCAAAATTAAAATTTATAAATAGCTCAAAAAGTTTTGAAAATGATTTTCTAGAAGTGAATCTAGAAAATGACACTAAGGTTTTTTGTCCAAATTTCAATTCTCTACCTATGTATTTGTAACTGGATATTTCAACAATACAAAATTGAAAATTATAATAGCATTATTCTCGTACATTTTCCTGTTTCCTACGTTTGTTTTTGGTTTTTCCTGAGTTTTATGAAAACTGCTCTTTAAATCAAAAAACGATTTACAATATTGGAGCAATTGTAACTCTAAGTATTGAAATAACAATTCTTAAGTATTTTCATTTCTTTTCAACCGCTGAAAAAAATTGTTCAGAAATTCATTAAGAAAACTTCATCAGAAATTTCAATTGCTTATGCTATATCCATAACATATTTTTGGAATTGACGACTTAATGGTAGACTTATTGAGAACACTTTCGTAAGTACATGTGCGCAAATTTAAAAATCCTTTTATTTTAAATAGCAAAGTATAGGCTAAAAAGCAAAATCTTTCTAGCAGAGATGGGCAACTCAATGTTACAAAAAGACCAATTTTTAGAACATTAAAATCTAGAAAGGTCAGAGAAAATAAAAAAAAAAAATAAAGGTCAATAAAATTTAAAATTTATAGTTGAAATGTATTTAATTTTATATTTAATTATTTATACATGTGGTATTTATTAATTAATTTGAAAATGTAGTGAAAAATGGTACGTGGGCCGCCAGTTGCCCATCCCTGTTTTAGAGAATATCGTTCTGCATATACTTCTTGATTAATCCATGTTGACATTTTTTCAAAAGTTTCAATTACTGAATAAAAAAGCTCTATAAATATTAATATTGCTTCATGTCGTCGTTCAACCCACCTAGTTGGACACAAAATTTTCAGTTTCTTCTTCCTTGTTTCTGGAATTAATCGTGCTACACAACCAACACCCCCTTTGCTACGCCACTGAATTTGAAAATCCCAAGGGGGCAATGACTCTTTTTCCCCCGTGCGGGCACCCTTCAACCCTTGCACCATAATGTTACATAGTTACAGATAAACCAATTTATTCAATTACAATAACAATTTTATTATAAGATTAATAATAATATTGTACTTACTTCGAAGAATACTCAATTATAGCATTTTTTCTGAAAAGTAATTTTCTCTCGTCAGTGCATCAGGGAGGTCATTTTTCGGTTTTCAAAAAATTGAGAAAAAAACGAAAGAAAATTATAGGTAAAATGGCAAATATTTATAGCACGCTACGACGTTACCGTTTTCATTGTTTTTAATTTTTGCAACTTATGTTTTCTATCAGAAATATTACTCCAATCGAAAAATAACAAAAAAAACGGTTTTGTTCCTCTTAATAAAAAGCCATTTTTACAGAAAGTCGGTTTTTAATATCTATAGTTTTTTATAATTATTGGTAAAAACCAGAAAAGAAGAAATTTTCAATTTTTTTTTCAAATTATGGCACGATTTCATTATTTTAAATTGTTATGGTTTATGTTTTCTACTATATATATTGCTCAAATAGACAAACGACAAGAGAACTTTTTTGTTACACTTTTAGTCCAGTTCATGAGTAAGTTTTTTTTTTTTTTTGTAGTTTTATAAATAATTAGGAAGAACCAGAAAAAAAAGGATTTTATCATTTGAAATTTTTACGAATCGTGATCTATCTACTATAAATATTGATCCAATAAAAATAAAACATCAAGAGATCTTTTTTATTGAACTATTTATCTAGTTGGTGAATAAGAAAAATGCCTTTTGGTATTCTTTATAGTTATTTATAATTAAGCAAAACCGAAAAATACATATTAAGTACGAAAACATTTTTATTTTATTATGTTTTTAATGTAATTTAGTTTGCAATATTTTAAAGACTTGAAATTTTGAAATTTTTTGCTTTTTCTTGACGTGGTCAAATTTTTAAAACTTTTTTTAAACCCATTTTTGAGCTATTTATAGACATTTTCATTTTACAAGATTTTTACATAATTTGTACTCGGTATAGGTACTCTGTAGATAAAATTGTTAGGCTCAACAGAAATTCTTGAAAATTCTATAAGAAGGTTTTAAAATTCACACTTTGTAGTAAAAAAAAATATAGCTTAATTTTTTTTCTTTTATAAAAGACTTTAGTATCATATTTTTAATTTTTAATAAATTATGTGAAACAAATCTAGTTGCTGGTCCATTCAAATTTTTCAATTCTTTTGTTTTGAACATAAGTATATTTATATTGCCGATTTAAGAACCATGATGAAGTCAGAATTTAGAGGACTGATTTGGTTTCGAAATTATAGTTTTTGAAGTTCCGGTATTATACGGTTATTATGTGTTATGTTACTTAAATAACTTTATCTCGTCAACGAACCCGTTGTCGTCTCAAAGATCACTAGTTCAAACTCGAATTCCGAAGAAAAAAAAACTTTGAAGCTTACAGAAATAATGGTTTTATTATTTTTAATTTTGGTTTTTTATTGTAAATAAGTTAAAAATATTTGTAGACGCTTGAAATTTGGATAGAAAACTTTTCTTTTTCTTTTCTAAATGTGGTAAAATTTCCATTTACTGAGCCATTTTTGAGTTTTAATTTTAAGAGTTTTTTTTTTAAGTAATTTATTGTTTTTAGGTACCCTGTGGATAAAATTGTTAGATAATTTCTAACAAAAATCCTAAATAACCTAAATATTACGGCCATTAAAAACATATTTATGTACTTAACTTCGCTCGTTAGCTTTTTCGTTAGCCATGATTTATAGTTGCTATAAATTGGTTTATATACATTTAATAACTTTATTCATCTGACCTTCCGAACTTTCCACCTAAAACAGAACACTCGTAATTAGTAAGAGCTCTTCTTTTTATTTCTCTACCTTAAAATAATCAAAAATATGTAGTCATAATTTTAATGACAATCACACAAATTACGTCATCATTTTGCATAGGTACTGTTATCCGATTAATGGAAATACAATTTGTTTGGCACATCAGAGATTAAGTAAAAGGTTTAACATAATTTGTACTTTGTAGTAAAAAAAGTTAAGCGTAATTCAGTAGTACTGGTTTTCTTTATGAAGGTTTTAAATTCAACTTTTTATAAACACGGTAAAGCTCAGATTTATAATAATAGCACTTTTTCTGAAAGGAAATTTGACTGGGAAGGTACTTTAGGGAGATGATTTTTTGATTTCCCACGATTTTTCTCAACAAATGGGAAAAATTGGGAATAAACAGAGGAAAATTATTAAAGAAAATACATAATGCCTATTTAATATTCATATGACATATATATTTATCACTATCAACTGTACTCTGCTCAGAATCAATTTTTCGTTAGGAATGCTTACAGGTATACTTTAACATTACCTAGCATTACATTGCTTACATTAGCTATAACAGTGGCTGCAGTCTCCATTATCCCAGAACAGCATTTTTGTATTGTTTAAATTCTAGGATATAGGTAGGTAGATACTATTTAAGCTGTAATTACATTAAGTCTTTTCAAAATACCTATATGTATTACTTGGTTGTTACTACTTAAATGATTTATTTTTAACTTTTTATGTTTATTATATTATACATAATGTATTGTTTGTTCTAATAATAAACTTATTAATTAGATAGATAACTTTTGTGAATTTGAGTTATATATAATATAATAATCAATTTTGAAATTAATTTGAAGTAGGTATGTTTTTGAATTGTTTTATACATTTGAATAATATTCATTTCATCACATTATTTGTGATGAAATAAAGTTATGTATGGAAATTATTGAATTTCTGGTTAATATGATATGCCAATCCGATTTCAAGTTGATTTTAATTTTCAGCATAGGTTTTCCATCCGGTGAAATCTAATGATGACTCTGATCAATACACAATGTATTTATTTGATAATCAAATAGTTAATGCAGCTTGTAAAAAAAAGCCAAAGAGCATCTTCATAGTAAGTAAACCAAAAAAACATATTATGCAAGATACATAAAACTGCACTATTGAATATCAATATTATAGAAGTTAAAAGAAAGTAAAATTATTTATGAACAATGTATGAACATTTTACCTACTAACCCTAATGAAATTTTTGGAGTAGGTACCTACATACAACTTTAGATCAAATGAAACCAAATGAAAATATGAGCCTTTTTTATTAATGACATAGAACTTATGTAAAACTTATCTATAGTTATGATTGAATAGATGATAATTTGATTTTAAAATTAAATTATATTATAATATCATTAATAGCAATAATATTTGTACATTTACTTGTAATTATATTATGAACTATCTAAAGTAAGTAAAAAGATCAACAAGTGACAATTACAGTAATATATTAATAAATGAAAAACAATACAAATAGTTAACCAAGTGGCTACATAAATATAAAATAATAATATGAAATAATAGCAGGGCCCTCACATTAAATTTAGCGCCACTGTACTAAATATTTTTGCAGGATCTTATTTTGGTGATTTGGTGATAATTAAACAAAAGTTTATTTATTAATTAAGTAATTTATTTATTGTAATAACTTCTAATAAAATTTACAGTGTCCCTAAAAGACCCAGGCCCCTGTGCTGTGGGCCCAGACTTCACCTCTCCTTTATGGGAAATTAGCGTTATAATGATCATAATGACCAAGCTTTTAAAGCTTGTAGCTCTAAAAAAGGTTCTTATAAGCGCAATAATATACTCTTGAAAACATGAATATAAGCACTTAAATATGCACTTATAATAATAAAATGTGCATAATTTAATAATAATAATACCTGAATATCTAAAACTATACAAATAAAATAATAATGCACTATGAACATAATACAATTATAGGGGTTTTCTTATAAATATGATTAATGTCTTATTGAGTTACAGTGGATACTAATAGAAACAAATGAACTTATGGATATTCAAGACTGTTTAAATTATTCTTAATGTTAAGTATATTTTGAAACATATGCTATTGAACTAGGGCTAAATATAAAAAAAAAAAACAAAAAATCACTTATATGATAATAAAATAGCAGTTAAACTTTGAAGTATGCAAAATAAACTTAAGTGATTTTTTGAAACAAATTTATAGCTCACATAAATATATACACCATTCAACTTAAGACTACACGGGGGGGGGGATCGAAAAAGTCTGTTTTTGTGCATTCCTGGTTATCAGTACCCCTTCACCTATTCACCCACTTATCAATCTCGCCACCAATTTCGATAATAACATTTTGTGTTAACAGCCTCACTGCTTCAGTTTAAGTAAAATAATTTTTCTATGTTTCCATTAGTTTGATTGAAATAGTATATTATGCATGTATATTACAATGATTTATTTGACGGTAGGTATTTATATATTATGACTCACTGTATACTCTCGCTGTGGCGATTGTTTCTAATCAATTAGGCTGTCAGCACTCAGCCAAACCAATGTACTCTTAAGTTAAATGGAGTATAGATAAAAAAATATGCAAATGCTTAAATTTACAAGCCCTGATGATGATCATATATTTTGTAGAAAAATAATGACGATTAGACAGGAAAACACTTATTTTTGTTTTGCAGAACTAATTTAATATTTTGTGAATATAAATACTAAATAGGTAGTAATGTGTGTACTATTAATAATAAATAATACCATTTTCATGGAAAATGTGTTTTTAAAAAATATGGTAATACATTAAAAATTGAAAATGTGTTTACAATACATTACTAATTAAATATTATTTTTTTTTTTTTAGATAAAATGTACAATATAGCCAATTATTAGATGAATCAATTTTTTTTAAACTTAAAAGTATCATAAAATCCAACACACCACACTATACTAATACATCACATTATAAGAAAAGTTAAAATAGTAGATAATAATGGTGTACACATTAGACATAAAAGTATTCAAAACACTCTAAAATATATACTTAGATAATGCACCAAAAAAGGATAAGGTGAAAGCAGTTATCATTTTACAACAATTTTTAAAAAATCATAATTTTTGCAATTTCACTGTTAGCTCAACTCATTAATATAATATTGGAGCATGGTTGGTTGTATTATGGATAATAAAATAGTCACGTCAAGCACATTAATATTAATGAGAAACCACATGGGCTTAAAATACATATACAATGGAATTTCAGTGATTATATTTGGCAAGGTTTACATTTAACAAAATAAGATAGTAGGTAGTAAAACCTACAGTAGTTGGTAAGGTTAGGTTAGGTAAACTATTTAGTCATTCCAATTTAAATAATTTTGACCTGCATCGCAGTTCAAAGGGCGACATAATGTTGATGAAGTCATCTGTTCATCTGTTCCATACTGTAACTGCAAGAACTTCTCATAGTACTCTAGTGGAGAGTCGGGCGGTTGTTTTTGATGTTTTTGAACACGCAGCACCATTTCTCGTTCTAGCTCTTTGCGTTTCTCTTGTTGCTTGGCCATCTCAAGCATCACCTGATGTCGTTGAAAAGCAACGGAGGAATTTACTTCATTAGATTTTGACGCCACAACTGGTGGGCATTCTGAGTCATAATCCTCTACAAGGAAATCATTTAGTCGACTAACAGGTGGTAAACATGTAGGGTCACCAAGATAGCTATAACAGCCATTGTCTTTATTACCATTATTGCCATCATTGAAGTATCTGTAATAATAAAAACACATTTATAATTATTATTATACCTATTACTATTTTATTTCAGTCATATGCACTGAGCAGGCTAAGAGAATTTCAGACCCTATTGATCGTGTTAAATATAAAATAAAATATTTGAAATTTATTAGTAGTTAATTAAAATACTAAAAAAAAAACAATCATTGCACGTTTGCACTACTTATTCAACTTAGCACAAATAATTATATTACTTACTTAATTGTGTATTAAAAAGCAAAAAAAAAAGGCAACTCATAAAAGAGTTTTTTTTTGTCAAAAAACTAGTGTCATGTTTTCTAAAAAATAAAAAAAAAAAACATGTCTCTAAAACGCATTGATATCAACATTTGTCCACCTAACAATTATCTCAATTCTTCTTATTTTCTTACTTTCATATTCTTTTTTCTCAGAGAAAAAAAAGTTTATTGTACCTAGGTTTCTAGGCAATCTCAAATAAATGCTCGTTGACAGTCTGTTTTCGAAATTTCAAACTATTATTTTTAACATTAACGTTTTCATTGTATCGACATATTTAAAAATTGATTTTACCCTCTTAGATAGATTGAATATTCCATTGCAGTGAAGACGTATGTAATCTTCAAAAAGAGCCATCAAGCAATAGAAATAGTAATAGGAATCTGATAGAAAAATATACATGTAAGGAGAAAAGGGGTTAGTATAGAGAAATTAAATAATTTACTTTTTTCTTCTTAAGTTTTTTTTGGGAGATATCCGTACTTTTTTCAGTTTTGTAAGATATTTATTATTATTATTTTTGTTTTATTGTTATTTGTTATTTGTATTCTTTAATTTATTTACTTTCTTCTCAAGTAGATTTGTAGATAATAATCAAACATAGTAAGATTTTGCAATTTAAGTAATTTCCTCAAATGTTATTATAAATCATTTTTATACACATTTCTTAAATAATTTAGAAATGTAATAATATTAATAAATAAACGAAATTGATAACATGAAATAGATAAAAGAAACCTAAAATGTTTGTAGTCTATTCAATGTACAGTATGGTGTTTATGTAACGTTGTTCAAAGTATTCTGATTAATACTGGAGTCTGTATTGTTAATATGATTTAAAGCATTATCTTATGTTTTAATTGCTAAAACGTCTGTGTAAAATAAATGGAATTTAAGTACAAAATAATATATACAAGTCTTAACTATTTCTAGGCCATTTACTGTTAGTGGTTATTGCGGTGTTATCTGCTAACATCCACTCTATTTTTTTTAAATTGTATGCTCTACATAATAGCCATTTTCAACATTTTCTCCTTTATAAAATATACTTGCTTGTAATTTATATTTTAGATTCTGGATGGAGCGAAGAAGTTTATGGTTTTAAAATTATGTTTATTTTTTTTTACTGTGAACAACTTTTCTACCAGCAATGTTAATCAGACTTACAATGATAGTACTTTTTCTGAAAGAAATCTGACTGGGAAGGTAGGTCATTTTTAGATTTTTCCCAAGAGTTTTCTGAGCAAATGTGAAAAACCGTGAAAAAACATGGGACAACTTTTAGTTATCCCTTCCTCCCACCTCATTAAAAATCCTTGATATCATATGCAAAATAAATAAGTAAGTACCTATGAGTGGCATGGTTTTCTGCTGTAACTTTTGCTGCTGCCATAGAACAGGTGGCTGCTAACGTGCCAAACTTCTGACGCCGATGGAATGATGGGCGCACCAGTGGTCGTCCACGCTCTACGAAAAATCCACGATGCCCTGCAGACACATTGACCGCATCCGCAACAGGTACAGTATTCTCGGGTATCGAAATGGGCACAATCTTAGAGACTTCTACAGTTGTCATAGAATCAGAAGGTGTATTTTGTCCGTTTATTTCGGGTTTGGATGATAGATGCATTGTGGATGTGTTTTTGTTTATTGGTTTCGTCGTTGCAGTTTTTGTTGGTTCAAAATCTTCATCATCAGACGACACCACCATCGTAATCATTGGTATAGTCCTAGCCGAGGTTCCAGAAGGTAATTTAGACGGTAACGTCATCTTTGTTTTTGGCAGGCGTCTCTTCGTTTCCTGTACTGCTGCACCACTTACCCAAGTTGGAGATCTTGCACGCAGAACTGTAGGTGACGATATTGTTTTCGTCGCGGGAACGGTTTTTGTTGCCGCCTGACTTTCACTTTTGTTAATCTTAGTAGTCGTAGTAGTCGTGATCGTGGTTGTGTGCGTTTCAACGACCGTTTTGACTGTCATTATTGTCGACTGTTTTGAATTTTTATCGGCAATGACGTACGGTAATGATTGTTCTGACACTAGCGGGTCACTACCGTTGGCTTGCGCGTTTTCAACTGTAACTGGTGCTGAAAAAGCGGTGGTCGCTGCAATCGTTTTCGTCCAGCAATTTTCTGAAGTTGGCCGAATATCGTCGTCGACTGCCATTGCCGCCTCAAACGCTTTACGCCGACGTAGTTCAAGTGTGCCAGCACCACGACCAGTCTTTAACATCCGTTCCATTAACATCTGCCGAACAAACTGCTCACAGGCAGAAACCACAAGCGTACACGACTCTGCTGTAACGTCCATCGGCGCTGGTACAAGCGAACATCTTGTTTGATTTACCGTCACCGTGCGCGTCTCTTCTTCCGTGATCGTTGTTGTCTTGACATTTATGGTGTTATCGTCATCGTCGATTTTTAGGTTGTTGCTACTATCATTGGAAGTCATACTTTCGCAAATGCTATCTAGTTTTACACTGGTCGCCATTGATTCAGGTTTATGTGCCACATCCAAAGAAGACGTTGGCAATTCTGGTTTTGGAGTTAACTTGGTGGTTGTCATCGCTTCCGCTGACTTTAATCTTTTGAGCGGTTCGACTACCAAAGGTGATGAATCCACAGTCGTCAAAGAGGAAACGTGTTTTATTATCTCCGTATCCTGTGCAGATTGATTAACTTGTTCTGACCGGTTTAAATCGTCACCTTCATCCACTTTTGTAGATGTAGATGCTGTTATTATTGCCGATTTCGATCTCTTCGTGGATCTTATTGCCGGAGTTAACAATTTCACTGTCGATAATTTGTTTAATTCGTCTTTCTTTGTAGAACTAACAATTACAGATTCCAATGCGGACCGTATTTTGTCGTTACTTTGCAACTCTGCCACCGCCATTGGTGTTGATTTGGTGGAGGTATTAGCTGTTATTTCGGTTGATTTAGATCTTTTCAATGATCGAATCGATGGCGATGACATTGAAACAGTATCAGATAAAGACGTTGTTGAAGTTGGTGACACTGCTGAAGAAAATGTTACTTTAGCAGATCTCTTGTTCAGCCCTACAGCTGGTTTTTGTTTATTTTCACAAACACTATTCACTTCCATAGTTGACTTTGACTTCTTACACAACTCGGTAATTGGAGGGGATGATGCCAAAGTTGATGATGTTTCTGTGAATGCTACAGAAGCAGGCCTTTTGTCGATCACCGATCGATTTGTATTACTATTGTTTGTAGAAATTGTGTTTAACGAATCCAAAACGGTATTTTTAGGTGGTGGCTTAATTGTGGCCACCATGGGTTTTGTAACTACAGACACTGTTTCCGTCACTTTTTTCCTAGATTGTCCCACAGACTGCGATGGTATGACAATTGGCACTTTACTCTCCGCCGACGATGCATCCCGTGTTTGAAGCGTAGAAACTGTTGATTTGAGTCGCTTAACTATAGCAATCAATTCAGCACCTGAAGTCCGAGCACAGCCACTCGAAAGGTGACCGTTGTGGCAACCCGAGTTCGTCGAGTATTCTGTAGCTTTTTCAAGTCCATCAATTAAGTTTGATATTTGTAACGACGTAGAGTCAGCTACAGTACAGTTGTCATTATTCGTGTTACACTCGTTAGTAACTCCATCATGTACATATTTAGATTGTTTTAAAACACTGCACGCATAAGGCATCTGTAGACGATTAGGCGGTATGTATGAAGCGATCGATTGTGCTATTTTCATCGACATTATGGTGGCAATGAATCGACCATGTACAGCTCGTTCGGTTGTACCATACGCAAATCCGTGGTCATGAAATGAGGGAATATCAGGTCCGTGTATGTCTACTGTTCGAGTTCGGATCAAACGTCGATAACGACGCACAGTCTCATATTTTACTGGAATACTTTGACGTTGAATATTTGATATATCAACTATCTTATTTAAGTTTGTTGTATTTTTTGTTTTGATATCATTAGCTTCGGATTTTTCCATCAAATTGTCTGTTTTTAGTTCCTCAATAGGTACCGTTGTTTTTATTGGGCTACAGTCTACGCTATCTAAAGACGTTTCCTGCTGGGCCATCTCAGATGCTGATGCCACTAGTTGACTCATGATGTCTCTCAAGTTACCGGAAACCGCAATGTCCACTGATTTTTTTAATACTGATTTGGCATCGTCACTTACCAATTTTATTGGCATGTCTTTAGAAATGGTCATCGACGGTAAACATTCAATAAAAGCTACTCTAAATGGTTTTCCGACGATAGGTAACGTTTTAATTGATTTGTCATCAACGTCTATCACTTTGGTTGGTTCGTTAACATTAACTGTTAGCTGCGTTGGTAATTTGTAATAAGTAGCGTGAACACCTCCAATCAAGTCTTGTTCTATTATCGTTGTCTTCCCATCAGTGTTTTCGACCAATGGCGATTCCTCGGACATTTGAACATCCATTTGTGTAGTTTCAGATTCGGAATCCGAGGTTTTAAATCGCTTAGAACTAATTAGGGGGGACGGCGATGTAAGTCTTCTTTTAGATGCCGATTCAGGTTGTAGTGAGTTACTATTTAATTGATGATTCTCTTTTAAAGGTATCGGCAATTTCAATAACGTAGAATATGTGAGCGAATTTTGTTCAGAAGATGGCGGTATTTGTAATTTTAACAATGCTGGATACGTTAATGATTGCTGGTGTGGTGCTAAGGGTTGTGGTAATTTCAATAAAACTGAATGTGTTGATGGTTGTGCGTTTGACATTAATAACTTTGGCAGTTCTAATGAAACGGAATACGCTTTCCGTGAAACTGTATTCGGTGATATAGCCATGTGTTCTTGGTTCATCACCAATAAAATCTCATTAACAAGCTTATTCACTCGCTTCTGCCGCCACTTCAAATAATCACAGATCCGTTTGATTTGTTTCCATGACCACAGCGAAGTAGTAGTTGTTAATGTGGATGCCATTGTCTGCTCTATGTCATCCAATTGTTGGTGAAGCCAATTTCCAGGAAATTTAAATGAGAGCTGCCACAATTCCATCAATGGTTTCAATTTATCCATTAACAGATTAAATCTTTTTTTTAATATCAATTCTTTATCTATTTTCAGTGGTTCTTGTTGTTCTGTGTTCAGTATTGGTATTGTCGCTACTATTTGTTTTGGACCATCTGGCTGTTCTTCTGATAGTATCACCGAAAACGTTGGCGACGGTAGTTTTAATGTTGAAGACTGTAATGGTGTTAGTAATATTTTTGAATAATGTAGAGATCTTTGCCCAGACGCCTGATTTTCTTGTGATATCAATGTCAAGGATGGTTGTATATGCGTTGTTAATGTTTCAGACATGTTTCGTTGGTTCAATATATTATCTGGATTTTGGACGTCGAATCTGTTTAGTTGACGTTGCAATACAAACCGCTGATTATGCATTAATAACGCCAGTTTCCGTAAAATCCATTTGGCAGGTTTATTCTGTAGATCCAGTTTGATGGAATGCATTGTGGATATATGTTGTTGAATTTGCGTTTTTCGTTGGGATTTTATATCGTTAAGATTGTCTCGTAGTTCGAATAGTTGTTTTAAATTATCTGATATACTAAATTTTGCCTTTAATATTGGTCTATGTGACTGATTTGGATTATTTTTCAAATATAATACATCTTGATTAAGTTGTAGTAAAACCTTCAGTTGATCAACTCGTGTTTGTGGAACATTTTCGTGCAGCTTTATAGCCGCATCAAAACATGGTATTTCTTGATACATTCCTGAATTTTGAATTTCTTTGAAACGATTGAAAAGTGTACGGGTGAATTTCTCCAGTTTACTCCTCAAATTATTTACCTCATGAAGATTTTTCTTAAAGTGCATTCGGCATTCTTTGTTGATTTTATTAAACTGCATCCATTTTTCAGTAATGTCTAGTTGCGAATTTGCTATAATTAACTCTGAACTTTTATAAATGTTCCCCGCTTTTTGTCCGTTAATCCAAATAGGTTTTGGATAATTGATATAGCTGTTTTCTATTAAATAACGACTTTTTCCTATTGAAAATTCTGTTAATCCAAAATATTCATAATCCTGGTTTTGTCTAACTGACAGTAATGCACGTTGTTGTTTTTGGAGTTCTTGATTTACTTTTTGTTTTGAACACGGCTCCTTATGCTCGTCTTGACTGGTTAATGGTAAAAGAAGTTGTTTCTGCTTAAGAGTTTCCCACAGTAATTTAAGTTGCTTTTCTTCATTCACTATTAAATCGTCCCAAAGTTTTTTCGATTTTATACGAAGCTCCGTATATTTTTTTAGATGCATAATTTGCCATGCCTTCTCATTGTTTGTACGCACTGAATTTAAGATATGGTCCATCACGAATTTCTTATATTTTACTTCAACACTCTTAAGTAATTTTATTCCTTTATTGACAAACATTTGTGTTACGGATCCTGTTTTCGGTATTGTCAGTTGTTTCAGGTCAGCGATCCGCTCTTTAATTATCGGTATTTTTCTTACATTCATGTCAACGGTAGCCAACGGCGATACCCATCTCTGTTTACATTCCCATGACCACCAAAAATTTGAACCAACATACCTCTTTCTGAGTGGCGACAAAGTATCGTAGTATGACAAATTAGATATACCGTCACGATTAAAAGCTATTTGTATGTTAGTCCTTTTTAGATTAACAACCGCTTTCCGGTTTTTATAATTCATCTTATTAATCAATAATTGTTTACGCAATGGACTGAAATCATAGCATGGTTTCAAAGATACGTCGATTTTATTCAAAACCAAATGTTGGCTAATATTTTTTATTTGTTGTTTCGGTTGATTATTTTGTTTAATCTGTTCATATTGATCTAATTGTATTTGTTGATTCAATTTTTCTTTTTGTGAAGGCTGATCTTGTTCTTTAAAGCTATTTGGTTGTTGATCTAATATATTTTGATTTTCTGGTAATTTTGATGGATTTGTTTTATTGTTATTTAGTTCATAATACTCTATTTCTTCTCTCAGTTTATTTAGTTGTAGCAGCTTATGAGTGATTTCTTTACCACAGCCATAATAATTATTAATTAGTATTCCAGTCAGACACATTCGTTTTTTGTCATTAATGGGATTACTTGACTTATTATCATAAAGGGGCCATAGATTACGCCAATTTTGTTGTACACATTTACGATATAACCCGCATGTATGTGTAATACAACCACTAAGCAAATTTTCTACCACTGTTGATTGTTTAATTTCTTCTATTTGCTGCTGTTTGATTTGCGATAAAGAATCAGATAGTAGTTCTAACATAAATCGTTCTTTTTCTTCAGCACGTGACGGTGGGAACCGAGGAAGCTTATGTTGCATAAGGAGCAATTTTAGCAGTCGTTGCATCGGCGGGAAAAATTTTAAAGATTTGTGATATTGAACTATCAGTTTCAGGATTTCTCTATATTCAGGGCTCAGTTGGTCACTATTCGAATTTAATACCTCAGATTTACGAGTTACTAATTTAACCTGAAATTCACTATGGTTTTGATCTAATTTTGGCAAATCGCTATCTTCAGTAGATGTTGATATAAATTCAATCTCCTTAATCTTTCTTATGGAATAATCCAATCCATCAACTATTTCAGTATCTCTATCAATACGTAGATCAATAATAGGTATCTTCCGCGTGGAATTAACTAATGGATCTACAATTTCCTTATCTTCATCAATACAAAGATCAATAACAGGTACCTTGTCTAACTGAGTCCGACAGGGCCTCTTACATTTCAACGACTGGTATTTTTTCATGTCTTTAACAGTTGTTGAATCTGTTTTCTCCGGTGGCAGTTCTTCATCTTCTATTAAAATCGTAGTTACGGGTTTTTTTTTCCGCTGTTTTCGTCGACCACAAATACGTTTTCGTTTTCGTTTGGTGGTCGTTTTTTTTTTATTTGTCTGTTTTACATCAATTTGTGTCTGTTCAGATTCTATTGAATATTGTTTGGTATTAGCTTGGAGATCTTGATTATGTTTATTTATCAGAGAAATTTCTTTAGCTTTTTTCTGTTGTTGAATTGTGGACAATTTTGATGTAGATATTTCCATTTTATTGGTCACACTCATTAACTGGTTGTCATCTTTATTTGTTTGTATCTCGTTTTGTTTTTTTTTCTCTATGGGCAATTCCTCTATTTCCTCAATTATTACTGATGACTTGAATAATGGAGGCCGAACCGTTGAAATTTTAGCTGCTAATGATCCACGCTTAGATAAGTTTTCTTTTAAAGGTTCATTAATTTTTTGAATTAGTTTGTTTTCGGAGTACCTATGCTGCTGCCGAAGTTTATGTTTGTAATCATTGGCCATGGTTTCGACATTTGTGTTCTTGGACGCTAACGATGACGTTTTTAAAATAGATTCTTGGACGATAGGTGGAAGTATGGCTGCAGATGGTACATAACGAGCAGGCCGTAGTAACTGGTCCATTCGTAGATCATGTAATAGTGGTGGGAATAGAGGTTCCGGTAAAAATTCGCCAAATGATTCGTCATCTGATGAATAATAATCACCACTGCTGTCATAATAAAAACTGTGTAACTTCATTTGTTGTCCCAAATGACCAATTTCTTCTATCTGATCATTTCTTTCCTTAATAATATACTCATTCTCTTGTAGCCGACATCCGTAAGTTTTTTGTTGTCTTTCTGCTTCTTCACGTCGCAAACGCTCCAACTGCTGACGTCGATCTAGTAACAGTCGCTGTTGCATTAAATATCTGGCTCCTACAGTAGGTTTTTTTGGAATTGCAGAAGTTTTTGGTGGTGGGGGTGGAGGTGGTGGCATGAGTTCGCTGGCTAACCGATCATTATTCGTATCCGCCGCACTTTTTTTCTGTTGGTTTCGTTTTTGTTTGGATGCTTCGAGTGCTTTTTGTGCTGCACAAGCAGCAGCAACTGCAACATCAACTGCACTTCTCTGATCTTTCAGCCGAGACATCGATCGCCTCATACCACCTAAACCACCCAGACTTTGTGGACTTTGCTTACAAATCATATCAACTTCAACATCGTGTGTTTTCACCCCTAAAACTGGATTAACAATGTTTGGCGTTTCTGATACGCCAGTTGCTACATTAGTTAGGTTATCAACCGTTTTGGTTGTATTTTTAAATTGAATATTTTTCAAAGCGTCATCATTAGTCTTGCTCTTAGCAGCTGACAATTTATTTTTACTTCTGGTCGTCACATATGATTTTTTCTTAACTACCTTATCTTTTTTTTTATTAGGTAGTGCTATTTTTTTGTTGACAGTGTTTATTTTTTCAGTTTCCAAATTTTCTGTTTCAATTTTATCAACAACTAATTTTTTACTGTTTTCAGCTTCTGTCTTTTCTCTTTCTGCAACTTTTTCTGCTAACTCGCGGTATATTGCAACTTCAATCGCTTCTAACTCCCGACATCGTAACTTCTGACGAAATCTACGCATTTGTTTTCGATATTGACATGGTCTATTGTCAGAAATACCACAAGGACAATACAAATGTTGGAGCTTTTGGACACGGTCAATATTTTGGCTAGTCTGCAGACGTTCTTCTCTAACTCTTTGGAGTAGTTTGTGACATGCTTGGAATCGTTGACGATCACGCATTAATCGTATCATTAAGGCTGTGGATTGTGGTCGCCAAAATTTATTTGCAATTTTCATTGGGCTTGTGCCAATTTTGGTTCGCTGTTTTTCACTATTTTTTTTAGACAAAGTTTCTTCTTCATGATCAAGATCCATTTCATCATCAATATCTATTACATCATCAACATCCATTTCATCATCATTATTAGTTGTTAAATTAGCTTTTGTAAGTAACTGCTGCCCTTTCTCTTTATCTTCTCGTAGTTCTTGACACGGCCGATTAATATATCTATATACTCGGACTTGTAGCATCTGTTTTCGAATTTCAAATTGAGTCAATACTTGCTGACGTTGATCCGATATTCGTTGCTGTAGCTGACGCAGTCTTTCTATCAACCAGGATTCTTGACCGTCTAGTTCTCGGCCACGAGCTTTGATTTCGCGCAATAATTGTGTATGGTTTTCTCGCATATTAATCTGAACGGCTAATCTTTTGTTATCTTGTTTTCGTTGCCATTTCAACTTCTTTGTTACATTTGCCGTACTACGTTCGAGTTGTGCAGTCCGCGCTGCTTCGGTATTTTTGGACGAACTTAAAAGGGACGGTAGTAAAGTGTGGGACGGTGGTCTGAGTAAAACTGCTTCAACCGCAGCATCTGCCGCTTCAATTTGCTCTAGTTCTCGATAACAATCTTTTGATAATTGTGTTTTGTCAGTAGTTTCCATCAATAAGGGACTAAATGGTAAGCGATCAGGCCAATACCAACGTGGTAAACTGCCAGGTTCATCGGGATACCAATGGTGACTTGATAGACGTACTTGTGGTACGTCCGCATATGTATATAACCGTAAAGGGTATCCGGTTTCACTTACATCAGATGCTGTGGTCGTTTTTCGTTCTAATCGCAAATGGTTATGTGGGAGCAATGCAATCAGACTGGAAACAAACGCATTATGGAGTGTCATACGTTCTATTAGAACAGAAGATATTTCCTCAATTTTTTTATCTTCATCTATAATAATTTCTTTTTCCTTCATTACTTTTTTCGCTCGGGGTGAGGCATTAGCCTTCGATTTTCTTTTAGAAGTAGTTTGAGGGGGTTTTTCTTTGAATGTGGACGTTTCTTTTGATGTAGTAACCCTGCGGTCTTTCCTGACTGACGCTGTTTTAGTGGTCGATGTTATAAATGAACTGGTACTACTAGTGAAAGTAATGGTAGAAGGAATATTAGTGGTGATAAGAGATGCACTGATGCTATTGCTATCACTATTTCCGATAATCGTAGGCAACATCCATGATACATACAACACTTTTCGAATCTCACAATCAAACTCGCTGTGTGATAATCGACCATTCATCCAATTCCTCAGTATGTCATCATAATACATCCGAAAGTTAGGTCCAAGAGCTACGGATAATGCATTATATCGTTCTTGAACCAGACGATAAGCTTCACGAAAGAGATACCGCTGCTTACATACCGCATCGTCCTCTTCGTCTTCATCTGAGGAAGATGAAAATAATTTAAAATTATCTTCATCGCTTGTTTCATGATCTTCAATGTCACTACATTGATATTGTTGTTCATTATTCGTTGTTATGGATGTCTCTTCATCATCTTGTTGCGTTATCTTCGGATTACCTCCTATCACAAACGAAAATCGATTTTCTGACGATACCTGGCTTTTAAATTTTAATTCTTTCTGCAGCTCTTGTTGCTGTTGCGGTAGTGTATGATGCTCTGCTAGTAATAGCTGTTCTTGGAGATTTTGCTTGTGCTGAAGTTGTTCATTTAATCGTTCTTTTAGTTTCTTTTCCCTATTTTTATGATGCTGTTGTCGTTGTTGCTGTAAAAGACATTCCAGTAGTTTTTCACGCTGAGAATTTTGCAATAAGAGCGATTGTTCTGATATTTCTGGCTCTGGTTGAATAGGAAGCTGTAAAGTATCAAAAATTACTTCACTACGTTGATGTAGCGGTTCGTTATTCAACTGTTGTTGAAGTAATTGTTTCTGAGGTTGTTTAGTGGGTAACTGCTGAATCTGTTGATGCGACGGTTTTACGTTTAGCAGTGTCACCAGATTTTGGTCTAATGACTTAACATTAATTTGTTGTTTTTGTTGTTGAGCTATGACAACGTGTTGTGGGATTTGTTGCTTTATCTGCTGTGGTATTTGTTGAATACCTTCTTGTTGCTTAATCTGCTGTGGTATTTGTTGAATACCTTCTTGTTGCTTTATCTGCTGTGGTATTTGTTGAATACCTTCTTGTTGCTGTGTAAAATTCAAGCTCTGTTGTGATTTAGACTGCAATAATTGCTGGGCCAGTTGTGGCTGCAGTAATATTTTTTGCGAGTGTTGTTGTTTCATTTGTTGTGGTTGTTGAACAACTTCTCGTTGTTGTTGCTGTTTGGTAGAATTGACACGTTGTTGTGGTTGCAACAGATTCTGTGTTAACTGTGGTTTTATTATTATATTTTGTGAGTTTTGTTGTTTCACCTGCTGCTGTGGTTGTTGAACATCATGCTGCTGTTGCTGGTTGGCAGAACTGACACGTTTTTGTGGTTGCAACAGTTGTTGTGTCGATTGTGGTTGCAGTAATAATTGTTGTGGAGACTGCTGTTTATGTTGTGGTAATTTTAAAAGCTGTTGTTGGCCAGCAATAAGGACACGTTGCTGTTGCTGATTTAAGACTAAACTACGTTGTGGTGTAGATTGTAGTTGTTGTGTCTGCTGTGATGATTTTAATTGACCAATAACGATACGTTGTGTCGGTTGAAGTTGTTGTGCTTGCTTTTGCTGCTGTTGCCCTGAAGTGGAGGTTACTAATACACGTTGCATTTGCTGTGGGCTTTGGGCCGTGGTAACAACGCTTTGCATTTGTTGAGACTGTTGATGACTGGTACTTGGTACAGAGTGTTGTATCTGCTGTAATTGTTGCTTTTGTATTTGACCAACAGCAGCAACATGCTGTAATTGCTGCGGTTGTTGTTGCCCAGAGCTAGCGACAACCATACGTTGCATCGGTTGTTGTTGCTGTTGACTAGCAGTTGTAACTTTAACGCGTTGTAACTGCTGCGATTGTTGTTGGCTAGTACCTGCAACGACAACACATTGCATCTGTTGTTGCCCACCGGTGTTGGTGGTACCAATTACACGCTGTTGTTGATTAGGTGAACCATTTAAAACCACTATTCGCTGTGCATAATTCTTGTTTTTCATTAACTGGGTCAACTGATCCTGTAACTGTTGGGTGGTAATAGGTGGCTGTTTTTTTAATTGTTGTTGGGTTGACACATTAACATATTGATGCTGCTGTTGCAATGGTGTTTGTATATGCGGATTCTGCACAATCTGTGGTTGTTGTACAAACTGAGATTGCTGTATGGTCGATGGTTGTATTATGCTTTGGGCATGTTGTACTTGCTGGGGTTTTTGTATTACAGCCTGAGTTTTTTCTAGCTGCGATTTGTGTACTGTTCCTGGTTGATTTACGATTTGGGATTCATCTGGTGATTGTTGCGGTTGTGTTGTTTGTAAAAACTGAGATTGCTGTTGTAACTGTTGAACAGACTGCGTTTGTTGTAGTACTAGTAACTGTTGTTGTTGCTCTTTGTGTTGTCTTTGTTGTTGTTGTAAATGCAATTCTTGTTGTTGCTGGAGAAGTTGTGGTCTTTTTTGTTTTGCATGAAAACGTTCTCCTTTGGTGTTGTCTTTATCGTTATTATCATCCTCCAGCTGTAAAAGTTCTCTAAGTGTTTGCTCTTGCATTTTTTGGCGATCTAGAAGCATATGCTGTTGCTTCAAGTGTTCTTGTTGTAAAATTCGTTGTTGTAAACTAGCTTGCTTGCGCCAAAGTAGTTGCTGAGGCTGTTGTTGTGTTTGTAAGGGCTGCTGAGATTGTAATTGTGATTGAAGGGGTTGAATTTGTTGTTGCTGTGTTTGTGAAAACTGCTGCAATGGTTGCGATTGCTGTTGACTTTGTAATAGCTGATGTTGTGTATTTGATTGCTGTTGACGTTTCACAGATAATGGTTGGATTAATATTTGTTGTTGTTGCGGCGTTTGTAATGGCTGCTTATTTTGCTGAGATTGTGATTGTGTTTGTAATAGTTGATACTGTTGTTTTAACTGTTGTGTTTGTAACAATTGTTGATTTTGTTGGCATTGCAGTTGTTGTGTTTGCAACAACTGTTGACGTTGCTGAGATTGTGACTGTGTCTTTAACAATTCCTTCTGTTGATGTTGTTGAGTTTGTGGTTGTATTTTAAGAAGTTGTTGTGTTTGTAATGCATGCTGATTTTGCTGAGATTGAGTTTCTAACAGTTGCTGTTGTTGTCTTTGAATCTGTTGAGATGATCTCTGCTGTTGCAGTAACAAATGTTTCTTGTCTGGCTGTGGCTGTTGGTCAGGATCCATTTTGTAGTAAAAACGTCTGTTATATCCTATATATTAATGACCCTAAGTAAAGTAAAAATAATAATTTTCATCGTTGATTATAATAACATATAAAAGACAAATATTTGGTAAAAAAAAGTTTTATGTGACTCTGAATTTATGTCATTCATTAATCATCTTACTTCCCAATATAGTAATCCCTAAGCCTCTGAATTGAGAACATATTATACATGTATATATAACATATTCTATTGCAAAACATTTTTGGTGATAACATCAATAATATTATTATATATAAACTTCACCCAATTCAAAAATTGTATTGTAATATAAAACTATTAGGGTGGAAAGGGTACGAAATTAGATTCGGTGGCATTGTCATACCTTTACAAATTAAATATCAAAATACGCCTGCGAAAAAAAAAATGTTTTTTTAGTCTACCCTTATAACTATAATCTTAATTCATTAAGTTTCACACCCTAACTATTGGATAGACTACTGTTTTAGGAGAGATAAGGAGTTGGAACTCACAGGGCAAATTTAAAAATACATTAAGACCGTAGGTAAGTAGGTAAAAACTGTTATCGGTAAGAGTTTAAAAAACTTAATATATTATATTAATCATATACCTTGGTATATGATACCTAGATAATATATAGGTATCACAATAAAAACATGATTATTGTTTACATATTGTACCATGTTATGTCTGTTGTTTTAGTTCAAACCACGATTCAAGATATGGTTTTAAAATACTGGTTACACAACAAGCTATGATAAGAACATACAATTTGGTTCCCGAAGTGTCATCGAATTTCATCGATAATCTGTTGATAAGAAAAGACAACTAGTGCTCATAACGGACTAATATATCCTAGGGTTCACGTATCATTATTTATTATTACTATTAAGCGCGCCGTAAGATATTTCTTATCGGTTAAAAGTAAGACACTTTAAGGATCTCGTTATCGCGCCTTGTTGTGTAACCAGTATATCTTTAATCGTGATTCAAACACACACCTATTTGACATAAACTTCTATTATTGCAGTTATAAAACTAAAAATTTACAACTTTTTTTTCTCTTTGGTTTATATAGGTAGGCAGATAATTATAATTATGTACATTATAGTACAATTATGTAATGTACTATCAATATATTTTAATTTCGAATATGAGATTCGTTTAAATGTTGTCATTATAACCATTCGATTATCTCGAAGACCGTAAATTGCGTCTTGACAAAAACGTCACAGTAATATATTATGTAAATTGCGAAGCCAGTGTGTATTTGATAGTCCTGGAATAATCTGTTTATTTCCAATTGGCAAAATAATTTTAAAATATTAAGGAATAATCAACGACATGGATAATATAATATTATTACTATGCGCATTTGATAATAGCTCGTATTCAGTGAATATTTTTTCAATTGTATAAAAATGAACATTATAAACAGTGAAAAGAATAAAACCATAATATTGATTGATGGTTTCATTTTCACAAATTTCTAGAAGATAATATTCAACGTTGGTATTGTGTAAGTGTTTTTTGCAATTTAAGAATAATATATTTTGTATAAATGGTTTTGGTGATCACAATCATGTACAAATCTGAATAACAAATAGAAACTTAACAAATAATTTAAAAAGAAAATCCGTCGAGATATCATACTGGGGAGGCACTTAAGAGAGATCGTTTTTCGATTTTTTCCGGAATTTTCTCAACAAATGTAAAAAACTGAAGAAAACGGAAAAAATGGGTTCCATTTTAATATTTAAAGTTTGAATAATTGGAATTTTATAATAATATGGCGTATACAGTGTGTTCATGGTAAGAGGTATCACTAAATATTTCAGTCGGATGACCTTGTATTGAAATGGAGTTTTCGGGGAATGATAGAGAGTACCGAACGAAATACACATTTTCCGACAAATTTCAATTAACCATTTTGATACGCGCGTGCGCAATACAACTTACTTTTTTTTAATGGTAACACCATTCTTTTTCTACAGATTCAGATAGATTATTATTTTTAAATAACTTTTGTATAAAAAGTATTTTTCTAATTACAAAATTGTCAAAGTTATTGTATGTAGAAATTTTATATTTACGAATAATCAGTTTTTAACGAAATTTTAATCATGTTTAATTTATACTCGAAAATCGAAATAATATCTCCGATACTGAGAAATATCTGTTTGTTGACAGATAAAATGTAAATAAATACATAATTGTTTTCGTAATTTACTCTCATTTATCTAACCTGAGTGGCTCGAATTCGCCGACATTCGTCAATATTTAAGATAAAAAATCCAGTTCGTTATCAATGTATTTTATAAATAAATGTAAAACAATAAATAAAGTAATTATTTTTACTGATGAATAATAATTATTTTAATAATTTGAAACTAGTCCTGTGACAATTTGTAGTGTATAACATTAGGTTTTTAAGTGAGTAATTTTTGAATATGAATAATAGTGAAAAGGTCGAACTTATTTTTTTTTTTGGTGAATGTAACTGTAGTGCTCGACAATCAGAAAGGTTTCATCCACCTCAAAATTATGTCCTTAGACTTTTACGTGGATTAAATGAAAACGATCAATTTCCTAACAATCAAAATCAACGACAGCAGCCTAGACCAAATAATTTTGATGAAGACACCGAACTTCAGGTAATGATTTACATACGTGCTTATCCACGTTCATAAATAAGACATGTATCTCGAGAAATCGGTATATCAGTTGATACAGTACATACAATTTTGAAAAAAACAAAATACATCCGTATAAAGCTGATTTTGTACAACATTTACGAATCCGAGATTATGAACGTAGATTACAATTTGTGGCATGGTTTGGTGTTCAATTTGAAATCGACAATTTATTTTATAATCGTATTTTGTGGACCGATGAATCTAAATTTACAAACAATGGTATAATGAACAAACAATACAATAGATTTTGGCACGATACAAATCCACATTGGTCTCTAACTTTCAGACAGTATGAGCATAAATGTGTGGTGTGGATGAATGGGTGAACTACTTTTAGGTTATTATTTTTATGAAGGAACACTTACAGGTAGAATATATCTATATTTTCTTATTAATCAATTACAGTTATTGTTAGAAAATGTGAGATTTATTATAATATTTGAGAAGCAACTCACAGTCAGCTAATAACCTAATTTGACTCCATATCTGTATAGTATAGTATAGTATAGGTGCTAAGAGTTAGATTCTGAGTGAAGTTTAGCATATATTTGGTTTAATTAATTTGGTGGTTAATTTGGTATATTTTATTTTTTTCTGTATACAACTTTTCTGCCAGCAATTTTGCTCTAATTTACAATAGCATCATTTCTGAAAGGAAATAATATCTAAGTAGTACTTTAGAGAGTTAATTTTTTAATTTTCCAGGTAGTTTTCATAATATCTAGGAAAACCCGTGAAAAACAGGGAAAATAAATAGAATATTAAACAAATATTATTAAAAAAAACTAAATAATGCATATATAATTATTTTACTGTAATATGCTACATATATTGTTGACAAAGCAACATTATCAACCAAACTTCAGTCAGAATAGTTTTTTCATTAGCAATAGTCTATTGTTACATACATTAAATTTCATCAAAAGATATATAATTATGTGTTAAGTTTTTTAAAAATAATATTTTGGAAAATTTGTTAATATCTGATAGATTATGATTATGTAATTAAGATAAACTAATTTAAACACCTAATCAAATAAATAATTATTCAATTAACTTAATTATTATTATTATACCCATTATTGTTTTTTTATTATTATTAATATTTATTTTTACAAGTTCTATATTTATAAAAATTGAATGATACATTACAAAATAAGTAGGTCATAGGTACATTGTATTCAAAGATACAATAATATAAAATATAAAAATATGAAAAATAAAATAAACACATAGTGATAATGTGTAAGAATTATTAAAAAATATTATTTACATAAATTATATTACTTCAATACAGTATTAGAGTAGTAATACATATATTATTGCAATTGTTAAGTTGTGTGCCAAATGATGTCAATTTTTATATAAAATATCCATTGTAAAAAAAAAAATAATAATTTATACCATGTCATCATATTGTTATCCACTAGTTTTTGTAATATTTAAATTACTAAATTTGTTTTGTTTTTTTCTTTTATATACATTATACATATTAGAAGACCATCCCTCTCAAAACAAGCTTGCTTAAACAAAGGGGTAACCTACTCATGTATTACATAAAATTACAACGAAAATTAAAAGTTGAAAATAATAAAAGCATTATTATATTATGTTTACATATTTTTTGTTTTGTTCAATTATTAAAAAAATTATAAAGAAAATCAACAAATAATCTCCTTTCAGAATGATGTTACACTTAATACATCAGAGTAAAATTTCTGGAACAAATTTTGTATACAGTAAGAGTGAAGCCATTGTTGTAGGAGAGTGGTTGGGAAGGAATTCCAACTTAAAATCTGTATAGATTAAAACCAAATATATCAAGTAATTTCTGAAAGCCAAGCATCTAGAATGTGCAGATTGTGTGTGGCAAGCTGGGGAAGCACACTTCTAAATAAACCATTTGGCAAGTTCCCTAGAGTAAACAGAGACAGGATAGTCATTAAAGACATTATCTTGCCACTGATTGTCTACTATTTATGAGTCATTAAAGACATACAAATAGTAGACAGAACAGATAAACTCAAGGATGTTATATGCAATAGAATATGCATTTTTTATGGAAGAATAATAAAAGATACAGCATGATAGACCAGTAAAGAAAAAGTTTTATTTATTTATTAGTCTGGCAAATGACAAGGATTTTCTTTTCCATAAGTTAATATCATGCAATAATATTATCATATTATAGACAATAGGTATTGAAAAAGTAAATCAATAATGGCAATTTATGTTGATATTGTTACAATATCTTACAATATATTATTCAATATTGTTACAATTGAAAAGAAAATTAATCAAATTTTCAAAAAATCTTAGAAAATAAAAGACCATACTTTTACAAGAGTTTCAACCATTAAAATTTTTCTAAGAATCTATTTTACAAAATAGCTATTTTGAATTTCTTAAAAAAAATTAGTAAAATTTTTTATTTTTTATTTTAAGACCCCTCACCCTAAAAAAAAAAAATATTCAAATATAAACTGTAGCACACAGGCATACTAATTATTTTAAAAAAAATATGTCAAAAATATTAAATAGAACAAGTTATTTCAAGTGGCAGATCATCGTGGAACACCCTGTATAATATATAAATTTAAATAAAAATCTGATCTAATCTACTATTAGATTTTATACTATACTCCAATGTTTGTTGTGGTGCTAAATGATACAAGTTATATTGCAAAAATTATTACAAAATATGTAGGTTACTCAGGTACTGTCCAGCTATGAAAGTACTTAGATTAAAAGATAATAAATTATATATTGTTGTTCATTTCTATAGGTCAATACTAAATAATTATTTGTATTTGTCATCCAATTTAATTTACCTAATGTATACCAGGTGATTATTTTATCGTTAAATACTCGTTATCTCAGAAAGTATTAACTTTTTTCAAAATCTGTTTTATAGAAAATTTAAGAAACATGCAACTCTATAATATTATATTTACATTATTTTTTGTCACCCTAATTTTTAGGGGTGAAACAACTTCATAATTCTGATTTTAAAAGAGCCACCTTTGTTAAAAATCCCATAAATAGATGGAGTATTAGTATTCATTGACGAGATATTCCACTTTTAAATAGGTATATTTAATTAAACAATCTAAAATTGTATCATGTAGGTACCTAAGTACTTTTTAAAATAAATTTTATAACATTGAAAGTTAAATATCCAACCATTAATTAAGAAGTTATAAGCTAGTAAACTTTTGTAGCCTTTAAATCTCTTCAATACATAAGCACTTTTAATCAAAATGAAATAATTTAAAATATTATGATAGGTACCTAAGTCACTAAAAGAATTTTGTTTAAATCTTTTTTCGGCAGTACACAAATATATAATAGCAATTAGTATGCAATTAGTATCTTGCAAAATATTATAAGACTATTATTATAATATCATAATAACCTTTTTAATCTTTGGTAGGTAAACTTTGAGCTTATTTACTTAATTTTATAAATATTATTACAGGTTGTAGTTTTACAAAATAATCATTAAAACCAAACACAAAACAATATTATGATTTTAACAATGAATAAGTAAAAAGATAAATTTGAAAAAACCTATTGGACAATATACAAAGATAGCCTATCAATATTAATGACACAAGTTATCTTAATTAAGGCAATGAAAAAGTAAGGTAATTAAGTTAATTAATTAAGATTAGTACATTTATTATTATTATTTTAGATTATTTATTTTTAGAAGACATATGTTAATTAGTGATGAAAATATTATCAATAAGAATGGCTTATTATGATCCAAGATACCATAGTTCATAATGAGATGACGTCAATTAATTAATAGTTAATGCCTTTCGTAGCAGTTTTTATCAAGTTTATCAAATTTTAAATTTAATTTCGGAATAATATACATTTGTAACAATTTATTCGAAGTAATCGACTGTCCAAAACCAGAACACAAAATCTACGTTCTTATCAATTTTCATGTTTTGATATTATTTTGATCAAAATTAAACTGTGTTATCTTTCGATATCACACTTTTGGTCGAAATATCACGTAATATGTTCGATGTAGTATATGATAGAATCAGTAGACTTTCGTAGCAATTGTAGCAACGCGGTATCACACATGACACATGTTTTGATACCGTTATGTCATTTCTGCATAATATTTTCTAATATGAATAAAAATCATTAATTGCAAAATGTAATTTTTATGTTCAATAATACCTTCTGTCCACCCCGTGACTTAGCCATGCCATATGCTAAACATTTGTCAGTGTAATACAATGTTCAATAATAAGTTCCATCTATTTGTAGTGTTTTAAATATATTAAGATAAAGAATGCCGAAAATGTAAACAAAATTCTAGAGGATGATTTTGATTACTCCTCAGATTATGAAAATGACGACCCTTTATTGGATTCAGATTACCTATATAACAAAACAAGCTAATATGTCTTATGACAATATAAGTAGTGTAATATACTTTGAGACTGGCGAGGAATCACAACCACCCATTATAATGAACTTAAGTGAGACAAATATAATTTTTAAATGATGAAAACAGCACTTAAGTTTTGAAAGAGAAAAAAAGGGATAAAAACTTTAAATTTGAAAGAAAATATTGCAAAAAGTATTAGAAATACAAGCTTAGGATATGTAAGTAAATTTAACAATAAAAGAGTAGGTACCTAAAAGCACTCTTTTAGTGACTAGATCTAATTAAAATTGTAAACGGAAATGTTTTTTTAAAATAACAGGATTGAATATGGCTTTAGGGTCTGAGAAAAAATATCAAAATAACTCATAGATTTTTTTTGTTTATATACTGTTCTAACAAAACCTCCATTGATCAAATTTTCAATTTTCCTACTTTCTGACCAATTTTCATGGACATTGTGGATTTTTTTTATATTTTGGAAGGAATTTATAAATTGGGTGGCTCTAAAAAGCACTGTTTTAATAAGGTTGTTCCTGAAAAGAACAGTTTTCAATACTACATATTTGTTTTATCAATTTGTAATTAATATCAAATTTTTAATAATACATACATATACATTTTTTAAAATGTCACAATGCAATCATTAATTTGGTGTATCAATTATTAACATAATATATATAGTTGAAATTACTAACATAATGTTGTATATGATAATTCAGTTCTCACATTTACTCTCATACATGTATAGGTAATTGATAAAAACCAAAAATCATATTTTTACAAATAATAACAGGTACCAACAAATATATAATTTCATACCAAAATATAAAAAATGCATGAGTGCGTACTTACTGAAAATGGAAAAATCAGAAATTTGACTGATGGAGCTTTCTAGCACGGTACACATATAAAAAAATCTATGTAACATTTTTCGACATTTTGTTTTAGACCTAAAAACCATACTTACATACAACCGACTCATTCTTATGTGGTCTCAGTGAAGTCAGTTACTAGACAACAACCTAAGTCAAGAGTACGCAGAAAAATAAATCCTGTGCTTATAAGTATAAAATAAGACTTGAAGCTAATGAAATGGTAGTCTGTAAAAAAGCATTTTGTGCATTATTTGGAATCAGTAAGGCAGTTTTAGATAGATTAGTACTTCACTTTAAGTCAAACAATTTCAGTCTTAATGGCTTACAGGGCAAATATGAAAATCATATCAGTTTATTGCCCGGTGATATTAAGTTTAAATTTTTTTTTTAGTTTGCTCATTGTTACTACTAAAATATTTTGTAAATTTTTTATTATGATTAACACTATATAATATTAAAATACATTGAACAATAATTTAAAATAAGATATACTGCTATTATTGTTTTTGTTTAATATGACTATTATTTTGTTATTGATTTCTTATTAATGACATAACATTGCATCCTAAAATATTGTGAAATTATGTAAAGTTACATTTTATTTTTTTAAATAAAAGGCACTATACATATATTTTTTTCTGATTTATTAACATTTAAAGTTACCTAACTACTTCTTAAACGTGATTTCAAGTTTTCTTGTTTATACTTATAATTATATATTAAGTTAAGACTTATAATACAAAATATAATTACAGTTTGTTGCAGATTCTGGATAAAAATCAGACAGCTCCAATAAAAATACTGAAAACACGAAAAAATACAATATATTTTATTTTTAAGATTTAATTACATATTAATTTGTCAGAAACAATTTTTAAAATAGAAAATAGAAAATTTATAAAGGTGAAATGTTTAATTCAAAAAAATTCTCTCCTGTAAAATTTGAAAAAAAAAATGGAGCTGCCTAGATACCTTTATTTACAAAATCAGTGATTTTTAGCAAGCATATTTCACAAACCTTATCATAATCCAGTCTATGCCTTTGTTGTGGTTATGTAGAGGGAAAGAATATAGCCTGGAACTTGATTTGCAGTGAAATAAATAAATTGAAACCTGAAACAATTTGTACTGATTATTATCAACTATTAATTTGATTTGATCAAAGGTGATAATGCATTATGTTATTGTTTACAACATATTATGTGTATTAGGGTGTTCCTTATGATTAAAAAAAAATTTCAAAATATGTTTAGTCTCATCCCCCAAATGAGTGTTTATGTATATAAAAATTAACCTATGCCAACATGAACTTACTAAATTTTTCAATATTTACATTAATTTTAAACATTTTTGTAAATAAATTTGTTTATATCCTATACTATTCATGAAGTATACATAATGACTTGACTAAAAAAAAACAACATAATTTACACATATCTTCATAGTTATTAATAGGTATAGTCTAAAATGATTTAATACAATTTTCATGACTTTTTCATATTAACTAATTTATAAATGTACCTTAAAATTATCGTTGATAACAAAATAATTATAATACAATTAATATAATGTTCACAATAGTATAATTGTCTAATCTCATTTACGTAATTATTTTGTTATATTTTATATTATATATTATATTACTTAATAACAACATAAGTATGGAGCTTGATCAATACAATTATTATTAACCCTTAATTTAAATGTCACATCTTCAACAAAATTCTTAAAATGTTTTTGTTATATAAATTAAAAGAAAATGATTTTAAAAATAAATTAAATTTGTTATTTGATGATATTGCTCATTCAAAAATATATAGACTGTTAAAAGGCAAAAGGGACTAAGCAACACAACATGGTGTGTATACTATGGGATAACCAACACTTAAAGGATTCGATCACACAAGTGCTAGTCTTTCTATAACTATTTAGTAACAAGATATTTAATTTTAATTTTTAGGTACAAGTGACATTTATTGACAGAAGTGTTAAAAAAGTAGGGGTCAAGCGCCTTTTTGTGTATAGGGACATAATGAAAATTTTATTCGCTAAGCAACAACCGCTTAACACTTAGACCCCACTATTATCCCTTATCACCTTTTATAATATTAATATCAAAATTAGATCACAGAATACCATAATTATTTTGTGATTAGATAATATTATTATTATTATTATTATTATCAATAATTAAATATAAAATATTATTATTATAAGATAGGTAGGTATCAAGTAATATGAAAATATTTCTGTTTATTTGTTTTTCGTGGTGAGTAATATAACAAGGAAAGGTAAACATAATGTTATCATAATATGATATTATATTTTATGATTATAATATGATTAATATGTTTAATATTATTGTAGTTTAATTTATTTATACCTGCACGTTTCAAATTATTCATTAAAAAATGGCAATTTATGATATTCATGATCAATGGATTATGATTTTATTCATTAAATAAATAAATTAGTTGTTGCATATAATTATAATTTTACTTTTTTCACAATATTATTATACTTTGTTAATTAGGTGTTTGGATTATCATAAAAACTTCAATATTGTGAGTAATATTTTATGAACTAAATAGAAGATCAAATCTATTTAAAGTTTATATTTTATTGATTTCACTCATATTTTAGTAATGTAAATATTATAATATTATTAGATCAACCTAATAAAAATGAAATAATATTATTATTGGTGTAGACAAATTGCCTAATGCCATTCAAAAATAAAAATAACATTAAATTAGTATAGTATTATTATAATATTCATTTATTTTATTATATTTATTTGATACTCAAAAAAGATACATCAAAATACTTAAGTATTTAATCAAAATAAACATATTATTATTATAGCAATAATAATAGCAAATTTAAATTAGGGTAAAAGTGTCTTTCTGAAAAAATCAGAACTAAGTGACAAAAAATGGTAAGTTTTCAAAAAAATTATTGTATTCAAAAATTAACAAATATTTTCAATATAAATAAAATCAGATCATCAAGGTAATATAAAATGGAATTCAAATATATAATAACTTCATTCCTAAAGTTTAAATAAATATCAATACCAAAGTTAAGAACAAATGAAAATTTTGTTTCTGCTCTCCTGAAAGGTAATAAAACTGTCCCTTAGCTTTTGTCTTTTATATTATAATGAACATATTATTTTTTTTTAACCATACTAGCTTTTTAATTTAATTTTTATTTCTTCTCTTTCTTTTTGTAATTAACTTATATTATATTGTTCACCTTATGTTTTTTGTAATATCTATTTGTCGATAATAACCATTCACTATTATTTACACAGATTATCGTATTTTTACAGCTGAATCAATATATTTCTATAAAAGTTAAAGAAAAATTAATTTACTTTAAAATATATATCAGAAAAAATGTCAATGATTTTAATATTTTACGAAAATATTTGAAACTATTGTAAATATTGAAAAATGTATTAAGTTCAAATTTCCGGTTAACTTTATCTGATTGACATAAAACTTTGTATAGTTTATACATTTATACAGTCTAAGACCAGACATATTTTGAAATTGAAAATTAAATAAAACCCTAATGTTTTAACTCATTTCAAATAAAAAATTAATCCTAAGCCTGAACCATAAATTTCAGGTTTTAATTGTAATTAGTTTATGTTAATGTAACTTTATGTATGTAACTTAATCCAAATTCATTGTTAGTGTTATAAATCAATTTATTCTTAAAATAATTGTTAATATGTATTAACTACATTGAAACCATCAGTTTATAATGCTTATATAAAACAGTGTTAATATACAAAATAACTAATTTAAAAGAAAAATTAATACTGATCATGGCCACTATTTAGTAGATGGGAATTTGGATAAGTAGGATATATCTATGCTAATTTAGATTAAGTTTAGAATATATAATGATTCAATAATAATAAATTAATGGCAATTTATAATAATTTGTAAGTACTTACAAAATATTCAAAACGGTAGATATTTTAGCTAATAATTTCTTGGTACCTTTTCCTATTGAGTTGTAATTTATAGAGGTTTTACTGTAGGTATCAATATCAAAAATTAATTTTTTTTTTTTAATTATAATATTTACTAACTTGTACCTAATAAAAATTTATTGAAAGTGTTATGTGACTTCTTCAAAACTAATATGTTAAGTAAAGTAGACCTTAAAATAATTTGTTTAGAAATAATGAGACATTAAATATAATACACAGACATTTATACTCTATATGTTATTTCAATATGCTATACCTTACCACTTAATTTAAAGATTTAAATACATAATTCTTTTATACTTCTTATACTACTTATCTTAAATAACTTAAATAACCAATAACAGAATGTCTGATAGGTATACTGCGTCATTATAGGCAACCTGATTGTCGGAAAGTCTACTTTATAATTATTTTTGTAAAACAAAAGTTGTTCTCCTTCTCTAAAACAAATTTATTTGATACAAATAAATTATAACTTATGACTTAAGGTGGATTTTTCATTAGACGTGTGCTAAAAGTATTTCACAATTGTGTTAATTGTTGCTCTCGAGCATGGTTTCAAAAAGGGTCACATAAATCGTAAAGATTTACATGTGAACACAATTTTTATTTAGCAAGATGGAATTGTTATTCAGGGAAGCATGTGCTATTTTGCCTGGTGTGTCAGCTAAATAATTAAAATTACAATTAACTGCAAAAAGTGATAAATTTAAATTTAAAAAAGAAGGAAAAGGAGATGTAGCAATGGATCCAAAGGCCAAAAAAATGGTGGTTTTACATTTGTTTCTTGTGAACTAAACTTTGAATAAAATTCATTGTTTGTTCATCATTAATTTTTATAAAATTCTTATTTCAACTCATATTGCACATAATAAGTGATAACTTAATGTAATTAAGTGTTTAAAATAAATAGTTATTTAATTCTACAAAATATACATAACATTTAAATAATATAGTATGTACTGTAATCCACAATTAAACTTTTACGATTGAAATATCCAACATGGTTTAATATTGTACAAATTAGTTGTGGCATATTCATAATAATAATACTACAACTGTGAAGTACAAATTGTCTGTTTTACAGTGTGAGCCACTGTTCCAAAAACGGCAATCATGGAAAATGCCTTGTGCTAAACCGCCTTAGGGCCAGAGTAAAAGCAAAAACATATTTTGACTGAGTCTATGCAGTTCTATGAAAAAAAAATGTTGGACGGTTCTTTCAACAGAGTTCACAGAAAAACTAATAAAAACATACTAGGAAAAATAACCCCGATGTAAAGCTAATACAAAATGCACAGATTGCGTTTTTACCGAAAAAAAAATCCTATTAATAATAATACAGAATAATATTATGTAGGTATATTTTTATCAGCAATTTATTTATCTATAAATTATTTTGAATACATTCAATAATTAAATTTCTAATCATTACATGACACTATACACTGATATTTTTCAATTTTATAATAGAATTTTCTGAAAACGTATGTACTTAATTTCACCAACAGATTCATTATTATTTTTTAGAAAGGTATTAGTTTACAACGGGACTTTTTTTACCTGATATTCTTTTAATGGATCTTTTATTTACTAGGTAGTATGTATACATTATATTTGTACTTACACGACGATTACATTTTGAGAAGATTGCATTTAGTTATGATCTATAAACAAGATGAATTTTGAATACGTTAGCTGAATTGTACGAATATGAAAATATTTGATTATTACATTTTGTGGATTACGTCAATAACTATTGAGACTACATAGTTTTCGAAACAATTACACGCGAGAATCCGGATCGTCGCACGAGCGCACCACGACAGCGTTCATCCGCAGTCATTAGAGTGACATGCAAGTGGCATTTTAAATTATTAATGATCGGCACACAAATGACAAAAATATTTAATATCAAATTAAAAAATGAGAAAATATCAATAGCGTACCATTTTGTAGAACGCAGAGTATCAGCACTTAGTGGTCAGTGACCGACAGTGATAACTGATAGTCTGACAATCGTCTTATCATGACGTCTTATCATTATAACAAATTCGATTATATACTTGAACTTAGGCTGCTGATAAAAATAATATAAAACATTACCTATAATTAATTTGCTTTCTACTTATTACTATGTATCAAGAATTAAGATTTCTTAATTATGTATATCTTAATTTTTGCTTTGTATACAACCTATTATATCTTACATCAGATTGTCAAACATTACAGTGCCATAATCAAAATTTTTATCTACTTATTTAGATAAAACCAAATATAAGTGAAATAATTTCAAACTAAAAGAATTCAAAAGTATTTTAAAAACTGCATCAGGTGTAGAAAGTTGTAATATAGGTATTTTATCACAGTTTCAAGTCTCTACAATCATTTTTCACAGAATTCCAACAAAAAACAAAATCCAAATTAACAGAAATTATTATTCCAGAAGTTATTTATTAAATAATATTATTCTACATTTTCCCCTCATTATTAAAAAAACGAAATAGGTTTTGAAAAGAAAAACCTCCTTAATTCACCAAGGGGACAACATTTGATAGATACCACAAACTACCCATAATGTTTAATGGTTAAAGCAAGATTTTTGGCCAAAACCTTGTTAACAATTTTACATAATCACCAGAATCTAAAATCATAAAAAAAAATGCACATTTGGAAATAATTTATAATATCTATGGGGCTATTTACATAGAAAGTGGGTAGCAAGTATCTTAAACAACATGTATAATAGAGTTGTAGTTTAATGAAGTGATGGAGAATCGGTAAATCATTGATAAACTCTTGTCAATTATTCATCAAAAAATAGAAACATATCAAATAGAGAAATATTTTAAGTAATCAATTGAGTGATCATTTAAACATTCAAATTCAATACCGCTCTTGGCTGCCAAATAGTGTTATTATATAATTGTGATCATCATAAACGCGCACACGGGTATGGCCCATTGGGTTATAGCCCCACCTTATGAAGTTGTGATAAAATTAGATAAGGGTTTTTAGTTTTTTACTATGATTAATGGAAAAACTATACAAAAAGTATACAACTAACCAATTTTTTCACTTATATTGAAAGTTAGTAAAAATTTACTATTTACTATTTAAACAAGAAAGTTTTAAATTAATTGAAGGGATTAGAAATTTAGTTAATTTAAAGTAGCAAACCCAGTTAATGTATCTATTTTAAATGTAAGATATTGCAATTAGATATTGACTGTGTTATGTAAAAAGGGCCTAACTCACATTTTCAAAATTGTTCATAGAGTAAAAACAGTGCAAAAAATACAATTTTAATTTAACTATTATTAAAATTAAATTTTTTGAAAATAGAAATATGAAGAAAATAGTTTTTATATTGATAATTTTAATAAAAACATAGAATAGGTACCATTGTAATTGTCACTTTAAAAAAGGTATATATGGGTTACGTCATTCTGGTGTTTTTAATTTCTAAGCGCCTTTTTCATATTAGCATTGTTTTATTCTTGTTTGTTCTAGTATTTATTTATTTCTAAAATTACTCATTTTTATTATTAATATTATGCAAAACTTATTAAATTAATTAATGACTAAAAAAAAATTTGAATTATATAAAAATATCAGAACGATTAACACGTAACAACACCATTACCGTTATTTTAAAATTAAAATTATTACAAAGCTAACTACAATGTTAACATAATATTTTATATTATATAAAGAACTGAAATTTAAATTCAACATTTAAATAATGATAGTGATAAAATTATCACATTTATTATGTAAAATATGATAAACTTACATTCGGTACAAAAATAGTGTTAAATCTGTGGTATACATCCTTTCTACATTTAAAATTAAAATTTTATTTTATGAAATAGGCGTCTGTGTGTAATTTAATTTTAATAGTGAAATACTGAATATATGTTTATGAATACTCTTTTTACAGATTATGTTCTTAATTATTCTAAACATTTTAACAACAAAAAGTCAATTTTTGATTTTTGGTTGGTTGCAAAATGTGTGTCGCCAGTGTCGTCGAAGTAGTTTTTAAATACTAGTACAAACAAGTCAGTTTATTATATTATATACTATGTAATATATAAATTACATTATATAATTCATAGTACTCACTATTTTTAATAGTTACATTTTCTGCAAATACTACTCAAACTACATATATTTCTCATCCTGGCACGACCCACCACCAAGATTTGGTCAGTCGCCCGGCCTGTAGGTACCCAGAATTCAGAGCCACTGGCCAGAACTCATGTAACGATGTGAAAGAATGTTTAGTTAAGAAATCCTACACATTAGATGCGAAATTTCGAATTTATACTTTGTCACTGTGATGCTAAATGCGTGAGACTTTTGCACTCGCCATTACATGAAATCCATAAAATAAAAATATGGTTAAATCGAAAATACGTACAGGTAGTACTTTGGTACTTTACCATTGTTTATGTCGTAATATATTTTGTCATGACCACGATCATGGAAAACATTACGTTTATAATGTATACCGTGGTTCCTTATAAAGTATTACACGGGATACTGTCCAAACTCTGATCCAAATATTGTACCTAGATAATAGGTTTGCAGTTAGGTTACACGCTACATTGCGCGCCGAAAAGAACTAAATTCCAAATCATAATATAGTTGTAAAATATAATTATAACTATGATACCTATATTATTCTACAGTATTACTCACCGGTCGATGATGACTACGAACTTAAGATAATTATTAATATCCGTGATGATCGAAATTGTAATTTGGGTGCGGCACAATTATACAAAAGACACAATTATTTCTACCATGTTTTCGACTGGGTAGGTGAAAATGTAAATACCAATAATTGTTGTCCAATGTCCATACGTACATGTGAAAGCGAAGTGTTATGTAGCCGCGCTCTACAATCGAAAGAGAACAGAAAAGTTTAACGTGAATAGTTTAGTTCATTGTTATTACGTTTTTAAAGCACTTTCATATATAAATATTTATCGCGATCGTATTTTGGATAGCCGCATGGTCTCATGATATATTTCGGACGCACACGCACACAAACACAAACACCAACACCAAACCGTCGTTCACTATAAAAAAAAAATATTGATATTACATTTACACTAGTCAGTTTGTACCGTTTGTAAGTGTTGACCATAGATCAATAATCTATCTTTATCTATCCAACAAGGAGTACCAATCTTGAGTCATATAATATAGTCCAACTGTAATCGAATAATTTTCACTATTATGGAATATCGACGCTACATAACCTAGTTAACTACCTCCGAATCCACGATATTTAGCTAAATCGTGCTCTAAATAAAATCCGATACATAAAGAATATCGGGGTGGCATTAAACATTTTTTTTGAAGCGCGAAATTACTCAACAGAATAGCCTCTTTTAAAAAAAAAAATATCATACTCACTTCCTCAAGGTTTTCCAACAAAATTTTAATTGTATATTTACGATAATAGTATAATGTTATCTATGAAGTTGAAATATTAAAGCGAAACAATTTTATTTCATAGTGTGTTTTATAAAATTTACATAACATTGAACATATCATTTATACAATATTATTATTCTTATTCAATAAAATAAATTAATGTAAAAGACTGAGATACGATGTACTTTGCACCATGGGTGGTTACTGTTGTAGGTGGGTAGTTGAGAATGTAGAATATATAGTTAGGTATTTAAATTATATCTGTACCTATTATTATTTTCTAGAAAATGATAAAAAAATTGTAAGTATTTCAAATTATTGTTATTATTATGTGTTTTGTTTAATCATTTATTATAGTATAAATAAAAACTATAATATAGCCAAGGGGCGCTACACTTCAGGGGGCGCCTTGGCTGGCAGAACTCTCAGTTATTTTTTAGATATAGTTCCTATCTGCCAATTTAATTTATCACCTAGACACTAGAGAAAAAACAATTAATTTTAGAAAAATGTATTGTTAATGTTTATTTTTTTAAAATAAATTGTTCGTTGTTATAAAATTATAAAAACAAAACTAAAATAATCATATTACATAATAGTAAATACCTACCTAGCCTTTTAATATTGCATGACTAATGAAAAAATTCTTTTGAAATAGAAAATATAACAAACATAAATTATCGATATCAGATTCTATCTCAAAAATTTACAAAATTATGAAATTATATATAAATGTAGATAGTTAGGTACATGGTTCAATGTAGTAAACATTTATTATGAATTATTATTAAATAGTTATTAATAAATATTAATCTAAAGTTCTTAATAAAGTAGAGTTCTTTATCATGTACAAATATTTTAATTACCAAATAATTATTTTTTTTAAGCAACAAAAAAATAATATTTAATTATGAACACTTCATGTCACTAGATAGGTTACCGGGCGTTTGTAAGTAGTCCACTCTGCTCCAGGTGGAAATCATTAATTACATTTAACCATTAAAGTTTTAGATTCTGAGCGAAGCAAAGAATTTATTGGTTTTACAATAAAGTATTTTTTTATACTTCGTATAAAAATTCTACCAGAAATCTTGTTTCAGTTTTCAAGTGTAGCACCATTTCTAAAAGGAAATTTTAACTTGTTAGTACTTTAAGAAGGTAATATTTTGATTTTCTAAGCGGTTACCATAATAATTGGGAAGAACTGGGGGGGGGATTTGGAAAATAGAAAATTTATGAAAATAATGCTAATATTATTTTAAATTTGTTTTAATTAAAAATATTTGTAGAAACTTGAAATTTGTACAGAGAACTTTATCATTTCTAGATGTAGTAAACTTTTGAAAACATTTGAGCTATTTTTAAGCTTTTTATATACATTTTAATTTTATGAGTTTTTTACAACTTAGGTTTAACAACTCAGGTAGAATACTCTGTGGATACAATTGTTAGAACAGACTGAAATGCTTAAAAAAAAGAGCTGATACTAGGGATGGGAGCTACCACTATTACAAGTGAGTAGTTGGGAAGGTAGGATACATAAGGTTATTTCAATTATATCTGTAAGTAAAGATAAACCACTGCTTGACAAAAGACAACTCCAAGCATAGTTCAGTAATACATAATTTAAAGTGCTGTAGTTTATTTTGCGATTTTCAATTTAATTTAATTTAAAAAGGTTTATTAAAAAAAAAAAGTCGTCCGATGATTTTGAAAATGTCACCACGTCTAGGTAAGCCAAATATAAGTATGATTACCAAATTTCAAGTTTCTAAATGTATTTATAACCGAATTACAAGAAGAAACTTTTAAAAGTTAAAATTCCTTAAATGCTCAAAAGTTTTGACAATGATACCATAAGAAAGTAAATCAAAAAAGGTGTCTTGTGATTTTTTGATTAAATTATTTTTTCTGCTAGAAAACGCCGTCCTTGTTAATATAAAATAATAGGATCCTGAAATTGTACGTTTTCCTACGCTTTTTCACAATAAGAACTTTTATTTAAAAATCAAAAAATGAAAAATCAAAAAATTACCTAAAGATAACTTGAGCTTTCAGAAAATTTGCTACACGTAAAAATCGGAGCAAGTTTATTAAGAAAAAACATGTCCACAGACAAAAACAAAAAGAAATAAACAGCATTGAAAAACCAATAGCTCCATCGCTATGCTCAGAATCTAAAATTTATCAGGAGCTTCATAATAAGTTATACTTAGTGGTCAACAAAAAAACTGAGTTTAATGTAGTATTTTTTTTGTTTTTTTATAAGAATTTTAATACAAAATGTTGTTGAAAATCATATATATTATAACCTTTTAAAACATGTATAACTGAACTCCGCTCATAATCAGTTTTTGTTAGCAATGATTAATCATTGCATACAGATTTGATATTACATTCCTCTTTATATCCTACCTTTCCAACTTTTCACCTATAACACTAGCCCACCCATTATGTGAATTATTTAAGTCTTTTTTTTGCATTAACTTTTATAATAGTTTTGCAAAAACAAATTAAAAAAATTGTTAGAATCAGTATAAAAAAAATGTTATAGTTCAAACCATTTCTTTGGAAAATCTATAGGGGGGCTAAAATAGATTTGTCCAAAAATATGTATGTTTCTCAATTATTAAGTGTACAAAATAAAGTTATACGTGTTAATTATGAATATGATATTTCTTTTAACTAATTACAGTTTATATAAATGAATAAAAGAATTAAAACATGTATTACTTAATGGTAGAAATAGATATTTGAATAATAAAATGTATGTAAGGTATAAGGATAAAACTGAATTTGTCAATAAGTTATACAATATTATTATTAACTTAAATATAATAAATTTAATAATAACAATAAATATTATAAAGATTGTACAATTCTCACACATATTTTAATATTATTTAAAATCATAATATTATTTAAAATCATTAATAAAGGTAATTGTAGTTAATATTCATATGAATATTAATATTC